GACCGATGAAGCTCTCGATTTCGGCCGCTGTGCACGGGCCGATGTATCTCTCTTTTTGGATTTTGGATTTGATAATGGATTGGAATTCGTTTGTATATACCAGAATGGAATCTTTGTTCGGAGGGGACTGTGTGACTTTAATGACAGGAAGATTAAGATGAAAACCCCGACGGAGTCCTTCAGGGATATGAGAGTATCTATCGATAAGGCCAGCTCGCGTAAGGCGGGCTTCCCAAGCGTCAGCGTTATAGGGAGTGAGCGCTCTAAGCTTTCTGTGCTCGAGGGCAATTCTGGGCTCCATGCGAGGAGGAGGCACATCCAGAACAGAAATGTCGACGATCGTGAGAGGTGTCGTTGCATCCTGCAACCCGTTGCCAGTCGCTGCAAATTGCGTGACCGTCTCGCATGTTGAGGAGTTTTCCGACTCGAGAGCAGAGGGTGTCCGAGACGTTGTCCCAAGTCTTGGTAGCTTTGCACTCGATGATCTTGTGCGGGTGTCTCCCCAGGCAGACAGCGCAAGCGGATAGGGGACCTCTGTTTGCGCTGCTTCGAAAATCCTGCCTTGAACGTTTGTGTGAATCTGGTGGGGGTGATTGACGACGATATTCTTGTTCCTGGTTCGGAGACCTTGAACGTCGTCGTTGATCTTTGGTTGCCTGGTTGTTGTCTCTGCCTTTGTGATGGTAGTTGGATGATGCTCCTCCTGCAAGAAGGTTGATCCAATGGTCCATCTGATGATGGTGGTGAACGCATTGATCGAGGCCATGAGGTGTAGCGTAGCGTGAAGGTATTTTGTAGCGTAGCGTGAAGCGAGAAAAATGTGTAGCATGTGATGTGAAGCGTGTAGCGTGTAGCATGTGGCATGTGGCATGTGGCATGTGGCATGTAGCAAGTGACGAGTTTCGATGTTGTTACGTTCAGTTGGAAGAGTCATATGAAACATAAATTGTTAGCGTGTGATCGTATATGTTCTTATCCGAAAGGAACTGACCTTGTAGTCTCGCTTATTGTCCAGCTTCGTGCGCTCTTCGAGGTAGACGTCTGATCTAGTGCGCTCTAAGAGCACCTCGTTGATCCGAGAGAGATCATATGCTCCTCGAGCTGATTTGACCGCAATGTGCCAGCGCTTCCTCTGCTCTGCCTGGTATACGAGAAGTGCTTTCTGCGCTAAGGGATCGCGCATGGAGCGGAAGTCGTGAACCTGTAGGTTGCGCCAGAAGAGGGCCATCATTTGGATACGATCTGCGGGCCATGCAGCTTCTTGCATGGCCTCGATTATACGGGGACAAGCTTGACAGAAATCTTCGAACCTAAGATTCTGGTCGTCGACGACCGCTCTTGCATTCCGAGTTGAAGCAGCTGATACCCAAGCCGTATCTCCTCCCGCTAACGTGGCCATGATCATGGTGTCTTCATCGACGGAACTCTTGAGTTTCGCCTCGTCGAGACCATCATTGGTAAAGTACCAGAGCTCAACGTAATCTCCCTTGTCGAGTTTGCGTAGTGCGTAGGAAGAGGGAAGGATTGTAGGCTTCAGAGGGACGTCCAGGTCCGGAACAGCAGTATATTTGTGCTTGTTCTTCTTCCTATCTTCCTTCCGTGCTGCTTCCTCCTCGTCACGGCTCTCTTGTTCCTGCCTTTCTTGCTCCTCGTTGTCAAGTCTCTCTAATTGTTCTCGCCGGTCTCTGTCTTCGTTTGCCTGTGCTTGCCATTGGAGCTTTGCAGCATTGTTCTCTGCTTGCCATATGTTCCGGAGTATTACAATGGCCTGCGCTTCGGTGATGTTCTCATTGGTTAATTGAAGTCTCGTGTTGATGAATGCGTCGTCCGCATAGTTGGGACAAAAACTCAAATTCGGGTCGCTCAGCAGACGAGGCATATTAGAGTTAGAAGGATTCTAGTCCGTTGTGTAAAGAAATGCGAAAGAACAAGTGTTAGGACTCGGAGTCGTAGAGTACTGAGAATTTGCAAGTAGTAGTACGAAGCAAAGAAGAGATGTCCCAAAAAGGACATCTGCCACATAGACGACATTCTATGTTCGTCCTCGTTCCTCGGACTCACTTAGAAGACAACCTTCGTGCTACTATCAATCAGAAGTGATCTGACTGCGTCATCCCTTGTCGGGGCCGGCACGACTCGACACGGCAGATCAAAGAACAAACGCAAGCAAGTCCCGCCAAACAATGTACAGGCATTCACACATCCTGAAGGTTACGGTTGAGCGTTTGCGACACTATCTCCATATATCTCCATATCTAATGCCATACACGGACTGAATAAAATTTGCCGCGACCCATATCGATCGTGTATCGTGATGACCGAACAAAGGAATGGTTTTTGAAGTCCTTGAAGTTGGCCCCTATGATCTGGCCAAGATGATAAGCGGTCCACGACCTCATTTTCAGAGAGGCCATTGAACAGGAAGAGGTAGTCTCGAAGAGGTCGAACCGATTCTTCGTACTTATCAAGAGCTAGCTCGACCACGAGCCGTTCCTTATCTTCCGGATATTCACAATGTGCAGTGGCGAACAATCTCAGAATATTGTCCCACTTGCGTCGGATATGGCACACTTCTAGAGCGGCTAGCAGACGCAGACTACGTTTGATGCGCTGCGGTGTCGATGACCCTGGGTACATTGTCAGTGGAAACAATGCGCATATCTATCGAGAAGACTTACCGACAGCTGCCTTTAAAAAATTACAGCTCAACCTATGGTGATTGTGCCAGGAATCACGCTGGCATCGTTTTGAGCAATACCGTACAACTTGACATCTCGCACATTGCCTGAAGCGAATGTCTTCTGCAGTACCATCGCAGTGACACTGGTAGTGTTAAGTCGACGAATCAGCAGGGATGAATCAATGAAGTCTGTGACTGACTTGTAGAACCCAACCCTTTTCACTCGGTGATGCCCAACATATCGTTTCTGCCTTGGACCTAAGTGTCCCATATGTTCGAATGCTCTGCTCTAATTTGGACCAGAGATCCAAGAGGCGTTCATCTTGTCTCACGATTGGTCCGAGATTATTAGACCAAGCGTCCACATGTTTACAGACGTAGGATAAGATTTTGTCGTGAAGACTGTATTTGAATAAGATCCTGAAAAAAGCTTCGTTGATCCTACGAGGATCCATCTCCGCTACCTTCTCCTCCAGGGGTCCGTAAGGACTTATATGTACCATTGTTTCGAAGGCGTGTGCGCAAAGAGCTTGATGGAGTGCTGATACAGGGTCGTCGCCACGTTTAAGGAGAAAGTCCAGGTACGTAAAACTTGAGGCAAGGGCCTCCGCCATGCCCTCTCTATCCAGAGGAAGAGACTGAAGAACACGGAGAGCCCCAAAAATGTCTTTGACGGACTGCCGGAGGACGTATGCTTCCCGTATTGCCGCATCGAGCATGCTCATCGTTGCAATAATTCCAATACAGCACGAAAACACTGGTACAAGCAGCCCGAGCTTGAAAGCCTTGGAGGCTGTGTCGGGGTCCTTAGCCATCGACCGTAAGCTCTTGAGATATTTCAGAGCTGCAGAAGTGACGGCGTCAATGCCACCTGACAATTCGAGTAGCATGGTCACAAAGGATTCATCGTGAACGCATACTGAAACCAACATGACGCTGCAAACTCGAAAAGAAGTAGTGCGAGCGGGGCCGGACGGCGACGATAGGCACACTACATCTTTGTCTTTGGTTTTCAGGGCTAACAACCACAACTCTGCGATCGGGCGATAAAGGGCAGGAGTGGTAAGCAATATGGTTATACTGCGCTTGTCACCAAGAGTCGAAACATAAAATAGTAAGGTAGCAACAAGTCTGAGCGCAGCCATCTTGTCGACGGGTCGATAGTTGGCTCTGCACATGATGAATTGATCATGAAAGAAGATAAGCCAGGGAGCGACACGGTTCCAGGCGGAAAGAAGATGTTGTTTTTCCGAACCTGCCGAGCCACCATCGATACAGCCCAGAGTTGTAACAATCGCGTGAAGCGACCTGAAGACGAGCTCTATATCAGTGGCAGCGGCTGGAGTTGACTTCGCAGGAATGCGTTCTGGATCGAGATGCATGTAGAGTACTGGCTGCAGGATACATAGCTCAAATGCGGAACAATATGGAAGTCGATTGCACAGCTTCTCAAAGTCTGCGACCGAACGATTCATGTACACTCTCTGAACCAGTTTCTAAGTGACACATCAGTTATAGCGATAACAAATTAAGGATCGATCGCAAAACATTCACCTGCACATCCTGAGGCAGCTGCGACAGTTGTGTCGCTGAGATCATTCTCAGTAAAATTGTATCACGGTGGTTTATGATAAGGAATCATGCCCGCCATCAGTGAATTCATGAGTCCGTGATATTGTAGCCGTGGGAACTATAGAAAGATATAATTCTTCTGCTGGTAAATATTGCGATGTATACTGCAATAAATCTGAGTTGTTATTACATAGCCATCTATGTCTGCAGATCTAGATTATCATGAGTAGTTCATGACAAGGTTGTGACATCGTAGCATGATGACACGCAAGAGATGGTAGCATAGGTTTGTCTCCCTTGTTGAGCATTCTCATTCCCCAATATTTATGTTGTAAATTACATGGCTATTCAAGGCTTTCTCGCGGAAAGTGGCGTTCGCATCGGTCATCAAATCTAGATTAGCACGCGAGTTTGTGACAATGTCGTGACATCACACCATCGCTACCTGTAAGGCTGGCAGCTGCCAAGTGTGTACATTTTCTGAGTATTCTTATTTTTCTTTCTGTATGTTTTCAACTGTAATGTTATTTATGACTTTTTGCATCAGTAAAACCACCGATTCCTTTTCTAGCCTTATGTTCCTTAATGTGCTTTCAAATTTCGTCGCGACGAGTCTAAATCAGCTTACTCCTTGCTTTTTGTACTTTGTTTCCTTACTACTGAAAGCAAAACAAGACGAACAAGTGAAAATTGAGTGACAATGAAATTAAGAATAATAAGGAGTACAGTGTAGATATATTTTAAGAGGCTATGATGCAATTTCGAAAGAGTGATGGTCGGCGTATTTGTTGATGTAGAATCTGCGGAACGAATCATATGTCTGATAATGCTGGAGGTTGGGGGGAATGAATCGACTGCCGTAGACGGGAATAAGGTGAGCAGCGCGGTATATCGAGTCAACATGGATGATGGCAATATGGGGAGCGTTGTTGGCATGGTGAGCGGGCTGCACCATCCACATACCGGTGTCGTCATCAGGCAACTCTCCGAGAGTGTCGAACCACCGCACAACTGCACATGGATATGTTTCAGCCCTGTAAGTGAAAGAGAAAAATGTCAGTACTCGGGCAACATCCATCCCCCTCATTCCCTCAAGGTCTGGATTTGTATTGACGAAGATGCAGTCATAGCGCGGGTGCTCCTTTCTCCATGCTGGACATGCACGGATGTGCTCGCGGCGCATGCCGCCAATGCCACTGAGATCGCTGGGGGCAAAAAACCTCGAACACGCCGAATTAAAGACACTGATTCGTTCGTCGTATTGTGGACAATCCGCGGGAGGAATTTGCAATGGATCACGAGGGTCGTTCGGATTGAGTTGCGCAAAAAGGAAGCGGGACAACATGTTCGGGAGCTGGGGAATTGACAACTCCAACGCTAATGCAGACACCGTGCGGGCGCGGTTACGTTCTAGTGCACAGTGTGACATTAGTTAGCAAAGATAAACAAGGATTACAACGAGAGGACTTACGAGGAGTCTTCGCCAATTCCACATGTGCTTGGATAACGGTTGGGCCAGTGTCTATTTCAACATCCCCAACATCCTCGTCTTCCTGCACATTCACCTCAGGCTCGGTGTCCTCTCGCAAAGGATTTCCAGGCTCATCGTTTGCAATTCGGATCTGTTCTGTTGTAGAGTTAGTTGTAGCACATCGAATGTAGTATTGTTAAACTCACCTAATGCGTTGATAGCTGCCGAAAGACACGTCCCGTCGAGCATCCCGCGGGTTGTGAAGTCAGTTCGTGCTGCCGCTAGTTTGTCGAGGCGCTGGTTAGTGACCAGCATCTGACCAAGTGCCTTGTACTGACTTGAGCGCCGCCAAGGTTCTTTGACTGCTTTGATGTGTTTTGACTCGGTAATTGAGGAACATAGACCGTTTGGCGCACCGAAAAGGCGAACGAGGTGAATGTAGTGCTGGAGGGAGTGTTGACGGGGAAGTGAGAACGTTTCAACGACTTCGGTAGTCTTGAAAATTTCTCGGTACCGGTGGAAACGGTCCAGAGCGTCCTGGATTTTGTCGAGCGTCTTCTCCGTGATAATGTTTCGGCGGACGAGGTAACAAAACTCGAGGAATGCGCGGAATGTTTGAACTACCTCTATGGGCACATGTCCCTCGATAGCGGGTAAATATACCTAAAATATCTCTTGTAAAATAACAAATTTAAAATAGAAAAAAACACTTACCTTCATTAATGCCTTGGAGTCATCGCCCGTCCACTGCTTGAATCCGCGTCCTTGAGGGAAGCGTCGAAGTCCAGCAAATGATGGGGTGGCCGCAATTCCAAGTCCAAGTTAGATAGTAGCTGTATGTAATATTGACGTGAATCACATACCTTCGATCAATGTCGTCCATGATACGCTTGGCCGCCATTTTTCCGTGCGTCTGATGCAAGTACTTCTCGACCCAATCTACAATGTGATCTTTGAATGTACCTTTTATCAACTGATGCAAAAGGTCAGGGGCGATGAGTTCGTGAATGTCCGCTCGAGGGAAATCATTCGTGAAAGGCTAAAAGGTATTGTTAATATATTGAAATGAATCAGAAAGTTTGAACTTACGACGAGATCACCAACAATGCCATACTCATCCCATAAGTCACCCAGGGTTGCTTCTTCGACGAGTGCTTCTGTGTGTTCACGGCAGCGCTCACTCGCTGGTTCGTCTAAATTGATGCGTGGTCCTAGACATCTGTTCAATCATTAGCATAGGTAATCAGTTGAGAGGCGTCATGACACCTACCTAGCACACCAGCCTCGAACAATACAGGCCAATAATACCTGTTCCTCGTAATCGGCAATGTAAGGTCCTAGACCATAGACGACACGCCGGAAATGACCATCACCAAAGCGCACGACTTCGGGCTTGGTCATGCCAGGCCGAAGCCTCTCAAGAATTTTGGCGAGGGACGACTGGAATAATTGGCGCCGAAACTTGTGGAACTTCGGATCAGACGCATGTTCTTTTGTTGCTGTTGAAAGGATTAGTCAGCGATATGGAAGAAAGACACAAAAATAAGGATAACAGGAAGAGCAAGGTGAGAATGCGGTTCTATAGGACAAAGTTTAAGAAGAAACTGATGAGGTGTGGTGTGTTGACGCGGTTTTACACGACAAAGTTTAAGAAGAAACTGATGAGGTGTGGTAATCAAACATACTTTTAGGGATAGCGAGAAATCCAACAATAGCAAGTGCCTCGCGGTGTGCACGCCGGACATTGTTGTGGACATTGCCTATTGAGGCGTAGAGAGGGTAATACTCATTATTTCCAGTTGCGACGGAGACCGTGGTTTTGTCACTGCCCAGGACCACCGGCACGAATGTTGATCCGTGTGTCTCTGGGTCAGTTGCAATTAAATCCTAAAAAAATTGTCAGTGGTTGTTCTGAGATAAACAGTAGTACCTACAGCTTGATTCCAGGCCCAATCACCGGACATAAAGTCCTTCCATTGACGGACATCACCATCAGTTGAAAACTCGCGATAAGGGCGGTAATCGAACTCTTGTACGTAGTCGGGGTTCCCGAGCATGTTCCGAACAACCTGATGCGGGTCTCGGTACCAAACATCGAATGTTTGATCCATCCAGGGTGGTGCAACGTCCGGTCGTGCGCCAGTGTATTGCGCGGAAAAAGACTGCCATTTCACATCGCCAACTGGAATGTTGTCAATAGTCTTGTAGAGATCGCGATAGTCAGCAAACGGAGGTCTATCATTGTGCTTGGTGAGAGTCGAAGCCCACAGATCAAGCAATCTGTTAATTTGAGTGGCTGGCGTCTGATTTTCGATGAAGAAGAACTCAGCCGTCTCGAATTCAGTGCGATTACGGAATGGGGTCCAGTCATCGGGAGTTTTTTCAGACAAAGGCTCCGGCACACTTCCAGGTGGAAGGAACATGCCATGTGCATCACAAGGGCGAGCTAGAAATTTAAAATAAGTGAATATACCGTAAGCAAAGCGAGTCATAATTACCATCGAGCGCCTTATGGAAGTTTCGATACACATGGTCTCCCGGACCCCAAAACTCAGCATCAATGTTGGGAGGTGGTGGCAGGTGACGGGTCTCATCTTCGATGTATTGGTCTTGATGCTCAGGCTCTTGATAATCAAACTCTTGGCCTGCCAGTGCAATGTGATGCTCAGGAGCTGGGTCTTCAGCAATATCGCGAGGCAAATTTGGAATTATAGGGTGGGCTGAGTTCCGATGTTTTGTGCGTCCTGCGTGAGTTTTGAAAAAACGCCGACAATTTCCATGCCCGCAAGGTAATTGCAGAGCGGTGTGGTCTCGCCGAAAGTCTTGGTTCCTCGGGACGATCTGAGGCATCAAAGGCAAAGAATAGATGACAGTGCAATAGACAAGAATTCGTAGTAAGAAGTGAGCCCGGTGTCGCCGTCCGAAAACACGTTGGTTGTGTTTGGAGTCAGGGTGAGGACCGTGAGGTACTTCAAAAAATTTCAACGCAAAAGCACTAGTCCCTGCTCATTCCCAACCACTACCAGCCAAACCCTCTTCCCTATCAGCCATGTCTGCAGAACCTGCTGCTCTGCGTCGCACTCGTCCATCTAACGCCAACAAGCATCCTGGTGAGATTGTCCTTCGGGCAAAAGTCCATCGACGTACTGCAGAGGAGATAGCCGTTGCTAAAGCCGCAGAAGCCGAAAAGGCTACAGCCGCTCAGGTAGGCATCCAGCGCTTGGCTAGGATGGAGCTCGCCATGGAGGAGAAGCAGGTCAACTCAGCGACCAAGAAGGCCAGACCAGTGCGACCTCCTCCAAAAGGAAAGTCCAAGGCTAATAAGGCTGTCTCTGAAAAAGAGAAAAGCCTTTCAGTAGTTGCCAATGATGAGGCTCAGGGAGGACTCACTGAGAATGCAGCGCTGGAGCAAGGTCTCAACGACGGTCCTAGTAAGAGGAAGAAGAAGAAGGGGATCAGAGAATCCATCAATCGCGCACGCCATGAGATTAATAGTACTTCTCACCATGATGGCGGCGGTGATAGCAAGGGGCCAACACGTGCTGATAAAGGAAGTGAGAACACGCTTCTGTGAGTCTCTCACAGCTTTCAGATCATGCTCTTACTCACAGAATCTACACTTTTCTTCCTAAATCTAACTTCTAATCGCACCGGCAGAAACCCTAACTTCACACTCAGCGGGAAGATCCAGAACTGGATCTCTGGTGTTGACAAACCCTCAAAGCCTCACACGCCGGCAACTCAGACCTCCAACTCAGTTCCCCCTTCCACTGTCTTCACGCACCTCACAGAGACTTCCCAAGTCACTATCGAGAGCACTACCTCGGCTGGGACCGGTGGGAAATCCGGTGGTGCCCTTGTTGGAGGCTTTGATGATGAAGAGCCAGAGGATGATTCTTTGGAACGCCAGGTTGCTCAGTCAATGGACAAGAAAGGCAGGGAGGCCGTGGTGATTTTTTATTTTTATTTTTAAAAATATTTCATGATACTGATTTATTTTTACAGACTACCATCGCACTCACACTCGATGACTCAGACAATAGTCTATACGATGATGGGCCTACTAGGGCTCCATTCACTCAAAGTAGCGAGGCACGGCCAGTGCCTCACCCCAGGCCTGTCCCCAAAAGGAAGGCGGATGAAATCCTGGAGGTTTCATCTGATAGCGAATTCGAAGACGTCAGCGAGGCTGCTGGAAGTGACAACGACCTACTATCGGATATCGACGGTGACGACTTTTCGATGGATGTTGATCCACGCCAATCAGACCTCAAGCTGACGACATCCCAACCTGTGGTCAAGCAAGGTCCTGCCGACACGGGAGTGCTCATGAGAATGCTGTCAAAGCCAGAGAAAGCTTGCCGCACTACAAATTCGGTGAGAACTTAACCCTCAGTACGAATCCCCACTGACTCATGTATTTGTAGACATCCGTCAAAACTGTAGACACGAACACTCCAGCAGCCAAGAAGGTGAAGACAGAACCGATCACAGCGCCAATCAGTGCTACTCCTGCACAGGCCCAGCCTGAAGTCCAATTTGACACACCTGCGAAATCAGTAAAGCCCCGAGCGCAATACCGGACCACCGACCTACCTGCGCCAGTCCAGGCAGACCAGCGCTGGGCCAAGAAATTCTGCCCGACTGTGATCTTGTGGATGGGGAGTCTCGAAGACGACCTTGTTTGGACCATCACAGATGTGAAGTTACTCGAGCACGTTCAAATTATATTTGATGCAGTGTACCCAGAGCTCAGCCTTAAAGTGGTTCAGAATGGTGTCATATTCTCGCTCGCAAGTTTTTTTTACTTTTTTCACGGCTTACTTGTATTCTGACCGCACATTAACTAGACCGTTCAACGCCTCTCTGAATGGCGTAGTACCTTCGGCTCAACAGCCATTGCACTCGTCATCGATTTCTTGCTAACCAACCAAGACTGTGACCCGCAGGTTCTCTCACGCCTCCTCTTGAAGGATTACGCCTTCCTCTTCGCAGACATGGACCTACGTGATCCCCTTGGAGTGTACCATTCCGCCTTCATGCTTCAACTCTTCGGAAAGGCGCACCTTGCCTCCATCGGTGGCCACGCCAACATCCCCGCACTAAAGACTCACACCTTAGCAACAAGTGGAATGGTAGGCGCCTTCTCACTTTGTGCCGCAGCTGTAAGACTTCAGTTTTTCTGCCGTGAATGACTGTTGACTTCGGCCTCTGCAGCTCGAGCGCGCTGTTGAAATGATCGCCGTGGGTGATATCAAGGCCGAGGATATTTTAGCTGCAACTTCATCCACCAAGATCAGTGTTAAGCTGCCGAAAGTCCTCAACAAGGCCACTGGAAAGGAGACCAGCATCCCCTTTCTGTTCTCGCGCGATAGGTGTGCCAAGAAGACGAAGAACTACGCCAGGTCCATCAAGAAGAAGGGAGCGGCCTTCGTAACATCTTTGACGGAGATCGCACGTTCAGCATGGAAGGAAAATGTCTGGCCCGCGGACTCAACTGTCACAGATGACGAGTCTGATGACGAACGTGCCTTGCTGTGTATCTATGTGCTAACTATTTTCCTTTGTATTTTTACTGAATTTTACTTGCTTTTGGCAGAATTTGACGGCACCACGTCCACGCGCTGCTACTCCTGCTGGTAACCATTTTACTATACTCCTTTTCTCTGCTCTGAACCCCGTCCAGATTTCGCCTCGAGCGTCTTCAAGGCCGTCTTCGTCACTCTCGTGCACTGCTTCAAGTTTGCTCTTTGCTGTCATCATTTGTGTCTTGCCACTCGTTTTTTAGCCTCATCGTTTTGCGTTATTTCAGTACCTCCGCCCGCTCGCTAACTGCTTTTTACTACACTATATTTCCGCATGTTGACCCCTTAATTTCCACATTTTTCACCCAAATGGTCCACTTTCTTTTGCTTTTCCGCTACTTTCAGCGCACTTGTCATTAAATGAAAATTTGCTTTGCATACTGAAAAGGAAGACAAGTGAAAAGAAAGTAGAATTCCAGACAATGAGTGGCCTTTTTCAAATGGCTATCTACTTATTTTCACTCTTGCTTTTTTGTGCTTTTTGGACGAGAAAAGTTGAATATAAGTAAGGTAAGGAACCGGGCGTTTTACTGATGTGATAGAACACGCCTTTCACATGCATCAACTAGGCGTTGGGGTTGGCGAATAAACACATTGCTCTAATAGTTTGGAACGTGACACGTTCAATATCACTACGGTATTGCAAAGTAAGTCTGGTACATATTGAGTTAGCAGCGCTTGAAACTCGGCAAATTTAAAGCCATGTATATATGAATTCTTGCAGCAGTGTGGCCCATGAATAGAATGAGCTTTGATATTTTGCTATCAAAGACATGTTTTGTAGCTTTGTGCACTTTGATATGTTGCGTTGTGCACTCCGAGTCCCGGCCGTTATTATGTGACATGCACTTAGTGTTGTATCACACAGTTTATTAGAGGTATTTGGAGCGTCATATTTCCATGTACTAAGTACTACACTATAGACACAAAAAATACAAATGTTCCTATGCAAAACTCACATAGAATGGCTAGATGCCAGTACGGCGAAGAGACCAACTCTATGGAACTTTAGAATGTGACAACCCTAAAATAAAAGGAGACTTACAAAAATGAGAAGAAAATCCCGATGACTGGCAGGTGTAGGAATAGAGATAAACGAGTCGCTCGAGCGTGCAGTGAGGGTACAGAGCCGAGAAGACCGCACTGGAATGTCTGAAAAAAGATATGGCCGGGAGAAGCCAAATTCGAGTTACAGCCTTCGAGTTGCAGCACCTAAGTTCAGAACTCGACCATATCAATGATCTACAACCTACTACTCTTTACCTTTCTGAAGATGTCTCGCCAAGATGCTGTGAGTGACCCTTGCATTGTGTTTGTGGGTGATTGCTGAGGCGATCAGTAGCGATCAGCCAGAATTCCAACTCAGCCAGCAAGACCTGTTATCTACAAAAGAGGGCAAAGATTCCCAATGGATGCGGGGTATCCAGCAGATGTGCTGGAGTGAGGTGGGGCCGGAGGTGGAAGAATGGGGTTTTGGAAGAAGACATTGAGCTTCAACGTGTCCTTCAGTTGCAGTAGTCGGGAGTTGATTGAGCACAGGCATGACACAGCGTGAAGCTGAGTTCCTGTGAACTAAAGCAAGGTAAGTTTGGTATACCTCACGGATGATGGATTCCTAATTCAAATGTGCCTCAGAAGTTACCTAGCGTCTATGTCAAACCTTCGTAGAGAATTCTTAAGTGCTCGTCGATCAACGAGCTTTGAATTTTGAATTTTATATTTTGAGCGCTTGATAAGATGACTCACGTGCTCATTCACGTGATACATGTTCTAGACCCCTAGCGCCCATCTGCTCGGAACAAGTATAACAACTGATATAACGGACTGGCTCACCGGGTTTTAAAAATAGAATATTGTGAGAAGTGCAAACACATTGCTAAGATCTCATCAATAACAAAGAGCTTGTGGCAGCCGAGATCCCTATATTCAAGTTAGACGTCATCCGTAATGTGAGTACTCGCCAACTATGTGAAATTAAACTGCTGTGTCATTGTCCTAAGAGTAGAAGCTTACCTTCGTATTGAAAGTATCGTACCTTGAGGGTGGTAGTTGGGAACTGAGAGCTAATCAGATCGAGCACCATGCTCACCTATCAACTACAGCAAGTTCTAGACATTGTTCCAGCTGATATTCGTGGAATGGAATATGCAACACACAGAAACTTCTGTGACCATCAGGTCAGTGGTTACTCTCGTTGTAATTACTCAGTAACTAAAGACATACTCGCTTGTTCCTACACTTCATTGTGAGGACACGTCAAGAAACTGGGTTGATTTGGGGTGTAGATGTCCGGAATATTGTTGAACATCCACTGCTTGACACCGATCTGGATGAATGATGCCAACAACGTGCCCACAAATTGCACTGCAGGGAACACCCTTGGTCAGGTGATCAAGTGACAATCAAAAAAGCACTGCTTACCAAGGAACGTGGCTCGTGGAGGAACCTTTATGTAATGACCAAGCTTGAGATCCTGTACAAATGATGTAGATTCCATCAATGTCTGAACGGAGTATGCCTTGAAGATCTGTGACAAATTTGGATGACAACGTCAAACTCCTCACAAAGTGCTACAGTTTGACTGCATACCATGTTCGCAACAGGGTCGCCTGCCATTAAAGTCCCTGGAATGATCTGCGCAAGCAGATTCAGCGTGATCTGTACAGATCAGATGTTAGCATTCCTATTCTCAAATGCAGTGCAGAAGCATGCATACCCCTTGCCCAGTCATTGTGAAAATGAAGCCGGACGGCAAGACATATAGAGTTGGTAATGCCACAGAGGCCCACACAGGTACTGCCATATGCCACACCTGTAAACAGCTGATGAACAAAATTCAGCATGTAAAAGGAGAGTGCGCTTACCTCAACGACTACTACCATGAGGAGGAAAAAGCCAAAGAAGCACACGAGATACCACCAATCTGGCACTTCAGGGTAGTTGCACATGAGCTTCGCATGGATGTCATCCTGCTCTACGCGAATCTTCTTCACCCCATTCAGTAAACTTCGACCATGGTAAAGGATCATGTGCATGAGCACGCAAGTCGATAGGGCGAATGCAAGTATGTAGGTCATCGCATAAGTCATGGGAAGATAAAGCGGAGAATAGTTCTCATAGGCAGTAAGATTGAAGCGGTTGGAGGCAGACAACACAGCCAACACATTGTACACGTTACCGTAGCGATCATATGAATTGCTGTTGTTCAAGGGGAAGTAGGCGAGATCCCATGTCTGTGACGAAGTCAGAAACGAAGGATAGAAGGTATGGGCTGAGGGCTGAAGGGACTTACGTTGGTGTAGTATAATATCAGTGTGATGATCCAGAAGAAAAGAATGAAGCCGAAGAAGATGTGTACTTCAGCCCACCATGGATACATCAATGGACTGCCAATCCACAAGATTTGTGTCCAGTCAAATGTCACTACGGTCATGCCCAACCCCAAGTCGACACCAAATAGTTGATTAACTAGAATGTTATCCAGTAGTATCCATATTGGTTGTACTCAAAAGGGCTGTGCTTAGTTGACGCATGCGATACGGGTCGCTTGTACCTTGGTTTGACACGGTAGAGGGAGGGCTTTCTACCGGAACCTGAGATATGGGTATGGGGAAGAGACAGGAGGGGCCGGCCATTTCAGAGGAGAAACAAGCCCAGGGGTGAAAGGTTGGTGCCTGATAGGTATCTGTCATATCCTGCGTTCCGGATCCGGCCGACTTCTATGTATTGTCCGGATCCAACCCGCGTCTAACTTCTGTGCCTTATCCCTTTGGTATTTCCCTTATCAGTTAGTACACTTTATTTTCCATCCCTTATTCATTTCCGTCTTCATTTTACTAAGTTCCGATAGACTAGTGATAATCGTCCCATATGTTTCCTCCATAGCTTTACATAGCCTCGCACTGCACTTACTGTTCTCCGTTATGTCCTCAGTAGTATATAAACCTTGTACAGTCTCTGTAGTTTCCTCAGTTTGAATATCATCTTAGACTCTGCTCATTCTCTCTTCCGTCCGACTTGAGTTTCTCTCTCGTCGACCTCCGCTCGTCTTAGGATCGATTCCTATAGACTTGTCACCTCTGCCTCTACCTCTGGTAGTCCTCTGCTGTTTCCTTTCTAGTTCGGACTTCGTTTGGATTAGTCTTATCTCTTGTTTCCGAATGTCCGCCGGAATTCCCATGCATTGGACATCGCCCGATGCCCTCCGGACATCGTCCGGTAACCTTCGGACATTGTTCGACAGCCCTCGGAAGTTAGGGGCACGTACTCGGGTAAGGGGCGCAGCACACGAGCTGAAGCCAAGCCCTTCGGATCCGACCCTTGAGCACGTTCTTAACAGTATATTCGAACTCACACCTTACCGAGTATACTTACATCTGACTTCATGGCACCTACACGGGCGCAGACCGCTCTCAATGCAGCGGGTGTAGTAACTGCCTGACACAACTCTACTCCCATAGTCGATGCCTTCCTCAGTTTCTCACAGCGCTGCGCTAGTGCGCAAGGTGCTGCCTCCAGCATCTCACAACTCATGAATCGCCCACATCCATCTACCCCCACCCCCACACCCGCCGGAAATCTTCTGCACAATGATTCCGACGATGAACTTGCCCTAGGCGGTAACCCGCCGGGAGGAGGTGGCGGAGATCCGGATGATGAACCTCTGGAAGACCCGACTGACAATGAAAACAAAGGTCTAGGTCCACAAGACTTGGTCTTCCTCCGGCTATCCCAAGCCATCAATAACCTGGCGCGTAACAACCGCCAATCCTCCGGATCCGGTGACTCTAAAGTCAAAGTCCGAGAACCGGATACCTTCGATGGCACTGAGCCCCGGAAACTCTGGGCGTTCTTTGTCCAATGTGAGCTTAACTTCCAAGCTAAGCCGAAATCTTTCCATACTGGCCGAACTAAGGTCAACTTCGCGCAATCATACCTCAAGGGCATGGCCCTTGAATGGTTTGAGCCGGACCTCCTTTCGGATGATCTAGCGGATCGTCCGGACTGGATGGATGACTACTCTGAGTTCATGTTAGAACTTCAAACTAACTTCGGACCTCATGACCCGGTCGGAGATGCAGAAATGCAGCTGGAACAGCTCTACATGCGCGATGGACAGCGCATCAACAAGTATGTTGTAGAGTTCCAGCGACTAGCTTCCCAAGTCCGAGGTTGGGGCGACGGAGCTTTGCGCCGTCAGTTCTACAATGGACTTCCGGCTCGCATCAAGGACGAAATCAGTCGTCAAGGAAAACCCACCACTCTGTCCCAATACAAAACTCTCGCCCAGACTATCGACGCTCAATACTGGGAACGCAAGGGAGAAGTCTCCTGCGAAACCAAACCCTCCGCATCCGCGCCTCCTACTAAGCAGTCAGCTTCCACTTCCGACCGGAAAGAGTACTCCGGCAGAAAATCCGGAAACGCTTCGGCTTCCTCCTCCGCCAAACTTCCGGACTTAACATCCAAGCTTGGAAAAGACGGTAAACTCACCTCCAAGGAGCGCCAGAGGCACATGGAAAAGAAGCTCTGCCTCTTCTGCGGCGGACCCGGTCACACTGCCCGGGACTGACTAAAGTCCACTTCCCGTGCGGCCAAAGGTCGTGCTAGCACGGTGACTCCGGAAGCCAAACCAGAGGTCTTGGAAGAGACAAAAAATTAGTCCGCAACCCTCTTGACTCCGCGCGGGACGAGGGTTGCGTTGACTCAACCCGTGCAATGGAGCTACGTCTCAATGCTATTTCCTTTTCCGATCCGAACTCTCTAGTACCATCCGTTTCAATTTCTACTTTTCCCGATATTTCTCCGTTCCCGGCTCTAGTAGATTGTGGTTCCTCCCATTGTTTTATAGAAAGCAAGCTAATCCGAGAAAATAACATTCCGACCTATGCAATTCCTCCGCTTCCGCTCCATCTGTTTGATGGTACTTCTAATGCCACTATTACTGAGGCAGTAGATTTACTGATCCGGTTTCCGACCGGCGTGGTTACCTCCGAAACATTTTATGTTACTCCGCTGGACTCATCCTGTTCCATCGTTCTAGGATATAGCTGGCTCACCCGACACAATCCGTTGATTGACTGGGTAAAGGGCAGCATCAATTTCTGTCCAATTCCTCATGGAGTGCCTCCGACCCCTCCGACTCAACTTCCGCCGGCTCCGGCGGAAATCCCTTCCTCAACCTCGCCGAGTCCCTCCGCTGATAACGCTGTTCCTAATATTTCCCTAATCAATGCAGTTGCCTTTTGCCGGGCCTGTAAATTAGAGGGATCGGTCCAGTTCAGTATCTTTGTTCGTCCGTCCGGTGTCAATCTCCGCTCCACTACACTCTCCTCCAAACCTCCGAACCTATCTGGAATCCCTTCGGAATATCACGAGTACGCAGATGTCTTTGATAAGGGCAAAGCCGGACAGCTCCCTCCCCATCGTTCCTATGATCTGAAGATCGAATTGGAAGAAGGAGCGGCTCCGCCCCTTGGCACCATCTATTCCCTTTCTCCGGTTGAGCTTGTAGCTCTTCGCAAATTCCTTGATGAGAATATTGCGACCGGACTTCCTCGTTCCTCATCCTCTCCACACGGAGCCCCTGTCCTGTTTGTCAAAAAGAAGGACGGCTCCCTACGCCTCTGTGTAGATTTCCGAGGACTCAATAAAATCACAAAGAAAGACCGCTACCCGCTTCCCCTCATTTCCGACCTTCTCGATTCTCTGAGCCGCGCAAAAGTTTACACTAAAATCGACCTCCGGTCCGCTTACCATCTAGTCCGGATGGCGGAAGGAGACGAGTGGAAAACTGCTTTCCGGACACGCTACGGCTCATATGAATGGTTGGTTATGCCGGAGGGTCTCACCAATGCTCCGGCGGCTTTCCAGCGCTTTGTCAACACCATCTTCGCCGATATGCTTGACATATGTGTTATTGTGTATCTCGACAACATCCTCATTTATTCCGCAGACCTTGCATCTCACAAACAACATGTCCTTGAAGTTCTCCAACGCCTCCAGAAGCATCGTTTATATGCTAAACCGGAGAAGTGCGAATTCCATTCTGACTCCGTAGAATACCTCGGCTACCTCCTATCTCTGGCCGGCCTTACCATGTCTTCAGACAAAGTCCAGACTATCAGCGACTGGCCGGAGCCCCAGAAAGTTAAGGATATTCAATCATTCCTCGGATTTGCCAATTTCTATTGTCGCTTCATCTTTAACTACTCAGATATTGTAGTTCCGCTTACGCGGCTCACTCGCAAGGATGCTCCCTGGAATGTCTCCGAGGATTGCCGGAAATCCTTTGAAACTCTCAAGAAAGCCTTCACTACCGCTCCGGTGCTTACGCACTGGATGCCGGATGTTCCTATCGTCGTTGAGACGGACGCTTCTGACTATGCTATCGCCGGAATACTTTCTATAGTATGTCCGGACCAGGAGCTCCGCCCGGTTGCTTTTTACTCCCGAACCCTTTCGGCTCCGGAACTCAACTATGACACCCATGATAAGGAACTCCTAGCTATCTATGAAGCTTTCCGGTCCTGGCGACACTACCTTGAAGGCTCTGCCGAGCCGATAGATGTCGTCACGGACCACAAGAACCTTGAGTACTTCGCTACCACAAAACTCCTCACCTGCCGCCAGGCCCGCTGGTCGGAATACCTTCATCAGTTCAACCTCATTATCCGTTTCCGACCCGGAAAACTCGGAGCTAAGCCTGACTGCCTAACTAGACGTTGGGACGTCTACCCCAAAGAGGGGGATAAGGACTACACTCAAGTTAATCCACACAACCTCCGGCCGGTATTTACCACAGAACAGCTCACTTTGTCCCTCCAGGCATCACACCTAGCAATTCCGGTGCTCCGGGCGGCTGTACTGATGGACGTCGAGCAGCTTCATAAGGACATTCTGTCCGCCCTCCCTAATGACCCTATCGCTTCCAGTCATCTTCTGGATCCGCCGGACCCGAGATGGACAGTGGACGAAAGTGGTTTCCTCCGTTGTGACAACCGTTGTCCTGCATGATACGGGAATCATGCATGGACATAACTACTACTAGGAATAACCCTCAAAAGATTATGTCTGTTAGCACAGTCCTCAGACTAGTCACCCCATACCTTGGTATCAAACCTCGGTCCTATATTTCAAGTTTTATATGGAAGAAGAAGAAAAAGTCATATGTGAAGTAAAATGAAGGTCAAGGTATTGCCTTACCTTTGGCTTAATCACTTTGGCCAGAGAAAACCATTGAGAAAAGCTCAAAGCCTAACAAAAACCTATCTAAAAAGCCCGTGTCTTGCATATTGTATTTGTATCATTGTTTCTATCTTGTTTTCTCTAGCATTGTTCGTTTATTTTCTTTTATTTAGGATGCTATGACCTACCAGATACTCCAGAAAATATTATTTCTGAGTATGATGTCATAATGATGTCATATAGCTCCACAGAAAGTTCTAGACTATTCTGTTGGAAATTATGATGTAATGTATGAAGTCATAATGATGTCATAGGCTCTAGAATATTCTAGCTCCACTATGATGTCATCTCTGATGTCATTGCTCCATCTTTTATTTGTATTTTATACTTTTATTGGGTTTCACCCAATATTCTGATTGGTTCTCTCTTTATTTTATTGTTTGCGAACCTACATTACTTTCCCACACAAAATGTATATAAGGAGAGCCCATTCTCCCCCAAAAAAATAGAGATCCCTCTTCTAGGAAATTTTCTTCTCAGAGAAACCCCCTCAGTTGAACAAGACATCTCACTTGTTAAGATCTCCCACTTGTAGCAGAACAAGTGCAGGGAAACGTATCCCTTGAGAATACAAGTTTCTTACGATAAGAAGCTTACGTTACTATTTATTTGACCAACCAGTCTTTGGTCCACGTGATTTTAGAGACCGTTGTCTCTCCTGTTTTACTGTTTAATTGACCAACTCGTGCCTTGGTCAACGTGATTATTCTTGAGACCATTGTCTCACCAGTGCTATTTGTGTCTATTTGACCAACCAGTCTTTGGTCAACGTGATATTACAGAGACCCCTTTGTCTCTACTCCTCTTCGTGCCTATTTGATCAACTTGTGCCTTGGTCAAATCTACCCAGTTCATTTCAGTGCCTAGAACGTGCAATCTAGGCAAAGCTATTTGTACTTCAGACCACAGTTCTGAATCTAGGTAGCAAATCCTAGACAAAGTAATTGGAGGTACACATAAAAAGCTCTGGCTAAGTTGATCACCTGATTGGTTTAGCGAGCCTCCCAAGAACTCACACGTTATCTACCACGAAAGAAGAAAAGTCGTAGACCGTGTTAATCGAGGACTGGCAAGAAGTCTTATCCAAGTGTAATTGTGGTGTCATTACATTCCTACACGCTTTATATAAGACCCTCGGTTATTAAGACATCGTATATACGTTCCGGAATCCAATGACCTCCGTCTCCGAGTGCTCCGGAATACGCATGACCACCCGCTATCCGGACATTTCGGTCAGAACCGGACCCTGGAAGTTATCCGTCGGGAATATACCTGGCCCGGAATCCGCGCATATGTGAAGGACTATGTTAAGTCCTGCACGACCTGCGCCCGAGCTAAAGTTCCGCGACACAAACCATACGGATTGTTGAAACAACTTCCCATCCCCGAGAAGCCGTGGAATTCTATATCCATGGACTTCATCAAACAACTTCCCAATTCCTCCGGATTCACCGCCATCCTGGTAGTCATAGATCGACTATCCAAGCAATCCATATTCATCCCCACCTACGACACCATTACCTCTCCGGACCTCGCCCGGTTATTCCTCCTCCATGTGTTTTCCAAACACGGAGTTCCATCCCATGTTACTTACTTCTTCCGGTCGCTCGGAAAAGCGTTAGATATGATCCTCCATTTCACCTCCGGATATCATCTGGAAGGCGACGGACAAACTGAGTGAGCTAACCAAACCCTAGAACAATACCTCCGGATCTACTGCAACTATCAGCAGGATAACTGGTCGGAACTGTTACCCTTGGCCGAGTTTGCTTACAACAATGCTCCTAGTGCTACTACTGGAGTTTCACCATTCTTCGCCAATAAGGGTTATCACCCGAACATTTCCATACATCTGGAGCGTGATCTCTCATCCGCCCATGCCCGGGACTATGCCATAGACCTAGACGAGCTTCACCAATTCCTCCGAGAAGAAATGTCCCACACCCAAGAATGATATCAGGGACCCGCGGACGCTAGACGGAAACCCGCTCCGGACTTCAAAGTCGGAGATCAGGTCTTCATCAAAGCAAAATATTTCCGCTCGACCCGACCATCGAAAAAGCTCTTGGAAAAGAATCTCAGACCATTCGACATCATCGCTCGTCCCGGCACCCACTCCTTCACCATCCATCTTCCGGACGCTATGCGATCTGTGCACCCCGTATTCCATGTCTCTCAGTTAGAACCCGCAACTCCGAACACTATTCCTAATTGCATCCAACCTCCTCCGCCTCTGGTATTAGTCGACGGAGAACCGGAATACGAAATCTCCGAAATCCTGGACTCCAAGATCGACCGCCGGAGACGTCACTGCCAACTACTATACTTAGTACGTTGGGCCGGATATGAGGGGACGGACGAAGAAACTTCCTGGATACTCGCAACTGAACTCGGAAATGCGCCAGAACTTCTATCGGATTTCCACTCGGCATATCCGGATAAGCTGGGACCAACTTCTAACAAAGAGTAAAAAAGGACATGCATATAGGTATTTTATTTGGGCGTCCGATATCCGGACTTCGGATCCGACGACCTAAGAGTCCATCTCCATGTCTCCGCCGGATCCGCCGGCCTCCTTTTCCGCCTCCTCAGCATTTTCCTCCTCCAGAGCATTCTCTACATGCATCCGGAAACCGCCCCTCAGACTCTCCATGAAGAGAGTCTGAAACTCCCTCTGCTCCTCCATGAACCGGAGCATGGTCTCACTCACCCGGTCCATCGCAGCTCTACTTCCCTCCGCCGCAGCAATACCCCTCTCCATCAGCCCATTCATCTGGGCCAGTTCCACAACAATGTTGTTGGCGGCTGCGACCCAGGCCTGGTCATCGTACTCCGCCCAGTCTTGATCCTCTCCAATGACCGTCCGGGGATTGGAGACTATTTCCACGTCGTCGTCAATGTCCTCCGGACTGCGCTGACATCTTTTTCCTTTGCCCTTGGGGCTTGGAGATCCCTCCGGACGCGCGCGTTTCTTGCCTTTGCCTTTGCCGGCCGGCGCCTTGACAGGTGGATTTCCGCCAACACACTTTTCCTTGGACGCGTGGCACTGGTCGCAAGTCCGGATCTCTCGGAAATCATCAGTAATCATCTGGATCCAGACAAAACAGAAAACTCACCCTAGGCGTCCTAGACGCTACCGCCCAGGTACAAATCTTGCGCCTAAGGACGCACATCTTACACGCAACCTCTAGATCCGCCAGACCGGAGGACTAACATGTTGTTAAACTCCGGAAAAACACAAAAAATCTCATCCGACTCACCTCCAACGCATTACCCATCCTAGCCTTTGCCAAACGCTCCTGCTCGCACTCAGCCAACCTCTTCCGAGTCTCCTCGATATCCTTCCACTTCTGTTCTTCCATACGTTTCCGTTCCTCTTCCGCCTCCTTGCGTTTGCGTTCCTCTTCCTCTGCCTCTCTCCGAGTGTCTGCCTTGAGCCACGCAATTTCGGCCGCCATTTCCGCCTGTCTCTCTTCGAGAACCTGCCGGGCGGTCTTCTTGTTGCCGGAAGTGGAGTTAGACATGTTAAAAGCAGTAATAGGAGTTAAAGGGAAAGTTTTAGACGTCTCATGGGCGCCCCGGCCTACTTATATGCTCAGTGCTATTTTTACGAGCTCCGCCCATCATCTCGCATTCATAAAAGTCCAGTCCGGACTTCTGGATCAGAAGCCTCGTGGGCTCAGCCCTAAAGGGGGGATACTGTCATATCCCGCGTTCCGGATCTGGACCTATCACACTCATCATTTCCGGATTTCCGGATCCGGCCGACTTCTATGTATTGTCCGGATCCAACCCGTGTCTAACTTCTGTGCCTTATCCCTTTGGTATTTCCCTTATCAGTTAGTACACTTTATTTTCCATCCCTTATTCATTTCCGTCTTCATTTTACTAAGTTCCGATAGACTAGTGATAGTCGTCCCATATGTTTCCTCCATAGCTTTACATAGCCTCGCACTGCACTTACTGTTCTCCGTTATGTCCTCAGTAGTATATAAACCCTGTACAGTCTCTGTAGTTTCCTCAGTTTAAATATCATCTTAGACTCTGCTCATTCTCTCTTCCGTCTGACTTGAGTTTCTCTCTCGTCGACCTCCGCTCGTCTTAGGATCGATTCCTATAGACTTGTCACCTCCGCCTCTACCTCTGGTAGTCCTCTGCTGTTTCCTTTCTAGTTCGGACTTCATCCGGATTAGTCTTATCTCTTGTTTCCGAACGTCTGCCGGAATTCCCGTGCATCAGACATCAGACTCCGGACATCGTCCGGTAATTTTCGGACATCGTTCGACAGCCCTCGGAAGTTAGGGGCATGTACTCGGGTAAGGGGCGCAGCGCACGAGCTGAAGCCAAGCCCTTCGGATCCGACCCTTGAGCACGTTCTTAACAGTATCCTAATGGACAGAGTTCAACTACGTGGAGTTCAACCACTGTGTCATACAATAAAAGAATGGAAGCTTACCTTAGTATTGAAAACACCATGTCTGGTAATTATGAAATGACGAGCGAATTTGTCGGATTGAGCCAGGGCCTGTGTCCCAATGGGCCAGAGTTGTAGGTGCCAAAATTGGCCGCCGGAACAAGAATACTCATTGACTATTTGAAATTTAATCGTTGTGTCATCATAATAAGAGAGCAGAAGCTTACCTTCATATTGAAAATATCGGTGATCAGGAAAAAGTTGGGGCACCAAACCGCATTTCACCATCTGTGGCTGCGCGTTTGGTGGATGGTCATGGCTGCCAGATGTTATCCTCAGGATCTGCAGAGGTGCTGGGTACGATGATGTAGGAAGACTGCCGCACAGTAACGCTGGAGCCTGCAGTCCTGCAGATTGGGACAAAGACACAGGACTCTGCTGGTGTGCCGCTATAGAGCCCTGCCTGTGCGGGGCTGCCAGGCGTTGTCCTCGAGACCTGCAAAGGTAACACTAAAGATTGGGACGTAGACCCTGTCCAAGGTATTAGCCAGATGCATTGAGGCATATGATCATGTGATTTTTATGCATAATCTAAACAAGAGCACTATATGAGCAGACCATTGTCCATATGTGTTCTGCCCATAAGCATTCCAATATCAACAAGAAGGATCAGAAGGAAAGAATGTCACATACTGAAGAGTTGCAAAAGATGAGCACATAGCCTCCAAGCGAGGTTTGTCAAAAGGGGAGACACAAAAGAGGTTTAGCTTTGCTGAGAGAGACATGAACACAGCCTTATAGGCCTGCCAACAGGGTAAGACAGTGACCTGGGAGCTTGGGCTCGATGAACCTGGATCAAATTTTGCCTATGAAAATATGTTCCTCCAGATTGTCGGGATGTGTACTTTCGTACAAAAAGGTTGAAAAAGAAAGGTCAATCACAGTATGACCCTCTGAACGATCCTGAATCCCCGCCTTTACTCTGGTAAAGAGTCAGAGTTGTGCAGCGTTGTGTGCCAACCACTTACATGGGGCTGCTCCAGTCAAGTTCGGAAGGGAATAGTAGCCTTTCACATGCGTCATTGACAAACCTAAGGCAATGTTTGTCATCAGGCTCAACTGGAGAGGTTAGCCTCAGTTCAAGATTGACCCAGTCTGAAACTGGAGTGCCGAGCTTTAACATATCATCTCTCTGAACGCCGTTGTCCCCCTGCTTCAGTTTCAAGAAGGTTCAGTATAGTGCAACCGTTGATTCAGATAACAGTAAGGCATACCATTTTTAGCATGCAGGTATAGTCGTCATGCTCTATTTCTGTGACTTTTTTCACAAAGCAGAGCAAAACAACAAAAAACCTCAGTCGAAGGCTCTCACTAGGGTGTTGTACCACATCTATAGTCGGTCCTGACGGCAAAAAGAAAATGATAAGTGTACTCGCCGTGGAAAGCCAAGGGCAAAGGAACTTACTCTGGATTAACACTGTTGTCGCCAACCCTGCTAAACCAACGGTGGGACTCTGTAACTTCGAGCCCTCGCGTCCATTGATGAATTCTCAATCACTGTTGAGGTATAGTCTGTGCAACCTATAAGGTAGTCCTTGAGTTCTGGTTCTGACAACCACCATGGGCGCAACATGCACTGCTACCTTGAGAGCTGAATCCACTCCCATGATTTCAAAGGAGTCTGAATAGAGCAATTGGATGGTTTTGACCTGTCGCAATGAGATAACCTTTTGAGAGGATGATAGAGGGGAGTGCTTCTGTGGCTGCTTGCGGCACATGGCACCTGCGCAGGCCCCCAGGAATGGCGTATGGACCGCCCACCACCAGGTGGGTAGATGGAACCTTCCGGGCATCCAAATTGCACGACATTGGCGACCAGCATACAGAATAGATCAAGGCTAGGTAGTACAAGCTTCTTGACAAATTGGCTTTGTTAACACTGGTTTGAGCTAATCATAACTGGGGCAGAACTGATAGTACCTACAAGAATAGGAACTCAGGAAGGCATTAGTACTTCCTAAGTGATAGATAATCTCACGAGTCCTGACAACCTTGGACATAGCATACAGCCAAAGGCTGGTTAATCAGCTTTTCAGCTGAACAAGCCTTTTGGTACTGTGCAGTGTTCTGGAATGGGCTTTATGAATTGAGAGCGCTGAGTAAAACCTCAGCCTGCTCACATTGAAGGTGTTTTACTCAGTGAACGAGAGAAGAGTGTGTTTGATCTTCGGGGCTCAATTAATAAACTTTGCATGCTGGAACATGGGCCACTTACTATTCTAGTGACTAACATTGAGCATATAGGAGGGGGGAAGGTGGGATGTTGCCTTGATGTCTCCTCACAAAGTGGAAGTTTAATGTGAGCACATGGCATGAGATAATCTGATCGCAGCGATTCTGCATCTAAGTTGCACACTCAGTTAACTTGGACTCCCCTCATACACCACAGGTGACCTCACCAGTACCCTGGATAGAGGAAAACTTCGTCCGCACTGTTTCGTAGATGCGGAGATAGTTAGGGTATGGTCAGATTCCCTTCAGTAAATACAACAAAGACTCACAGTAGCGTCCCAATCGTAATGATCGCAATAGAGATCAACCTCTTCGTCACTGTGAAGATGGCCATTGTATCGACATGGCGGGCACGAATGACATGGCTTATCGATGAGCACAGCCCACAGCACTCTAGAAACATGGACAAATAATATCATGTATTGTGGCGAACAGATCGCTTCTCGGCTTACTAAACTATGGGGACAGAGCAGTTTTATCGGATCATTCCGGCAGTCTGTATATAGTACAGGTAGAGACGGTCCGAGTCTTGTTAGTGCATGCAGGTCTGACAGGGCAGAGCATGAAGCCATACTAGTAATAGTTCATGGTTGTAGTCAGAATCAGAATCAATAGTAGTAGTAGTACTAGCCTGAGGATCAGATCTGTAGTAGATAGTTACTTTGAGCCCAGTGCGGAAGCGAAGACAAAAGTAAAAGACTCAAACCAAAAGCGGAGTGGTGCCTTGTGAAGGTGAAACCTACGTAAGAACCTTGCCTTGTGGACACAGCATCTCGAGAGTTGACTCTTGCCCCATACTACTAGTAAGGTTCCTGCATTTGTCCCTAGATCTTCACTATGCCTAGGTTATCACACTGGCTGGGTCCCATGTAAATTTGATAACGATGAACAATTTTCATTGGTTGATTACAAAAGTAGCTGTGACCAAAGCGAAGTACCATAACCCTACTAGTTCTACTACTACAGAGAGTCACAGTAATGTACTACTAAAACGGGGCTATGTGAATGGGCTCTCCCGAAACCCCATCAACTTGAAGCTACATGTCTGGATAACCTTGAGAAAATGCTAAGAAGTCATCAGCAAAATCTTGCCGCAGTGCGGGCGCGTGCAGTGAGAACAATCTGGGATCTATAGTAGTGGGTGGGGGAGAAGCTGTAGTTGACTGCGCGCCGGTTGCTGCCAATGACTGACTTGTTAGAGAGTGTATGGTCGACTCAGAAGGCTGGGCAACATCAGCTAGCGGTAGGACTAGCTCCTCTAGGGTCTCAGGGATGTGAATGGGTGTGGTGTAGTAGTCTCGTGCTAGGGAGTACTCCACCGTGGAGGCCTGGAGGTGCAAACCAGTAGCCTGTGCGAGCTGCAATGCCTCCTGCACTACTTCTAGGTCCTCTACAGTAATGGGATTGTATACTTCTTCCACAGCAACATCCAAACCAATTGTGCCGCGAAGAGCATTCCTGAGAAAGTGTGAACATGACCCTCCATTCAACTAGTGACTCGGTAACTTACATGCCTCTTCCATGGAGAGCTAGCAAATGCACTGCCAATGCTGGCCCATGGATAGGAGATGCCAGTGCCAGCAATATCGCTTGATGGACGGTGTCCTGGTAGTCGGCATGCAGCTCTGTGCCAAAGTGGATCTTGGTTTTTCTGCTCACAATGCGCCAGATTGCTAAAGTCATCTGAAGATTATGCAGAAGTTAGTTAACGAACATACATTAGAATAAAGACCTGACACTTACTGCGGCTGCCGACTGTGCTAACATCTGAGTAGGGGTGGTCATCATCTGGTTTTGCATGTCCTCATCTTGGAGGGGTGTGTTTTTGGAATGATACCAATGATGTATATGCGCTTCTTCCACCCCAGGGTTCATGAACAGAAGGATGAAGACCAACATGTCCATGATCTCACGGCCATGTAGGTAATAGCTGAAGGGCGCCTTAGGATCGAGCACCTCACGCCGGCGGTTTTGCATATAAGTTTGGCAGTCCTCAGGGGGACCTGATATTTGAAGGTATTGACAACCCACGAATTTCTCAGAAGTTCGAGCAAGTTCTTTACGATCATGCAAAAGAGCCTTGATGACCCACTTCACTACCTTGGGAGTCGTCTCTATATCTTGAGTTATGCAAATCAGCTCTGTGAGGTGTAGGCAGAGTGTGGTCAGTAGTACATACCGCATGTGAACTTGAGATTGGCTTGGCTGACAATCTCTGAAATATAGCCCATCACAGCCTTCTTTTGCACCTCCGTTATGTTGCGAAACCAGCCATTCGTGGTAATGGAGTTCAAAATGACCCGCCTCTTCACCCATGCAAGGGCAAGCTGCTCAGTTGGACTGAAGTCCTTCAGCGGTATTTTCTCAACTTTGGTGCTGCTAATCTCAGCCATGCACTGGGCACTTTCCACCTGGGACGTCATACTGGTTGTTGGCAGCAAGGCAGACTTGGAGGATCTCGAACTACTACCGTGATCAATGCTGACGATGTGCGAGTACGGACTCAGATAGACACAGTGTGATTGGCCCACAGCAACTGGCCATGCAGCCGATCACAGTCTAGTACAACTCGAAGGGTCATTGGGGATATAATGTAAGGGTTCGAAGGACATGGCGAGAATGGAATGACTTGAGGAAGATGGAAAAATGACGGGTTAAATAGTAATAATTTTATTAGCTGTAAACCACAATGGAAAGATACGAGGTTAGATCTTTAACACCAGTCGAAGATGAGACGGTAGGTGAAGTTGACATGAGGTCTTCAGCCAGTTTGGACTTTGTCCACCTCGTGCAAACTTACCAAGGTCCCGGTCATAGAGGAATAGTGCTCAAAATGTTTCGGGGATGTTACGGTAGAGTGACTTAGGGCATGGGCACGTAAGCAACTAAGTGCTATGGACGGTGATTACCTTGCTCGCATAGATGATGGTCAGATTTTACCTTTACGATACTTGCAGCCACAATAGTAAGTTCATCCATCATGAATCGATATAGGACGATGATCTCTTGGATCTTTGAGTCATCCTCGACAGAGTTTGTCTGCAGGCGGAAATTTCTCTTGATTCCTTTGCTATTCAATAGGAAGGTTCGAATTGATTATTTGATTGACTCACTCAGTGAGGGCATTCAGCGCCCAAACATTCCCTGAAAGGTCACATTGATCGGACAGCTGGGCTGAGTCAGCTCGAAGGTGCAGCTGATGGAGCAACGACAAGTACCCAGGTGCGACCCCTATGCTTATTAGCCTCAGTTTAAATGAAATGTCCTTCTAGAGAAACTAAGCTTCACGTTCCACTAACTGTTCCATGATCAACATGGGTTCATGATTTGATGCCAAAAACTACATAGATGTACATGCTTAGGGAATATAGAACAAAATTATTCTTCCAAATCAGATGTACATGCCGAATTGCAAAGAGATTCAGAAGCTGTCAGACCCAGTCTATCCGAATTGTCAGAAGAACTTTCAACCCAAGGGCCAACATCGCTAACATCAAACCTACATCCTTGATTCCCCACCGTCACCCCCTGATCCTGAAGTAAGTTGCGTATAGAGCCAATTTGCAAATCAATCCCCTTAAGTTGTGTTTGGGACACCTCCATCTCATCTTCAAGAATGGACTTTATCAGGTCCAGTTCGCGGGAGCGAAGACATTGGTATTGCATTCTTGCAGCAACCACCCGACAAGTCATGCATGAAAGCTTGAGCATGCGCTGATTTAGATATTGCGTGGCTTCAGACGAGGGCCCAGTAGTACAATTCCACTGCAGGAGAAAGATAAGAGTCGGACTCAAGTTAGCGTTCAAAGGGACGCACCGTTGTTTGCAGAGTCTTTAATCTCTTTACAGGTAGATCATAATCTTTGTCGCTACCGCCACCTCAAGACAGGGAGTACTGGAAGGGACACTTATGATGACCTCTACCAACAAGACTCTTTATGGGCACTGCAGCGCTTACCCCTTTGACTCAAGGGGTATGTCCGTTAATTTGAGGGGCATAGTTTTCGATGGCAGTGTGTGAGGATAGTGGAGTAGGGGGGTTACCCCAGGGAGGAGAGCTATCTGGCGCAACAGACATGGGAGGCATGGACACTGACCTGCAGAAATGAGTGGATGTGCCGCACGTGTGGTTAGATGAGCAGACCTTGGGTTTCTGAACGAACTAGTGGTGGAGAAAAACTACTGCATCTTGATGCTGAGGAGTTACCACTCATGCCCGCTGGCTAACAGTGTATGTTTGACTCTGAAATGTGTGAGAACTTTCACTGGTACCACTAGGGATTGATTCTGAATGGTCGGCAATGCCCGACCACGGAACACCTTTGCCGTGTGAGAAGGCCATTTCACAGTAGGTACATACCACTGCGGCAAAGCACCGCATTCACTGGCAGGCACTCACCTCCCTAGGAAATGAGATGTGACGGACATTGTGAATGACTTCCTTCAAGAGTTGAACAAGCTGGTCAGAGTGAAGGTAGAGGCTTTGAGCTCTCAGAGTGCGCAACTCGTCTGACCATCCCAGGAGTCTGAGTCTGAGTTAGGCTGGTAGTAGTACTATCATTATTATTATGATGACCATGCTTTGACTCACAGTTTGAAGGAACTTGGACTCGGAGCGACCAGCTTCAACTTGAACCCCTCCAAAATCGCCAGAATCTGTGACTGCAGCTGCCAGGGGTGAGAGAAGCGTCATTGCGACGAACGGTCACAGTGCTGCCATGGTGACTTGGACTTGAAGGACTCATCCACCAAGTCCCTTTCAAGACCACGACAGCCCATGCCAGTGCGTCTCGGATAATGATTCATACTGTGAGCACGCATGGAGGAGTGCAGAGACTCTAAGTCGAGACTATCGCGACGTCCGAGTCAGTGTGTCCCAGAAAATACCACAGCCAGTGTTGATTGAATTTTGGGCTTTAAGCATGATGCTGCCGGCAGGCGTACAGCGCCGACTCAAGTTTGCAAGAATGTGCTACCATAAGTGCAGTACAAAATAAGTAAGTCAGTCAAGCAGAACTCCGAGTTTATCCCGCAGTTGACACCTATTAGCGGTACTAGTATTAGTAACATGAGTCAGGGCCTTAAACAACTGCAGTGACTGCCTCGGACTCGGAGTTGAAGGTAGATGCACCTTCACTTCCAGAGTGCGATGATGCGCCTGGGCCTTGCAGGATCATATCTTTTCAGTTGGTTCATCGTCATTCTACTCAGCTCAGGCTTCCTATCAATGGTGCTATGTGGTGCTCTAGGTTGCTCTTGGGAGAGGGCCACGGACACCCATGGACTCAGCAGGCATTGTACATCATGCCACTTCTACAAGAGGTCCAGCGTTCTTGCAACTCAAAAGAGGCAAGAGCATGCCAAAGAGGCTGTCTCTGCAAATTTGGCTGCCAATCTGCCCCAGTCAATGTCTTTGCCTGTGAGTGATGGTACTAGTTGTCACTGTTGTCCTTAACTTATGCAAACTGGGACATCAGAGAATTGGCTGTCCAAGGCCAATTGCCCCCTGCGACCTCCTGTTGGCAGAGCAAATGCCGGGGCCTGTTGCTGCCACTTCAGACACCTCCGGCCTCGCAGACTTGCAGCACTCTATTCTTCCAGGACTCACACATGACGACACTGACTCTGCGATGGATGTTGACTGCGGAGACCTCTTGGATGCCTCTGGTTTGTGTTTCTCTGAATGCCATATCAGTTGTAGCTTTTTGACCCCTTCAATATGTGCTTCAGACCAACCGGCGCACCCTATAAGAAAAATACCAAGGCCTTTTGTTGATGTTGAGCCCTCGGTGGAGGACCTCAATAGCTCTGATAGTGTTGACCATCGTGTCTGTAGTGCTTCGACTCAAAACTCGGGCGCCCTGCCAGCTCCAGCAAGGATTCGACGTGTTCTTCTAACACTCCAAGATAGACTTCAGACTACCCTCAACTCCTTCGGTCTCTATAGGCTTTACCCCCGTCGTCCCTCATTTGAGCCTGATAAGTACATTTCATCCTCGTTGCTTGCTAGAATGTGCCCTACCCCTTCTGGAGGAACCGATGCTCCACTGCAGGTCTTCCCTCCCCCTTACCCCTTCGCGAATATGATGGTCTATCGGCTCATGTCCTGGATGAACTCCGGCAGCAGCTGGGTGTCAGAAACTAAGGTTGCCACCCTTGTCAAGGACGTTGTAGGGATTCATTTCTGGCTGGGCTTGTAGAGACTGTTTTTACCTTACCTTATGTTGGCACTTTTGTAGCTTACATAAGCAAGTTATCTTTTCACCAGTTACCAGTAGGAGTCAGAGTACTCAGCAAGTTTTCATGATATTTCCTCTCCTCTGAGCCTTGAGCCTGGTCCAGAAACCCTTTAGGGTCGAATAGCAGCTAGGTTCTGCAAGACCCAACATTGTTCAGACTCACTCTCTGAATTGTTGTACCTTCAACGTCATTATGGCGGAGGGTTTTGACAGCAAGCACCTTCAGGGGTTCTCTGTGAGGCAGAGTTTGCGAAAACTGGATATGGATGAGGGTGGGAAGGGAATCACCTTTCCTGATGACTGGGTGGAGACCGATGTCAGCATCAACATTCCAACCAAGGAAAAAGAGGCTAGCCATACGTCTTATACGATCCCTGAGTTTCATTACCGCCCTCTCATTGAAGTTATATGTGCAGCATTTGCAGATGCTCAAGCAGGGGTGTTTCATCTTTTTCCTTTCAAGCGTCTGTGGAAGGACCCCCTGGATGGCCGTCAGGAGAGGATATATGATGAGCTCTATACCTCAGATGCCTGGTTGGAAGCTCAGGACGACCTCCACAAGTTGCAAAAGGAGCCTGGGTGCTCTTTGGAGCGGGTGATTGCAGGCCTAATGTTCTTCTCTGACGCCACTCACCTTGCAAATTTTGGAACCGCAAAGGCTTGGCCACTTTATGCCTACTTTGGAAATTTGACGAAGTACATACGTTTGTCGCCAACATCAGAATCCTGCCATCTCATAGGATTCCTTTGGTGAGCCCATTTGGATTGCACATTTCTTGACTGTTGGTGACATTTGCTGCACTCATTAGCTTCCTGATAGCATCAAAGACCTTCTGAGCAGCTTGCCTTGCATATCAAAGACAGGCTTGGCCTCCCTTCACACTCACTGTCGCAGGGAATTGTTCCATGCCTGCTGGGAGATTTTACTGGACGACGAATTTATTTATGCATACAGACATGGTTTTGCTTTGAAATGTGCTGATGGAATGATGTGGAGGGTATATCCTCGAATATTCACATATTCTGCGGATTATCCTGCAGTGTCGGCAGAACCAGTTTGTCAAGAAGCTTGGACTGCTTGGCCTTGATCCATTCTGTATGCTAGTCGTCGATATCATGCACGAGTGCAAGTTGGGCACGTGGAAGGCTCTACTTACCCACCTCGTGAGGCTTCTCTACACCATTCCAGGGGGTACTCATTTGGTGGCAACCCTAGATGTCAGGTGGGTGGAGTCCATACAGAGCGTTGCTGCCAACTATTCACATTAACTTCTGTATCTTGTCCTAGATTTCGTCAAGTCCCAACATTTGGTAATGGGGTAATCCGCAAATTTTCCAACAACACCTCTGAGATGAAAAGGTTAGTGGCTCGCGACTTTGAGGACATTTTACAGGTGAGTTTGTTCCACGTAGTTTTACACGGAGCTGAGGCATCCCCCAGTGCACCATTCCAGTTTTTGAAGGGCTGTTCCCCCCGAACCATGACCTGGTGGTGCGGTCTCTGCTATATAGATCTGCGCAATGGCACGCACTCGCAAAGCTTAGGATCCACTCAGATTCTACCCTCCTTTTTTTTGAAGATACATTCAAGAAACTCTCCCAGAAGTTGCGGAGGTTTCGGGAGCACACCTGTGCTGCCTTCACTACTGCAGAGTTGCTGAAGGAGAAAGCAGCTCGTCAAAAAAGGTCTGCTCAGCGCTCTGAAGCTCACAATCCTTCTCCAGAATCGAGCAGGGCCAGAGTGAAGAAATTCAACTTGAATACTTACAAGTTTCATGCCATGGGAGACTATGTGAGAACCATCAGGTTTTTTGGGACCACCGACTCCTTTACTACCCAAATTGTAAGTATCAGTTGAGTTCCATTCCTCCAAAGCTAAAGTACACGTGCAGGGAGAGCTTGTGCACCGAGCTCTCAAGGCATTCTATCCACTGACCAGCAAACTGGACACTCCTGTGCAGTTGGCCAAACATGAGCGCAGGCGCCATGTGCTGCAGAGGGTGGCAGAAGCACAGGGCTCATTGCCCTCTATTGGTCAATCACTGGCTGACTCAGACATGCCTCTCTCTGGAAAGGGTCACCACATTGCGGCCGGTCAAAACCATCCAATTGCTCTATTCAAGTTTCTTCAGATTCATGAAGGTGATCCGGCCCTCAAAGTAAGTCGCATTACATTTATAAAAAGCCTTACTCATAGCGGTTGTCAGAGGTTTATACCGAAATTGAAGGACCACATTCTTTACCGCCTGCACAAGCTGAACGTCAGCTACTGTGACCACGTGTTCACGGGTGAGGAGAGGCACTCAGTCATTATCCCTAATGACACCATATACTCCGTCCAGACCATGCAGGTGCATTACACCGCCTGTGATATGAGGCGAGAGTATGATACAATCAACCCTAGAACACACGCTGACCTCATGGTACTTTCCAGCGAGATGAAGCCCGACCACCCATATTGGTATGCCCGTGCACTGGCTATCTATCATATGGAAACCTGGATCAACGATGGGGGCAAACCTGTGAAGCATCACCTGGACATTCTCTGGGTTAGGTGGCTGGCGCTGGTGAGGAGTCATAAGTCTGGCATGGAGCATGCCCACCTACCGAAAGTTGCCTTTGTTGAGGAGTCTGACACGGATGCATTTGGGTTTCTTGATCCAGCGCAGGTGATTCGAGGAGTGCATCTGATTCCAGCCTTTAATATGGGCCATAGCATTAGTTCACTTCGAGGTGGAGTGTCCCTGGCACACCCTGAAGAAGAGCTGGATGATTGGGAGGCTTACTATGTTGGGATGTGAGTAAAGCTGTTAGTTCTTGCAATGGCGCTCCTTAACCTCTAGACCAGCTTTGTGGACAGAGATATGTTTATGAGGTATACTCACCTCGGTGTAGGGCACCCGGCAATGCTACGCAGGATGGCTAGGGACTCCCTTGGCACTGAGTTTCTAGGCAATGGGGCAGGCGTGGTAGGCGGTAGCGATTGTGAGGATGGCCATGGCGAGGGCCATGAGGGATATAGTAACGATGACGAGGAAACTGAGGATGAGACTGAGGATGAGACAGATGAGGAGCTTAGTGGAGATGAACTGGAGTGTGAAGGTGAGGGACTCGGAAGCGACGATGGCTGTGAGGAGGAAGACAAGTTTGATGACCTACTCTCCTTTTAAATTCTCAAAAACTAACGAGCACTGGACACATAAACTTTTCTAAAGGTCTCTTTGCAAAGTTACAGTACTTCTCTACCATTTTTGTGTAATAGAGCACTTGTGCATAGGGGTCACGGTGCATATTTTGATTTTGACAGAGATCTGAGTCAGTCATGAATCATGATGAGTCCCCTGCCACCCGTGGGAAGTAATTGATAAATTAAATCTGATGCTACACAAAATGGACCAGTTGAATGCTACTGTTAAGCAACCTTTGTATGCATAGTATGCATGATACCAAACCATAGGGCTGCAGCTATCCTAATACTTCTATCAACTGTCACTCTTTCTTACTGCCTAAATTCTCATTTTCAACTTTGGGGTGTTCAGAGGTTTGGTCACCAACTTTCATCCGGTGGGTTCCAACGTTTTTCAAGCATGCTTCACAGATTGGCTAAACACCTATGGTAGGTTTCTGTAGTCACACTGTCAGAAGGCAGATGGTTGCCTTAATGGTGGGCTCATGATGGATACAGCTGCGTGAGCGACTTCAAGTTGGACGATTGTAATAAATTCATCAAAAAGTTGTCTTGCCAGTGCGCTTTCAGCCACGCCATTACTACTGGTAGGCTACTTCCACGCATCCAGACAATCTTCTTACTAGATGCACACTATCTACAGCATCTCAGGGTAGTGACCACCCCCTCCAACTTTTCAATTGCTCGTTACAGACCTTCAACTTGTGTCTGCTGTGGGTGTTAAGAACGTGCTCAAGGGTCGGATCCGAAGGGCTTGGCTTCAGCTCGTGCGCTGCGCCCCTTACCCGAGTACGTGCCCCTAACTTCCGAGGGTTGTTGAACAATGTCCGAAGGTTACCGGACGATGTCCAGAGGGCGTCGGGCGATGTCCGGAGTCCGATGTCCGATGCGCGGGAATTCCGGCGGACGTTCGGAAACAAGAGATAAGACTAATCCGGACGAAGTCCGAACTAGAAAGGAAACAGCGGAGGACTACCAGAGGTAGAGGCGGAGGTGTCAAGTCTATAGGAGTCGATCCTAAGACGAGCGGAGGTCGACGAGAGAGAAACTCAAGTCGGACGGAGGAGAGAATGAGCAGAGTCTAATATGATATTCGAACTGAGGAAACTACAGAGATTGTACAGGGGTTTATATACTACTGAGGACATAACGGAGAATAGTAAGTGCAGTGCGAAGCTATGTAAAGCTATGAAGAAAACATATGGTACGACTATCACTAGTCTATCGGAACTTAGTAAAATGAAGACGGAGATGAATGAGGAACGGAAAATAAAGCGTACTAACTGATAAGGGAAATACCAAAGGGATAAGGCGCGGAAGTTAGACGCGGGTCGGATCCGGACGATACATAGAAGTCGGCCGGATCCGGAAATCCGGAAATGATGAGTGTGATAGGTCCGGGTCCGGAACGCGGGATATGACAGTGGGTGGCGTCAGTTGCAAATCCGACTCATCTTCACTCATAGAGCGGCAGGGCTTCTGAGTCTTTACAGTAGCTTATGACTCATTACTTATAACTGTACCGCCATTGACTATGGTTTTTTTTTTTTTAATTCAGACGTTGTGAAGCCTTTAATGGAGCAGTAGCATCATAATGCAAGTCTCCACTCAGCCATGGCCAAGACTCAGAAAAATTGGATGCCAGGTGTGAGTTACGAGAGAGTCGGAGCTGAATCACTATGATAGAAGGTGTGTCACATTCTAGTCCATATTAAGCAACTCACTGACAGACGCAAGCACCTGAAGCCTAGTTCACACCTTGGATGGGTACCGTTGGCATTTCTGCTGACTTGCTTAAATGGTCATAGCAGGAATGACTACGTTGTAAAGAGTTGATTCGTTGTAGGCGCTACAAATGTATTACCTTAGAACTCAATGTGCGAGTGTAATGCTCGTCCCAAAGAGACTGCCTATAGAATTATCTCTTGATATAAATGCAAGGGATATCTTGTTAAGATCGAAGGTAAGAACAGGAAGAGTTACCCAAAGTGTGTCTCGAGTTCCGAAGATGCGTCCAAAGTACCGAAGTACTTGTCCGATGCGAGCGAAGGTGGTCCGAAGTCAAGAAAAGAAGGTCCGAGGCAGTACGAAGTGTCTGATAGACGTCCAATGAACAGCGAAAGTTCCGAGAGAGAAATACAACGGATGTGCCGAAGTGTGTCGAGATATGTTGAAGTATAAGACTTAATAGATGTACCAAGGTACGACTAGGCAAAGTCTATCGGAAGAGCTAGAGATATCAAGACACGAAATGGCAGCGGTCAGGCCAGACAATCGTTCCGAATGAACAAAAAGATCGATTGCGTGAAGTACGACTATCCGAAGTGACTCTACAAACTATGACTCGTAGCCAGGAAAGTGAAGTGCAGTGCGAGTATCTGGCGAGTCAGATTATATCCTACAGCATGAAAGTCTGGAATCTGCGTAGGCAAAACTAGTAGCGAGATAAGCTATCTGAAATGTAATAAGACTCAAGGCGAGCCGCTACAGAGATATGCATGTAATAGCACATGAGGTGTGTAGCTATACGTATTAATCAAGCTTTTCGATGTATGTGCCCCTAAGACATGATCAATAACAGATAAACCAATGTAAAAATGCACCAGCGAAGTCAAACAGACACGGAAAGGACATAGTATGGAGGGTTGGACGTGTATACAGACCTCGGAAGGGGACGGACAACCTTCGGACTACTCGGACGAGTGCGCGGAACTCTCGGAAGGTAAAAGGAGTGTCGGGGAATATAAGTGTGAGGCGCATACGATTTAGGAAGGATACGCGACCAACGCCAGTCCGAGTGTTACAACGTATAAAGCAGGCATTAGTTGAGTTTATTTCTTTCCATCCCCCTTCACTGCACCTCTGAGTCACTCCTCGTCTTCTCTTGTAGCACATCTAGCGGTACCCTCCCCTCCATGGCTGAAAGCAGTACCTCAGGCTTAGTAGTACCCACCGACATTGGTCACGGTAGCCAGCCAAGCGACCACAAACATAGCAACCATGACCACGAGGCCCTAGAAACACAACGAGCATACGCAGAGTCAGCATCTCTGCAGGCTCGGCAGAGATGGAAAATTGCTGAACTGGAGGGAAAGGTAGAGATTCTGGAGTCAGGACGCACAGTGAAAGAAAGGCATGGCTCATGACCGCACACATTGAGACCACTTTACTCACCGTCCAGCAGGCACACTAACTATTACTTAGCTCAAGGAAGAGCCATCAGGTGCATCGTCACTCTGTTCGACAGTATAGAAGATTTGGTGGCTGAAAACGACAGAAGGTACGAGGACGATGGTGACGAGGATGCTACTCTGGAGTGAGCCTGAGTTCCTTCACCCCTGGCTTTTCACGGTGAGCTCACTCATCAGTTTCTTTATGCAGTCAGAACTGACTACAGGTGAGGTACGGTGCCCTAGTGGGAGCCTTGCCTTGGCTCGTGAAAAAGGCGACAGAAATGGATTATGACGACTATGCCTGCTTGATAAAAACGGTATGCCGCTCTACCATCTGAGTAAACGACTGACTGAACCTTCTTTTAGCTTAGGCAGGAGGCCGACAGTGCTCGGGGAGATGATACGGTGTAGAGACTCATGCCTCTCATGGTGTGATATGGCAGTATTCACTAGGGAGTACACAGCATGAACTTGTAGCGTCACTCTGTGTGCTATCCACAGCTATTCCTATATGAGGCGCAGCTTTCCCGCGCAACACACAACATGTGTGCACGACTTCCCGCACTTTATGATGTATACGCACGCGCACTTTCCTGCGCTTGAGCGCCCTATAGCGCCGGCCATCTGGGAGCATCCATCCACTGTCCACCAAGCTCTCTAGTGTGTATATCTCCATTTCTCTTATTTGCATATTGTTCTACCTCTATTTTTATCATGGACCCTTACTTACATACATATATCTCTACATACCTTACTCGGTAGCGATTCGGTGTAGGGATTCATTTCTGGCTGGGCTTGTAGAGACTGTTTTTACCTTACCTTATGTTGGCACTTTTGTAGCTTACATAAGCAAGTTATCTTTTCACCAGTTACCAGTAGGAGTCAGAGTCTTCAGTAGTTTTCTATCATATTTCCTCTTCTCTGAGCCTTGAGCCTGGTCCAGAAACCCTTTAGGGTCGAATAGCAGCTAGGTTCTGCAAGACCTAGGCATATGCACGGGTATGGGTAACCCGTGCGGGTCACGGGTATGGGTACTACTGGGGTACGGGTGGGGGTCCGCACTTTGAGTACCCGGACCCACACCCCACACCCGCGCTCGGGTTTGACCGGTACATTACATAATCGAGAACTATAGCGGTACTTACTACACTTGTCCTATTGCTAATGCTTACACTACCTACTATAGCGTGCTATACCCCTCCATCTTCTTCAACACAACGCCTGCCTTCAAGCTCGAGCCATGCTGACCCAAGTCGTCGCCCACCGTTTGCAGTATGTGAGTGCGCTGATCCTCGTTCGAGCAAGAGCCATGCTGATCCAAGTCGTCGCCCAATGTTCGCAGGATGTGAGCATGCCGATCTTCATTCGAGCAAGAGCCGTGCTGATCCAAGTCGTAGCACAACGTTTGCAGGATGTGAGTGCGCCGATCCTCGTTCGAGCAAGAGCCATGCTGATCCAAGTTGTCGCCCAATGTTCACAGGATGTGAGCATGCCGATCTTTGTTCGAGCAAGAGCCATGCTGATCCAAGTCGTCACCCAACGTTCGCAGGATGTGAGTGCGCCGATCCTCGTTCGAGCAAGAGCTATGCTGATCCAAGTCGTAGCCCAACGTTCGCAGTATGTGAGTGCGCCGATCCTCGTTCAAGCAAGAGCCATTCTGATCCAAGTCGTAGCCCAATGTTCATAGAACGTGAGTGTGTCGTCCTCGTTCGAGCTCGAGCCATACTGATTGAAGTCATTGTCTATTGTTCATAGCGTGTCGATCCTCCATCGAGCTCAAGCCATACTGATCGAAGTCGTTGCCCACCGTTCGCAATGTCTTAGTAAGTTCTATTTTACAATCATTTTTTTCATATTTCTAACTTGATATTTATATGTACTACCCACGGGTAAACCCTGCACGGGTGCGGGTGAGGGTACGAGCTGGCCATACCCCCCAAAAACCCGCACCCTTCGTGCGGGTCCGGGTATACCTCGGGGTGCGGGTGCGGGTCAGGTCCCCGACACCCCAGGGTATACCCGTGCGGATCCCTAGCAAGACCCAACATTGTTCAGACTCACTCTCTGAATTGTTGTACCTTCATCGGCTCCGCATGACAGCACTTAGGCGCCATATAAGCGCCAGCATTACATACTATTATGGACTTTCCACTTTACTTTACCTCCCACCACCCACCTACTACCTAGTAGAATATAGTTGCAATCTATTCCTCGGCACCTCGCACTTACATCTCTTGTTTTTCATCTATCATCACTTAAGCAAACTCACTCTTACTCTCTATTGTGTCTGCTCACGCGCACGCGTGCGCTTCCTGCGCCTCACGCGCACCTTCACTTTCCCGCGCCTTGTATGCACCTGCGTGCTCTCTCGCGCTTCGCATTGGCCGACCAGTAATGCCTTCAGTGCCTACTACCAGATCCTTGCTGCACTCGCTTCCCCTTTAGGGTCGAACATCTCAAGTATAGCAGACTAGGCAACGTGCGACCTTACAACATTTATAGATACAGTTAGGAGCATCGTTTGTTCCTCTCAGTATTGTTGTTTCTACAATGGCAAAACTCAAAACGCTAGTTTCACACTGGGTCAACTTGGAACTGAGGCCAAATCCCTCAGTTGAGCCTGACGACAAACACTGTCGTGGATTTGTCAATGACGCGTTGTAGGACACGAGCTGGCGCTGGGCTCGTATCGAGCTATTTCACAGTACAATCCGACGCTAACCCGCCAAACCGACGTTTAGGCCGCATCGGACCCGATGTTTTCCCGCGCACTTGTCCTATCCGTGTCCCGTCCTGTCTTGCTAGCCCCACTAGGTGTGTAGTTCATTATTTCGCACATTACTCACGTCGTAGCCAGCGCTATTACATGTTTTCCCATAGTCCGCAGCGCCTCATGTTTATTTACATGTACTTCGGATCCAAAATACTCCGCCGCTACTTTCGCCTATGGGTTCCGCATTTCTACGTACTTACATATATATTGGACTGACCTCGAGCATTATTCATTATCCAAGTAGAGGGGAGCAGTTCCCCGACGCTTAGTGGTCAAACCCGATATTTCGTAGTTCTTAGTTGATATTGCGAATATCATCGCTCTTTCATTATCCATATCAGTCATTGTTATTATCGCGCACACCGCTCGCTCTTCCGACGCTCGCTATAGCGTTACTATTAGTTTCCAACATCCCGAACCCGAACCCGATATCCCGAAACCCCGAAAACATCGGACCCGACGCTTTTGCGTCGGACATCGTAATTATACCTTTGGACATTGTTTCCCGCGCTCGGACTATTGACCCCACATCACTCACTTACCCCCAAGACTATTCCCAGACCGCAGACCCCTGGGTCGAACGCACTTGTCAGGCAAGTATAGCAGAATAGGCAGTGCAAAGACCACAACACAAATATATCAGTTAGGAGCAATCTTTGTTTTGTTTCCTCTCAGTATTGTTGTTTCTACAGCGTGCGGAAGGCTACTATGCCCTACCGAACTTGACTGGAGCAACCCCATGTAAGTTAAGTGGCTGGCACACGACACTGCACAACTCTGACTCTTTACCAGGGTAAAGGTGGGGATTCGAGATCGTTCAGAGGGTTATACTGTGACCGACCTTTCCTTTCCAGCCTTTGTGTATGAAAAGTATATTGCCAACCCCGACAATCTGGAGGAAGGTATTTTCAAGGGCAAAATTCTGGTACAGGTTCGTTGCACCCAAACTCCCCGGTCACTGCCTTACCATGCTAGCAGGCATACAAGGCTGTGTTCACGTCTCCCTCAGCAAAGGATGTAGAGGGCGATGGTGATGGTGCGGATGTCATCGAGAACAACTGACACACTAAGAGAGTGTTCTCAGCAATCAAAGTCAAGAAGCACGTCGCCCAGATTATCCAGATGGACAAGGTTACTCCTCGCTCAATTGCCTACATCACTTGCCAAGTAAGTCATCTTGCTAAAGCTCCTCACAATTAACCAGTTAATGTCTGCACCGGCAGGTGCGATTCGCGCTTTCTTCCATCACCTCATGGCAGTCGGTGGATGGTGACTTTGACTACGTCCAATTCTGGAAGGCAGTGGTGGACTTCTTTGAAAGGGCTCCAGGTTGAGAATCACAGCACAGGGTCAAGCAACTCCTGGAGTGGTGGACAAGGTACAGTACCCTATGTCCTGAATGAACCACAACTGACAGGCTGGCCCGGGCTTTTAGAAAAGTTTTTGGAAGAAATCATCGCGAAGAACTTAGCAGTGTGGCAAAGGCCAACCTGTCTGTGAACATGCTTGCTAGGCAGCGGGCACAGCTAGATGATGCTGCTTTTGATTCTGACTAGGAATCTACTATTGGAGCATGGATCGAAGTTCGGACATGGGACGTCCGAAACGTCACAGTGAGACATTGCGAGCGCAGTCGACTGACGTCATTGACGTCGGTCATCAACCCAATTATACCAACTGTCAAACTCCTACGCTACGAAAAATTTCCTATCACTATGCTAACTACGTTAAAACCACGTACCGTTCGTTTGAGCATCTCAGTCCTTCTAACGAGACTGAGATGTAAGCTTATGTTCCCCCTTCGTTATCACACAAGAGCTAAACGTACCCATAGATATATTCCTCTTCCTAGGTACTACATCTGTACTACGAGTCCTTCTAACGAGACTGAGATATATATTCCTCTTCCTAGCTCATCTCCCGCGTGCCCGTTCGCCTCTGAACATTAGAGGTTATGAGCCCTGACCCGGCCAAAATGGATACCGCACTTCCCAGCACAAATTCCGCTCTATTCAACGTCCCCAAACTTGCCGAAGATGGCACGAATTGGATAACCTACAAGGAGAGAACATTGACGGCGATTGGTGCCCGAGGCTTGATGCGATATGCAGACGGTCGTGCAACGAAGCCGGTTCCTTATGCGATCAACGCGAAGACCAGGCTAGCCACTAAATCAGATGGTACCGCGGCTACGCAGGACGAGATCGATGCATTGGACGAAAAGCTAGACAGCTTCTATCAGAAAGACTCGCTGGTTAAACAACAAATATTTAGTACCATTACCGACAGGATGCTGCTCCGTGTCCAGAAGCTCGAGCTTGCCTCAAAGATCTGGGCCGAGATATGCGATATTCACGAAGGTAAAACAGAGCTCGTCCAAATAGACTTGCGCCGTCGCCTGCAGGAAACGAGATGCGAGGAAAGCGATGATGTGAAGGCCCATTTTAGCGAAATGCTCCGCCTCCGCGAATCCCTGGCAGGCATGGGAGCTGCCATAGAGGACAGAGATTTCTTTGCCATCATCCTAGCATCCCTGCCAGAATCTTATCGCCCACTCCTCTCCTCGATCAACGCCGCTGCGAAGATCACGTCGACACCACTTAGTCCCTACGAGCTCATTAATGTTATATCGGAAGAGTACGAGCACAGGTTGCTTACCGAAAGACGCCCCGCGAAGAAGGGCGCCAATTCTGCCCTCTCAGCAAAAACCACCCAGAACAGGGGACGAACGGCGAGTTCATCCCAGTCCAACCCCGAAGCTACATGCTTCAACTGTGAGCGAAAAGGACACTATAAAAGTGACTGCTGGCGCCCAGGTGGCGGCAAAGAGGGTCAAGGCCCCGCTCAAAGGGGAAGGAGGGGAGCGCGAGTGCAAAAACAAGGCGCCAACGCAGCGACGGATAAGGACCAGAGGAGTGATAACTATGCCTTCGCGGCAACGTCAGATCTTGCGAGCATCGCAGAAGGCTTAAACGTACCTCCAGAACGACGTGGCGCGATCATGGATTCCGGTGCGACTTCCCACTTCTGCCCTGACCGGGCGAAGTTCAGCAATTATGTCCCTATCCCCCCGCAAGACATCCATACTGCGGATGGTTCCAAAATCAGTGCCATCGGGAAGGGAGATGTGAGCATCGACTTACCACTGGGGGACAAGCGCACTACCATCACGTTAAAGAACGCTCTTCATGCCCCACGCATGGCGTTCACGTTGATCGCCACGAATCGCATAACTGCGGCAGGATTAGCTGTGCACTTCGAAGGGAAGCTTTGCAAGATATACTCACCTGCCCCCAATGCCACTCTTATAGCAGAGATTCCCCAGCTTGAAGGCTTATACGTGGTGGATGCGAAGCGTCAGCAGCAGTATGCCAACCTGGCGAAGTCCAAACTCACCGTACACGCCCTCCACAAAATCCTTGGCCACATCGCCCAACCCGCCGTGAAGCATGCTATCACCAGCGGACTCGTAAAAGGGCTCGACCTTGATTCGTCTTCGAAGGACGAATTCTGCGATGCCTGTGTAAAGGCGAAGTCAGCGCATCAGCCTTTCCCAAAAGAGGCAACAAGGAGGGCGACGACTTACGGCGAGGTCATCCACACAGACCTTTGGGGTCCTGCGCAGACCACGAGTATGGGAGGTTCGGCCTATTACATATCGTTTACCGACGATTTTTCCTGCGAGACCCAGGTGACTTTTCTAAAGCACAAAAGCAAAGCATTAGAAGCATTCAAGGCATACGAAGCGCGACTCACCAATAAGCATAGTCGCCGAATCAAAACCCTTCGGTCTGACAGAGGGGGAGAGTACCTCTCTGCAGATTTTGACGCGCACCTCAAAAGTCGTGGGATTAGTCGGGAGCTGACAGTCCACAACTCCCCCCAACAGAATGGAGTCGCTGAAAGGCTAAACCGGACATTAGTGGAGCACGCTCGCGCTATGCTGATCGCGCAGGACTTGCCCAAGTTTCTGTGGGCAGAAGCAATCAGTTATGCGGTCTGGTTGAAGAACCGTCTCCCATCCAGGTCTATCCCAGGTCAGACACCCTATGGTTTGGTAAATGGGGAGCCTCCCGATCTTTCGAGGGCGCGGGAATTCGGGTGCCCAGTGCTTGTTCACGTTGAGCACGCTGGTAAGCTTGAAGCGCGTGCTGAAGAGGCAGTGTTCGTGGGCATAGATGCTGAGAGCAAAGGGTACAGGGTGTTTTGGTCAGCGAAGAGGCGTGTGTCAGTCGAAAGGAACCTTACCTTCGTCCCCTCAGCGGTTGTCGATGTAGCGCTGGGCGAGGGGGAGTCCACCAACACACCTAGTAGCGCCCAGCCGCCAATGCCAACACCACTTAGCGCCTCGCCAATGCCAACACCACACAATGCCCAGCTGCCAATGCCAACACCACCCGTCACAACTCCAGTGCCAGCAGCTCGCGAGACCAGAGCAAGACCCCCCCCTGGATACTATGCCTCATTGCAACAGGGGGAGCGCGCCACACTAGCAGCAGAGCAGGTATTTGAACCTGCAGAGTCAGACTTCATAGACAATGAAGTACTCACCAGTCAATACGCCTTCGCTGCAGTGGAGCCAGAGGTCACCTACCAACAGGCCTTAAACGGGCCTGATGCGATAGAGTGGCAAGAGGCGATTGATTACGAAATCAGCCAACTGGAGAAGTTAGGCACGTGGGAGATCGTTGACTTACCTGCAGGCGCAAACCTCATACCGTGTCATTACGTCTTGGCGACAAAACGAGGACCCAATGGTGAGAAGCTGAAACTCCGAGCCCGATTGGTCGCGAACGGTCAACGACAGAAGTTCGGGATCGACTACTTCGATACGTTTGCCCCTACCTCGAATATGTCCACCATACGGACTGTCCTAACGATGGCTGCGCAAAACGATTGGGAGATACATCAAGTGGATATCAAGAGCACTTACCTCTACGCGGAGTTGAAGGAAGACATTTATATGCATGCGCCACCAGGATATCTGAGGGAAGGTGACGAGAAGAAGGTCTTGAAGTTGCTGAGGAGTCTACCAGGTTTAAAGCAGGCAGGATATGAGTGGTCTGAGGAATTAGCAGGGGTGTTCACGAAGATGGAGTTCAAGCGCTCACAGGTTGATCAGGCGGTATACTACCGACATTCGGACGAAGAACACACTGTCATTACCATATCCGTCGACGATATGGCGGTTACCTCCAAGCACCTCCGCCACATCGTGAAGTTCAAGAGCGAGCTCACAAAATACTTCGAAATCTCAGATTTAGGCGAGCTCAATTGGTTGCTCGGACTTAAAGTCGAGCGTAATCGTACCGAACGCACAATCACCCTATCTCAACACGCTTACATTGACACAATCCTACAGCGTTTTTACCTCACGGAGGCCAAGAACACCCAAACTCCAATGGAGCCTGGAGCAGACTTATCTGATGCGCACTCACCAGCCACTCACGCTCAACTCGAAGCTATGCGCGACATTCCCTATCAGCGCGCCATCGGGTCGCTGATGTATGCGGCGACAAGTACACGCCCTGACATAGCATTCTCCATAGCGACACTTTCGCAATTTATGCGGAATCCCGGAACTGCTCATTGGGAAGCGACGAAGCGGGTACTACGCTACCTAAAGGGTACTAGCGACTATGGTATAACCCTTGGAGGGACTGATAGTGGGCTCGAAGCCTATGTAGATGCAGATTGGGCCTCGCAGGCGCACCGTCACTCCACATCAGGCTATGTTGTCCTGCTCAATGGCGGGCCAGTCGCCTGGAGCGCGCGAAAACAGCCAATAATCGCATTGTCAACGGCTGAGGCCGAATACATCGCGTTGACGACTGTCGGACGAGAGATCCTCTACCTACAGATCCTCCTCGACGAGCTATACGAGCCCCCTACTCTCCCAACGCAGATATACTGCGACAACCAGGCTGCTATAGCCCTCGCCTCCAACAATAAATTCCACTCGCGCACCAAGCACATCGACCTTCGCTATCATTTCGTCAGAACTCACGTCAGGAATGGAACGTTCGCTCTCACCTATTGCCCAACAGACGACAACATCGCTGATGCTTTCACCAAGCCTTTACCTCGTCCTAGGTTGCAGAAGCTACGTCATCTCATGCACCTCGACAGCGCTCGAGGGGGAGTATTGGAGCATGGATCGAAGTTCGGACATGGGACGTCCGAAACGTCACAGTGAGACATTGCGAGCGCAGTCGACTGACGTCATTGACGTCGGTCATCAACCCAATTATACCAACTGTCAAACTCCTACGCTACGAAAAATTTCCTATCACTATGCTAACTACGTTAAAACCACGTACCGTTCGTTTGAGCATCTCAGTCCTTCTAACGAGACTGAGATGTAAGCTTATGTTCCCCCTTCGTTATCACACAAGAGCTAAACGTACCCATAGATATATTCCTCTTCCTAGGTACTACATCTGTACTACGAGTCCTTCTAACGAGACTGAGATATATATTTCTCTTCCTAGCTCATCTCCCGCGTGCCCGTTCGCCTCTGAACATTAGATCTACCTATCTACTTTCTTTGTATCATCCTATTTTGTAGTTATAACTCCTAACCACACAATTTATTGTCAATGTTTATGAATTGAATGTACTGAAGGTCAATGGAAGCTACAGTCCCTGGAACTGCTCGTTTGTTTGCAACAGTGCAAAACAAGGAAATATAGATCTATCAAGTTGATTTCTACCATTTCTAGTCCCTGTGCCAACTGATGTGCAATAAGGACTGGATTTGCAAGGGGAAAGCAACTGACAGTCACGCCAAATTCAAGATCCTGCAATGGCCCTTGAGGTAGTAAGTAGCGCTCCCTTCTGGTTTGAAGAGGACAGTATAAGTACCCAACATTGCCTGACAACAGCGCTCTGTTTATATGGAGAAGCTAAGCCATGAAGATCCTCAATGCACACAATAACCATATCTCCATGTAATAAGAGAGAGCACACTTACGCGGATAGAAGCCACACCACATCAGAGGGTTGTCAAGTCATAAACATGGAGTCTGTGGGACGGATAGCCCTCTGCCGTGAAGTTTTCTACGAAGCTACCTTGCAACAACTAAGCAGCCTCCGTGCTGGGCTATTGCTTAAAAAGGTCTCGTGACACTGTGTGTTGGAGGGTCTTCGAATGGTAATCACGACATCCACCCGAGACAATGCCCTCAGCCTGGAAATCTGCAACTAAGTTACTGCACAATAAGCATGCACTGTGTGCACAAAGCTGCGGCCTCAAAATGATGGATGGTATAGCATAGCACGATGTCCTTGAGTGACAAACAGGGTGTCTAAGGGAGGGATGATCCTCCATTGTGAAACTTTTTACTGAGCTGCGGTGCAATAATCATGCAGCGTCTGTGCCTGACTATAACTTTAAAATAACATGCCACAGAGTACATTAGAGAGTTTTCGAAGGGTAAGCAGGGCCTCCATGCCACACCTGGTCAAACGGCCTTGAAGTTCTGTACTAAGTTACTATGCAGTAAGTACTCAGTGTCTGTGCACAGCTATGGCTTCAAGATAGCGCATGACACAGCATAGTGGAAGGCCCTTAAATGGTAAGTAAGGCGTCTGAATGAGGCATGGCCCTGGGCTGTCATTTTGTTTGTTAAGTCACTGCGGAGAAATCAGCTAGTCTCAGTGCATGGGCATGACTTCTAGGAGCGCAGTGGCGAGCAGCACACCACCACTAGCCATCACTCACACAAATCTGATTGCACGAGCGCTTGAAATATGGTATCAGTTGTTTTTGTCCCGCTTCCTAAGCACATGCTGACTGTTGCAAAATGATACGACATTTTCACACGCATTCCCAATTGATATACAGCATGCAATCATCACCCTAACGAAAAACAGGTTCTTAATAGCTAAAGCAGGGCAGAATTTTAGGCTTGCTCACTTGGTGAATGTGCTCGTATCCTATGGGAAATATGAGCCTTTGCTCTTAGTTTGAAATTTTTCGGCATTGGTCAGGATGCGGCAGCCTTGATTCATCTAGGCCGAGCACCAACTTCCGCTCCACCTCCCCTGCAACTTTGAGTTTCAGTGACATTGTGATACTTTCCACATGATGAACCTCTGCAGGAAGATCATGAATTATCCTTTCCTCTATAAGGCCAAAAATGACAATCTGATCCCCCACAGCAGAATTATGACAGTTTTTCTAATTATGTACTATATATTGTGATATATACTCTTCTACAACCCTCACCGGTTCACTGATGGCTGTACACTAGTGTAGACAGGCATCGATTTCCTTCAGACTCATAACTTACATAATTGTAACTGACAAAGCAGAATGCACCCGACCCCTACCTTAGACAGTTCAGAGTCATTAGGATGAGTATTCATCTACAGTACACTATCTCATAATGCATCAACTTTCTAGAGTCCCGACGTGGTTCCCAATTAATTGACCGCATATTGCATAATGCATAATGCATAGACCTGGGTGACCATTATACATTATGAGATAGTACTTTTGGCTGGATGGGTCTTCAAGGGTCGTGTTCGGGTATTGTAATTTTTAGTGTTCTAGTGACTAGGTACAATGTAAAACTCTACCTCGTTCCAGATTCCATCCATGGATAAACAAAAACCTTGAGACAGACCTTCACCTTACCCTCAGTGACTGGTTGACAGTTTTTGCATATGTTGATGCACACCCTGCAATGCCGCAATGTGACATTGTGAAGCAAATCCATCTTTTTAGGGCTCACTTACGATACAACGAGCTGCTTCATGGAACACAAACTATGATAGATTCTTATTTTCATTAGGTAGATGCACTGTAACTGTGTCACAATTTGCACGGAGTCATGCCACATCACAAACAGTCACGAAGTGTGATATATGTCCTAATGCATAAATCTCATAATGCATAACAATTGAGCCCGACATTATGCATTATGAGATAGTGTACTGTACTCAATTTGGATACCTACAGGAGACGAGGGACACATGGGCAATTGCAACAGATGGGCAGGTATAAAATGTAATTAGTATGTAGTGTAAAATCACTGTGAAAGTGAAGGGCTGCTGAGCATAGCCCAGGCCTGAGTAGCTGTGAATTTGGCTAGAAAATTATCCATATCCATCAGTAAACTAATATGTGCTGTACAGAACTGTACAGAACTGTACAGCGCACAAGGGTGGCAGCTTGGTCCCTTTTGGACAGTGACTCACAGACACACCAGTTCTGTGTCACACTGCACAGAATCTCACAGACACTCCAGTGACTGCCTCATGCACAGAACTTGTGCTCAAATTTGGGTGCCATTCTGCACAGAAGCTCACAGACATGCCAGTAACTGCCTCGTGCACAAAACTCAGACATGAACACCACTAGATAGCTTGCAGTAGCACAATAGATTACATATTGATAACAGAATGATAAGCGAAATGACAGGATGCAGTAAACAAATGTAGGAAAAAGAAATACTTGGATGCAAGCACACAGACACATGGATACAAAGCTTCAGTCAAGAATGATCTGCAGGTGGTTGTGTCGAGTCTCCACAGCTCCATCAACCCTCAAACTTGCAGCCCTGTATGGATAAAATTAGTATCAAACAGTCTATACAAAAGCAACATTCTCACCATCCAGCTTCAGTCCACTCCCGCAGCTGCGCCAACAACCTAGGGCCATGGTACAGATCCTGAAGGATGTTGTCAAGCATCTGGACCATTTTGGAGTAGATAGGGCCATATTTCCTCGCAGTAAACTTTGGGTAATATTTTCCATTGCCATTCTTCGTGAGACCATCGAGGATGCAGTTGTACTATAGAGAGAAAATTAAATCAATACACTACAATGTTGGGGAGGGAAAAAACACTACCGCTGCACTAACCAAAGCCAGACATGACACAGGCAATTGGTTGCGGAATATGTCTGGTTGCCTGCGTGTGATTCGGTAAGGTCCTGTGTAAAAGAAGACGATGACACCATCACGAAGTGCAGGATGAGCAAAATTCCTTGTTTTCCCATAGAAAGATTTACATGAGAATAGAGCTAGTCAGTGTGAGATCACTTACATATTCATCTAATCCAAAGCGTAAGAAGAGTGATCCTTCAAGTAAGGCTGCAGCAGCGTGTTCTACCCACTCTGCACGTTCTTGAAAGGAGACCGAAGGCGGGGGAATGAGTGAATATGATTGAGGTGCAAGACTTGCAGCAGATTTCTTCAAATCAGATCGCCAAGTTGCGAGATCATCATACAACTGCAGTGCAGATCCTAAATCAGCGAGATCAGTGTGAATGTAAATATCACACTTACCAGTTGAGCCATGTTAGATTTTTGCTGTGGCCAGATCCCTGAATTACAACATAAAATGAATTAGTTTATGAAGGAGGAAGTGCTTACTGGCTTCAAATTGTTTACCATCTTGGTCCCATGCAACTAAGACTGAAACGAGAACCTCGCATATGGACGACGGTAAATCAGCAACTAAAGCCGGAAATGGATTCTCCAGGGCATGTTGCACACAACATTCTCCTTTAGCATCCTCGAGAAAGCTTTTCCATCACAGACCATACCATGCTAGTTGAGTTGGCTTTGGTCCATCACTCGGTTTCTTCGATCGTTTAGTCTTAGATGGCTGATCATCATCAGACTCGACTTGATGCAACAACTCAAGAGCTTCAGGATCAGGAAGATGCAGCTGGCCATTCTTCTTGTGGTGGCGTTTCAATACATTATTGGGCTGTGATATCGTGATCTGTTAAAAAAAAAGAGTGAGCCTTGCTAAGAATGAATTCCATCGCCTCACCTGAATGCCCTGTAGCTGTGGCTGTATAGGCGAGGTATCTGAAGGAATCTTAGGCAAGTAATTGTCAGAACGATACAGGTGAGTGAACTCATCATACCTGTGAACTGCTGGACCGCTGTACGGACAACATGGAGGGATTAGCTGCATGTAAGACACTGGTCTGAGCAACCATGTCATCTTCATTGCGTGAATATTGAAAGTCAAATTCCGGTGTAATAGGACGAGTGACTCGTGGTTGTGAAGGGGGCAAATCTTCCCCAGAAAATCCTGTAATTTATATTAATAAGATTGTTTGAAAGGCGAGGGTAAAAGGCACTGATCCTGGTGGGTTCCCTCAGACATGCAGGAGAGTTGCGAACACATTACCTGGATGTTTGGTGCGATGTCCACCAACCCCCCCCCCCCCCAGCCAAACTGCGGCTGACTCATCTCCTCCTCTTCATCCTCCTCCTCCCCCTCCTCCTCCTCATTGTCATCAGAGCTGACACTTCCCTCAGATGATTGATGTTCAACCTCATTTATGCCCCATAAGTCTGGGTCGATGTTCTGGTCCACAAAGGTAGTTGGTGGTGCAACCGAATTAGCTGCACTAGGGCCAGTTACACTTTTGTGAGCTTGCTTCACATTGCCTTTCCTCCCAATGGCAGTATATCAGTTGTTTAGATCTGGGTTGGAAGGCACAGTAGGTGCTTGCATAGCGAACCCGAATCTTCCTCCAGGTTGACGGAATGAAGGATTGAGAGATTGTAAGAGTTCCGCAGTACTGACGTCTACGTGTGAGGTGTTAGGAACATTTGTAGAAGTCGACAGACTATATGGTGGGGGCATGACCTAGATGCGAACGATCAAGTTAGATAAATAAATAAATATAACTATGTGTCAGACCTTTGGACAACGGCCTCAGCCCTTGATACGAGGTGGTTCTGGAGCTTGAGGGTTAACAGGAATGGTGGAATCAAGGGATGTAAAGCCCTTATGTCGATGTACACGAGATGGAGCCTCCAACAATGTGCCGATCTTCTCCAATTGAGTATTCCTACCTCCAGTTCCCGCATTGGCACGGCCAGAACGTCTAGCAGGTTCATCAGTGCTTGTGGCATCTAGACGGAGGGACACAAGTGGCATGCCAGATGCCTTGACGGGTTCTGCTGCTTGGGGATTCTTGGGTTGAGGCCTGGACACATCCAGACCTTTGCGCTTGGCCCGTTTATTCTTGGGGCTGGCAGCAACATGAGGAGGCATGAAGCAGCTACAAAAAGTTCGAGCAGATTGAGCAATAGCTAATGAGCAATTCCAAACTCACCAAATATTTTATACAATGATGCCTCGAGGTCATTGGAAAGGAATGGCAGGTTCTCCCTGGCGCGACATAAGATGATTTGTCTTGAAGAATCTCCATGAGTAAGATGGAGAGTGAGGTAAAATATGTCCCAGGGTGTGCCTGATAAGCGAGTGCATCAGTGAGATTGACTCAGAGCTATCAAGCCCTGAGCAAGAATAGTAGAAATGTACATGTAGCAGTAGCCACCTCCCAACAGCTAAAACCCACTGTGCTCCCATGCCAGCCTCCGAACCAGTCTTTTATACCACATCATGCTTATGCCTTCTCAAGGTTGGGCTCAGAGAGTAATTGCTTTTTTCTGCCCATTTCTCCAAAGGAATAACTCGGGTTGATCCAAGGCGAACTTGAAGAGTAATGAAAATATAGGCGAGTAACGGTGTATCACCTTGGTATGGTGGGATGAAGAGATGAAAGATGAGTGCAAAAAAATGTGTAACCAGAACACGTGTGCGCATAAAGAAAGATCAGTATTGATATAGATGGAAATGCTAAGGAAACACTGGAAAGAAAAGTACAGTCGCGCAGCTACAACCAAACTATTGATAATTTATGGTCAATCTGCATAAATTTGATCTGAGCCATCTGAGTCCATCGTCGCCCAAGTCACTTCGCTGGCAGAGCCACTGTCAGCTGCCTCGTGCTTCTTCCACTTGGCTAATTGTGGCACAGACTCAGGCTCCATACTGCCCCCTTCTGCTTGCCACTTTTTCAAGTGTTTAGTGAATTCTGCAGCAGATTTCTTGAGATTCTCATTGGTGGATGAGCGCTCCTCATTATCCTCAAGGGTGGTGATATGACGTCCTGGCAGATCGATGACGCTATCAAAAGTGACCCGTTGAAGGTGAGGAATCTTGACTATAGGTGAAACACTAAAAACAGATGGGGCTCTACAGCAAGACCTGGATACGAGAATATGACTTGACCCAAAGGACAGCTACTGAGAGAAGTCCCTCACTAATATAATGGAGGGAAACTCTGTCAACTAGACGGGCGCTGATAGACATGAGAAAGTAACGCGTGCCAGATGCGCGCGTGAGCGAGAGATGTGGAGGGTACGCGCGCTTGAGCGATGAAGGAAGGAGTCTTTAAGAGAGTAGCAAGAGCACAGGTGACAATCAGTGGAGGAGTATAATCAGATTTCTAGTATTGGGGGGAGAACTATACACTTTGCAGTATATCAAGATAAGGGGAAAAGTAAGTCCCAGAACCCAAAGAACCCTCTCTCTATTTAAGAAGGGAGATTACGCTATGCGGCACACTTCCGAGCGCGCTCCCGAACCGAGTAACCATATCAACTCTAAATATATTCTAAGTTTAAATAGGCTCTCTGTATGTAAGCGTGGAGGTCGGACCGAAGGTTTGTTAATTCAATGAGAGAGATAAAAATAACGCACCAGTAAATCAGCAAGGACAAAGGATGGATGGACGGACGGTAGGGGCGCGCACGCGAAGAGCGTGAGATCGTGTGCGATGTGCGAGTGAGGCGCGTACATAGGGCGCGCGCACGAGAGCGCGAATGACTGGTCCTTCGGATGTGAGCTGATACAGGTAGGGAATTAAATGGGTAAGAAGGCTGTATATCCGACATTGAGAGGTGCGAGTCTCTACACCGTGCCTCCATGTTATCCTTCAAGATTGCCCGCCACTCTTTCGCAAGGGGGATAAGTTTTGCAAAGTATGGGTGGAATTGGTTTGCGAGACAGGCCTCCTCCAATGAAACTGCAAAGAAATAGACCTTCCTCAGTTTGCACACATCCAGGTTGATGTTCGACCAGCTATCTGGCAACGAGTCAGCTATGGACTCCTGGGGCTCCTTGCAATTAGGGCCACTGTACTTGATACAGAAATAGGCGAAAACATAAAAAAAGGGATTCAAGGTCATCCCCAAAGCTTTGAGAGATGCAAGATGGTGGCAACACCAAAGTTTTGGAGGAGGATTTCCGTGCTTCTTGTTGTGTTGCCTTAGTCTGCAATTATGCCAATTGGGCAAGAAGCGTGCGCAACATAAAAGGGATTGTGCCCTAATAAACCAGTCAACCAAATTTTGTGTTCAAGGAAGATATATTTACTGTGCCACCATAGAATATTTGTCGTTTGAAGTAATGAAGACTGCAAACTCCCAATCGATTAACAGCCTCCTACTATTATTGAGCCCCTCCATGATCATTGCATTGTAAAGACTACAGTCACAATGCAAAATGTCATGGTCTACTGCCATGCATTGGACTAAAATACAAGAGAATGAATACAGAACTCATGTAGAATCAACTAAAGCCTCACCAATAACAATGTCCCTAATCACTCTCACAAACTCCTTCAGCATTTGAAATGCATGAAGGGGGCAAGCGCAGGGCTTCATGATGAGGTGAACATGCGTACAATGGGTCCCTCGGATACTCGGGTTTTCCGTGTGACGATAATGCCATGTCTGGTCAACGACATCATCTGACCTTTCGACCTTCCAGTAGTCTACTAGCTTGGGAACACCAGGGACACCGCTCATCGCTTTTAACATGTTAATCTCATTCAAAACTTTCTCCTCACCACCCTGAACCCAGTGGTCTTTAATGATGTATTCTTCTTTGTCCAAACTGACCAGATAACAGACAGTCCCGCGACCAACAAGGCCCTTGGTAGTAAAGAGGATCTTCAGGATTGTATAGATCTTGTATTAACACGGATATGGCCACAGGGTTCTGCAGGCGATTGAGGGGTGTGGGGAAAATGGGAAGGATGAGGTGTAGAGCTACAGGCAGTATCAGCCCCCTGCAAAGGCTGAGATGCAAGGCCCAACAAAGGAACACTAGTGACTGCAAGGGGTTGAGGGGGAAGATATGAGGTAGGAAAAGGGACAGGAGGGGGAGGAGGGAGGACAAGAGGCTCTTCTATCGGATCTTTGAGAGACTCGAGATTGTCATTGGACATTAGCTCGAGGGTATCATCAGCGGGGAGTATTGGCTCGAGGGCATCAGAAGAAGAGTGTATTGACCCGGCCTCATTATCAAGGGGTAGCTCCTGGAGATCCTCAAGCAATGCAGCGAGAGACTCGCTGTCGGGTTCGGCAGGAAAGGTAATACTCCGAGTGGCTCGGGCAGGAAGGTTCTTGAATGGCCGATAACCAGGCATGTCTGCACCTAGGGGTGGGGGGAGCGGGACATTTTTCCAGAAGGCAACCATACTATCGTATCCAATACATTCTGGGCTGCCAAAGACAACAGCAGCAATAATCTGGGCAAATGCATTTGGATTTTGATGGATTTTGATGTGAGGGGTCACAATGCCACCGGCATGATCGTACAACAAGACCCTGAGTTTATGATATTGGTGTGTAAATGATAGAATGAGTGCAAAACGCCTCCAAGGCTGATTGCTGAGTAGTAGATATGCCTGGGTATCTGCAGCCTTCACAATCCGCTGTGCAGGCTTGTACTGACTATGTGTCAGCTCAGCACATACGTGAATATTGCCCCACTTGGGCTTGATATCATCGGATAGCATAAGATCAGGCTTGCACTTGATATTGCTACCAAACACTGCAACAGTGGAATTGCTGACACTCCATGTGCGAGTTGCAGACAGTGTGATCAGCTTGTCTTCTGATTCAGCCATCGCAGTACCAAGAGTGTTAAGGAATGATGAAAATATCTCTTCATGGGTAAATTTCTTGACAGCTGGCTGAGGAAGAGTATTGTTTGAATTGGCGGATGACTGAGGAGGTGTCGTTGGAAGTGCCCAGTTCCAAAGTCCAGCTTGGCTATCATACAATGGAACAATGTTGTCTGGGGAGTTTTGACTGAATATAGTGTTGATCCATGTGTCACGATGAAGAATTTTGCTGAGTTTGATTCTAAGTGTGTGTGCTTGGGGAATGTTGGCTGTGAAAGGCTTACAGATCAGATGGAGTAGGTGACCTAACGAGCCATTTGCCAGAGATTGAGGTTCGGTTGTTACTAGACGGTCAAGTTCAATGGTTGTCATTCTGTTCAAAGTAGGGACGTCGTTGACAGGAATTGACATCAGTGATGCCAATTTTATTCTGTTGTCAATTGTCCTATAAAAGTGCGGCATAATTGGCACTCAGTGAGGGAACAAAGGGATAGGGCAATGATGGTGAGACTCGGACATTGCTTAATGCTGCAGTCTAACTATAAATACACGATATTCATACAAAGTCGGCAAAAGCAGGCTGATTACAGGTCAAAATCGCATGGCTACATCGAAAGAGGGAAGAAAGTATTTTTGTCCCAGTACTTATTGAGCCAGAATTCTGATGCATGCTCCATACCATTATATTGAGTGAGATGAGGGTCTGCACTTGCGCCAAAGTGAGGGACAACATTAACAGGTGCCCTGAGCTGAGTGACTGGTATAACATCACCAATGCGAGTCCCATTTGATCGCTTCGCCCTCTTGAGCAGATGTGGGTGCGTAGCTGGTTCGCGCTCACTGCTGTTGTTGAAGCGTTGCACGTATGTGAGGAAGCGATCCTTCCAAGCCCCCTGTGTATTCATCTTTCTAATTGGACAGAAAATAAGCCTGATTTGAGCGATGGCATGGCCTAGGAACTCAAGAGTTAGAGAGCATTTGGCATAGTGGAGGATCATCAATCACCGCGAAGACCATCAGCAGGCCATGAGTGCCCATCCTCGTTATTGACAATAACAGTATCATACCGACCGAAGGGCCAGATGTCAGAAGGTGGTATGCAGTTTAGGGTCTGTGCAGGCTGCATGTGGGTGGTATCGTGAAATTCCGTATCCTGAAGTTGAAGTTTGAACCATATCTGTAGTTTCTCGAATGGAAGCGAAGTGTTGGACCCAGCCCTCCTAGCCCCTCCAAGCGGATGAATATGACCATACCTGTGAGTCTCTTCACAACAAAGGAAGTCGGCGAAGGCTGGTCATAAGTCGGGAAGGCCGAATTTAAGGGCAGCATTGTCGATGGAGATGGCCCTAATTAACGGGCTGTAGGCAAGATGAAAGGCCATACGTCCAACAATGAATGTGCATAATGGCAGAGGGATTGTCCCAACCTTCCTGTGCTGGAGGACCTTTGCCATTGCAAAGTAGTTAGTGATTGGACGTGCATATCCAGGGCACTTGACTGTGGACAAGAGGTTTGCAGAGAGGTCATCGTCATCGTCAACATCAAAATCAATGACGTCATTATCAATGTCCAGGTGTTGGTCCAGGTTGGTTTGCAGCCTCAAGTCTAATAGAATTGTTGCAAGATCAAAACGACGACATTTGTCTGCACAGTCAAGGTGATGACAGATTTGTGAATTGTAGTTATTGTTGTTGCTTGAGCGTGCGGGATCCTTGATCTCAGTTATGTGTGCGTGCTCCGTAGTGTCTGCACTCCACTGCATGGTGATGCCAGTGTTACGTATGCTGGGAGCTATATTCTGCATGAGCTCTATCTTCGGGATATACCAGTTATTGATAGGCTTGTTGCGCTTCCCACGACAAAACCCAGCAGCTGTAATTGCATGTTTGTTGGCGTGAAATTTGGCCAGCACTGTGGAAATACGCTCAATGTCACGATCATCGATCCATGGCGACTGTACAAGATAACGGAAGTCCATCAAAGCTCATACAGCAGTCATCACAGCACTAGGCACCGCATCCACACTGACCACGATAATCGAGTGCTGTATATCACATTGGGCACACCCTGTGACCTGCTTCAGCTTTGAGATGCCACCATAAAAATGGTGAAACCCTGTCACAGGCTGCAATGCTGAAAAGGGGAAATCAATTTCTGTTTCCCCAACTGTGCATATGATCTATTTGACATTGTGATCGTAAAACTTCCTGTGAAGATGGTGGAGATTTTCGGGAGTGAGGAAGTGTGATGGTTTGGCAAAGGGCCAGTCCTGCCAGAAAGGTTTGTCGACACCATTTGAACGAAACTTCTGCACTTCGTGGAAGAAAGCTTCAATGTCATTGGAATCAACCTTGCTATGGGCAGTAGTGATCTGTGCGAGTGTAGTTGAACTAGTTCGAGGCTCGTGTTGGAAAGGGTCGCCAAATTGCTTGAACATGGCCATGGTAACTGGGGAAGTTTTACCACCAATGGTAGCCAGCATCATGGCCTCTGGAGTATCAACAATGTAACTTGCAAGAGGAGTGAAACAGTAGCGACTATGCCCGATGGGATCTGACAGCATAATTCCCTCATGGGCAGCCCACTTAAGCGGCTCTAGAACAAGATCCAAGCATTGATGGACTAGATGATCCTCCAGCACACCACACATGCGTTTCTTTTTATGAAGGAATTTTGGCACGGGGAGCAGGGCAGTGAGCACGAAAGAATTAAATGATGTCTTGAGTCAGATAGACATGGGTATATTGGTGAGGCTGATGAGGAGGGGGTGCATGACTCTGTCACCCGTCATCATAGATACATTTGTCTTGTCGGATGATAGAATGGTCCCGATGTAGGGATTCATTTCTGGCTGGGCTTGTAGAGACTGTTTTTACCTTACCTTATGTTGGCACTTTTGTAGCTTACATAAGAAAATCATCTTTTCACCAGTTATCAGTATGAGTCTGAGTCTTCAGCAGTTTTTCATGATATTTTCTCTCCTCTGAGCCTTGAGCCTGGTCCAGAAACCCTTTAGGGTCAAATAGCAGCTAGGTTCTGCAAGACCCAACATTGTTCAGACTCACCATCTGAATTGTTGTACCTTCACCAAGTAATGTCGCACCTCGCAGTAGAGCCGACTGTGTCGAAAATGATAAGTACTGAGAGCGCCTTGCACAAACAAAGATATGCACCTGCATTGTCCAAGCGTCATCTCCTGTCATCCATTCGGAGTACACACAGCACAGCTGCTGTGCTGTGGTATATACCTTGCAAGGCGTAAAGTCTAACTGGTCGTGAAAGGATGGATGGTTGAGTAGATTGGAGATACAATCCAAAGGGTCATGCCAATATAATATGACAGGTGATTTGGTCAGATGCTTTGTCTCAATGACTTGAGACATCCAGTGTGGACCACTTGGCAACATTTCTGCTCTGCCTTGCAGTTCCTTGGCCAATGAGAATGACAGAGGAAGACCCTGGATCTTATTATGTATGTTGTTAGACTCTACCAATTGAAGATATTGAGTACTTACTATCTCAAGTGACAAAAAGCTATCTATCTTCCCCATGCTTAATCCCAAGCGAAGTAGCCATGACGCAAGCTCCCAATCTTTCCGGCCACTGAATGGGTAGTAAAGATTAGTTGCATGGTGCACGCTGTTCTCGTCTGAATTGAATAAGTCAAGGAAAGTATGACCTGTTCCATACAATCAAGAAGCTCCGGGGAACCAGTCGATGAAGTCACTGGTTGGTGATATCCCTTCTTCATCAACACTGCTGGTAAAACCACCTTCATTTAAATTAGCACCACTTCCAGCATCCTCATCCCAGCCTCCAGATCCGTTGTGGTCTTCATATGTATTTGTGAGGTGGTGAGAATCATTGGGAGTACCGAGCTCATCATCGTCGACATCCATAGACTCAGTTCACACAGAGTCCAACCGTATTATATCATGTAGCCAAGTGCTACATCCTGAGCGGGGCTGATTCATATGATGGGCCACAGCGACCTCATCTTTGAATCCGCCTTTGCCGCACGATGGACACTGAAACATATCATTAAGTATAGAATGTATAGGTGTGAGAACAATACCTTGTGTGACGTCAAATCAAGCTCAGATTTCCCTGAACCTACTGTATAGAACAAATGAAGTCTGCAAACAAGCATTATTACCTATAATTATAATATCATATTAGTATGTCTGAGTCGACCCCACTTGTCCGCCTTGGCATTCACAACAACATCCTCACCTCAGTCACAGCACCTTCTCGCTGTCCTCGGTGCTATGGTTTGCATGTAGCCAGTGCCCACCCATGTCTCCGAGTGGTGAAAATTGGCAACCACGACCGCGCTCTCATGGAATTGTACGACATTGCTGATGCTATTGGCTCTATGGTAAGTGGCTTGCTATTTGTACCAGAAACCATCATCTATCATCTAACGTACCTGTAGACTGTCAAAGATACAGACCTTGAAGCCAACTTACTCATGGAACTCGTGAGAGCCAGACAAGAGGTATTCAGAGCCAAGAAATTGCTGGCTGATTGTGTGGTCCGTGAGCATGAAGTTATGGTGACTCTATCAAAGTTTAAATCCAGCATATCCGAGCGCAAACTTGACAAGGCAGACGTCAGATTAGGATGCATGCAGATCACCTTTAAAAACACGGTCTTTCTCACCATGTGTCTCTGCATAGTAAGTCTTCCAATACATTAATATTCATGTACTGTAGTCAACAAACCACAGGTTCTCATATCAAGTTGCAGGCCGCCGGTCAAAACATCACTATCAAGTTGGATTGATGTGGGATGGTGTAGTATTTCATGATCGCACAATGTTTTTTGTATTACCTTACCGTGCATTATGTAGAGTTTTTGATAGAACAACTCATTACACTATACTAGTCTAATTTAAGTTTATTTAGTATGCTGGCATTTCAACTCAAAGCTAGTCACTCAGCGTTCAACTGGGACAGCGCTCACACTGGCAACCTTGATAGCTGTGCAGCCTGTACGTCCTGTCAGAGCTGTGTGAAATATCTATCTGTGCTTATATAACTTTTGTGAGCGCTGTCTGCTCTGTGAGAGTCTGTGGGCAACTGTGTGAAACTGTCAAAATAGGCATTATCTGGGGAGAAATTTGTGGTTTACTGATGTCTGATACTGATTCCTCGGTGTCGGTGAGTTCGTCAACCTCTGTTGGCGAGTCCGATTGTTGTGCACGTCGGTTATAGGCTTCTGCATCAAGCACCTTCAAACAGGCTACAAGGAAACACCACATGAGTGGATTTGTGGGCAAGCACATGGGAAGCTTTCTACGACCCTGAAAAATGTACTTCTTCTCGCCACATGCCACAGTGTCTAAGGTCACCCATTCATCGAAGGGGCGCAATCTCTGTGGTAGAAAGACTCCATTCTCGTAATGCAAGAAAATCCAGGCAAAACATACATAAACGACTCCAGATCATGGCGATGTAGGTGTTTCACTTTGCCATGTTGACCCTCTTCAGTGAGCAGATCGAGCGCTATGAACAGTACCATGCTGGTGCATTCATTGCCCTGAGGTCCTGGGTCATCCACCAATGAGAATAGATCGTAGTCGTTTAAAATGCCAATCTGCTTCCCATCTTTCCAGTACCGCATCAAGTTTCCAGGGCTGACATCTCGATGATGGACCCCTTCCTTCCACAGAGTAAGGTGGCCTGCATGCTATGTCAACAGTGATCCACGTAAATTCAATGAAACACTTACATAAAATACACTGACGCCATATGTTGAAAAGATCCTTGTCCTGAAGCTTCATGATGGGGTAGAGCTCAGAATACAAGAACATAGAGCACATGGCTCATACTGGGTTCCAGAACACTGAGCACTTCTCAGATGGCAGATGTGGGATTCATGAACATGTGGTGCCAAAGGAGCGCAGGAACATGGTCTTGGACAGTTGTGTGCCTCTTAGCGATCTCCTCAACCTTTTTCAAGATCTCCAGCTCGCTAGTGCAACTCGCCTCTCTCCAAAATATCTGGGCCACCATTCCATCCTGGAATTTGCCATATTTCTTAGTGAGCACTTTGCTAGTGACAGGGACCACGTTGGTGTGTGTGTGTGGCCCACCCTTGTAGTCTGTGATGCATCACTCTTTCACTATGGCTGGTGTGAAACAACAGATCTACCATTCCAGGATCTTGATCCTTGATTTTCAATTTGTGGCATTGTTTCCCCTTAACTTGAACTGGGAGGAGGTTATTGTTTCGGCCCCAATCACGAACCTTGAGGTGTTGTAACGCAAGCAACAGCACCATGAATCACAGGAGATCTTGAATGCCCAAGCTTTGAACAGTGCCCTGGCGATCATAATACCAGGTCCAGATCACATTGTCTAAAAAGCAGTGGTAAGAGTACGACCAGTCTCGACAGATGAACGAACCCACCAACAATGATGAAATTGATCAGATATTTGATGGCAAGATTGGCCGCAAACATTTCAACAGTGTACAGACCCGTCTGGACAGTCACATCTGGCTCGTCAGGATTGACCTTAAATTTTCTGGTGGTAGATTCCAAAGTGTCTGCGACCTTGCGCTTGGAGTTGGATCCACCCTTGGCAGGCTGTGCAGCAGTGAGGCCAGAAGATTGAACTGCTGTTTGGTTAATTCAGTTTAATCTTGGATACAAAAATCAAATCAGCGCAGTATTGGACACAGGTTGTGTTGCTGGGGACTGCGAAGGGCCTGGCTAAGGCACTTCAACCTTCAGATGATCCACTGGCAGATATCCTGGTTTAGTAGGGACATAGTCTGTTACTGTATACGAAGAGGGCGGTGGCTTAATCCCTTTTGTCCTCCCTGGTGTCTTTCTCTTGAACTCAATGCAAGCCAGAACATCTTTCCAGAGGAGATTCTTTGGCTTTGGCTTTGCATTCTTGACCATGTGAGCCTTGCACTTCTGACCATCCTTTGTATCATCCTTCTGGTTGTCCTTCCATTTGTCTTTTTGCTGCTGTTATTATCCTGGAAGGATGCATATGTACTGTCCAAAGAAAGGATGTGATGTCAGGCTTCCAATTTGATCTCACCGTTTGGTGGGTTTGATACATGGGCATATCGTTTTGCAGGCAGATCATGTCCACGGTGGAGACAGGAGTGTGCATCCCATCAATCTTGATCTCTTCAAGACAAGCGAGTGCAATGTTTGTAGTGTCAATAAAAGGGCTGTAGAAGTTGTTTTCTATTCCTGAACATGTGTTTGTAATCATTGTAAGCGTGGAAGTGTTTGATCAGTGAAGGAGCACTCACTATTCTTTCAGTGCTGTCTTGATGCCTGAAGAGGATATGCCTTCAGTGGAGACCTGTCCATTGCAAACAGGCAGAGCTCCCTTCAGGCACTTTTGCAGGAGCTCGGGCTGTTTTGTCTCTGGGGCGCAAGACGCGCACTGTATGAGGGCTTACAGCATGGCATCTGCCTTGCACTGCTTGGCCTGCTCTATGTCCCGCTGAATCCATGGCCAGACCTCCTTAACCCTTGATGGGAACGTCAGGTGGTACTCCATAAGAGCAAGAAAGGTACATACTGGACACTGACCATGCTGATGTTCTCACTGACGACGGAAGCCCCATGGCTGTTCTCTATCTTACTACCACCTTGACTTGGTACATTAGCGCGTGGCAGAGTAGACGATGTGCCTGTCTTGCTAGCAGGAGACATGATGCTAGGTGTTCAATGATTGCGCTGACTGAGTTCTGTGAGTAGAGCTAGTGAGGGAGAGAAAACTAAGAGGATAAGGAAGATGTCTGCTTTCTTCTTGCCATATATATGGTCGATGAATGTGGTGCAAATGTATTGATCATTAATGTGATGCTGGATTGATGTGGCGGTTGTGGACCAGGTTAATTCGTGACTCTGACGACGCGTTCTGGGCCATCAACTCACGCACGTGACCTTGACTTATTTTTCGAATCTGAAATCGATTTCAGTCAAGTCGATGTGTCCGGTTGTACCATTAATGTTAGAGATCCATTTAATGCTGGGATACGACCGTGGCCAATCTCGACAGACGAACGAACCCTATTTAGAAAACAATTGACTTCAAGTTTACAAACATTTCGGTAGCGTACAGAGTGACTTTGTCAATTAGGCTATCAGGCTACCACATTTACAGGCTGTCATCTCGTTCTCGGTACGCGATCAATCGTGATGCGGAAAATAAAAGAATCGGATTGACCATGAATGCTTGGCCTCGGCTTCCTCACGACTGAAGCTGGTCATTTGATCATGTCCGACACAGGGTCTACGATCCCAAAAGACTTCACTCTGAGGTAATATCTAAATAGCTCCAATTGAATTGTACTACATATACAGTGCGTGAGGGGTAAACAGGGCGACTGGAGAAAGCAATGATTAATGAACCGTCGTACTACTTACTACTAATCAGAAGTGATATGACTGCGTCATCCCTGTCGGGGCCGGCAGCACGACCCGACACAAAGAACAAACGCAAGCAAGTTCCGCTAAACAATGTACAGGAATTCACACATCCTGAACGTTACGGCTGTATTTTCTCCATATCTAATGCCATACGCGGACTGAATAAAATTTGCCGCGACCAATATCGATCGTGTATCGTGATGACCGAACAAAGGAATAGTCCTTCATGTTGGGCCCTCGGAGCCGATGATATGCGTTCCAAGACCTCGTTTTCAGAGAGCCCATTGAACAGGAAGAGGTAGTCTCGAAGAGGTCGAACCGATTCGTCGTTCTTATCAAGACCGAGCTCGAGCACAAGTCGTTCTCGATCTTTCGGATATTCGCACTGCGCAGCGGTGGCCAATTTCCAAATATTGTCCCACTTGCGTTGCATATGGGCCACTTCTAGAGCGGCTAGCAGACGCAGACTACGTTTCATGCGGTGCGGTGTCGATGACCCTGGGTACATTGTCAGTGGAAACAATGCGCACATCTATCGAGAAGACTTACCGACAGCTGCCTTTAAAATATTACAGCTCAACCTATGATGACTGTGCCAGGAATCACGCTGGCATCGCTTTGAGCAATACTGTACAACCTGACATCCCGCACATTGCCTGAAGCGAATGTCTTCTGCGGGACCACCGCAGTAACACTGGTAGGATTATGTCGACGAATCAGCAAGAATGAAGCAATAAAGTCTGTGACTGACCTGTAGAACCCAGCTCCTTTCACTCGGTGATGGCCACCATATCGTTTCTGCCTTGGACCTAAGTGTCCCATATAATCGAAGGGTCTGCTCTACTTTGGACCACAGATCCAAGAGGCGTTCGTCCTGTCTCACAATTGGTCCGAGATTATTAGACCAGGCGTCCACATGTTTACAGACGTAGGACAAGATTTTGTCGTCAAGACTGTATCTGAATAAGATCCTAAAAAAAGCCTCATTGATCCTACGAGGATCCGTCTCCACTATCTTCACCTCCAGGGGTCCGGAAGGACTTATATGTACTATTGTTTCGAAGGCGTGCGCGCAAAGAGCTTGATGGAGTGCTGATACAGGGTCGTCGCCACGTTTAAGGAGAAAGTCCAGGTACGTAAAACTTGGGGCAAGGGCCTCCGCCATATGCTCTCTATCCAGAGGAAGAGACTGAAGAACACGGAGAGCCCAGAAAATTTCTTTGACGGACTGCCGAAGGACGTATGCTTCCCGTATTGCCGCATCGAGCATGCTCATCGTTGCAATAATTCCAATACAGCACGAAAACACTGGTACAAGCAGCTCGAGCTTGAAAGCATTGGAGACTATGTCAGGGTCCTTAGCCATCGATCGTAAGCTCTTGACATAATTCAGAGCTGCAGAAGTGACGGCGTCAATGCCACCTGACAATTCGAGTAGTATGGTCATAAAGGATTTGTCGTAAACGCATACTGAAACCAAAAAGGAGCCGCAAACTCGAAAAGAAGTGGTGCGAGCGGGGCCGGATGGCGATGACAGGCACACTACATCTTTGTCTTTGGTTTTCAAGGCTAACAACCACAACTCTGCGATCGGGCGATAAAGGGCAGGAGTAGTAAGCAATGTGGTTCCGCCGCGCTTGTCACCAATGGTCGAAACATAAAATAGTAAGGTAGCAACAAGTCTGATGGCAGCCATCTTGTCGACGGGTCGATAGTTGGCTCTGCACATGATGAATTGGTCATGAAAGAAGATAAGCCAGGGAGTGACACGGTTCCAGGCGGAAATAAGATATTGCTGTTTCAAAACTGCTGAGCCAATACCAGAACCATCGATATAATCCAAACTTGCAACAATCGCGAGAAGTGACCTGTAGACGAGCTCTATATCAGTGGCAGCGGCTGGAGTTGACTTCGCAGGAATGCGGTCTGGATCGAGATACATGTAGAGCACTGGCTGCAGTATACATAGTTCGGATGCGGAGCAACGTGGAAGTCGATTGCACAGCTTCTCAAAGTCTGCAACCGAACGATTCGTGTACACTCTCCGAACTAGTTTCTGAGTGACACTCATCAGTTATGGCGACAACAAACAAAGAATTGATCGCAAAACACTCACCCGCACGTCTTGGGGCAGCTGCGACAGTTGCGTCGCTGGTATCATTCTCGGTCACGGTGGTCAACTACTTAGGTTCTACACGCTCCCTTCGGTCTCAAGGTCCTGCTGATAAGAAAGCTGAGGGGACTGGCACATCCCGCAAGGCTGCTGCGATCTGGACAAAGGAGGAGGAAACAGCATTGCTTGAGTCTCTTCTGGGCGCTCTTTCTTCCTCAGGTGATGGTGGCTTCAAGGCACCTGCTTTCAATGCAGCAGCAGAAGATCTGAAGAAGAAATTCCCTGATCAAAGGGGTGCAGTAAAGACTGGGACAGTGTGCAAGAACAAATGGACATCGGTATGTTTACATAAAAGAACTCAAATTTCTTATCGGCGCTGGCACTAACATCAGTGCAATATCTTTCTAGTTGAAAACATTGTATAATGCTGTAGTTGATATCAAGAATACATCGGGATTCACATGGAGTGATGAAAATGGGGCAGGTATTGCATTGAAAGATGATGACGTCTGGGTCAGATACATCAAGGTGAGTATCGTACAAAGGAGCTCTAATACATGTACTCAATGTCATCTCTTTTGGCAGCACCATCCCACCGCAAAGCCCTTCAGGAACAAAGGATTCTCCCACCTCGCCCTTATGGAGCAGCTGGTTTCTAGTCAGGGGAAAGGCAAATACGTCTTCCGACCCCATTCCACCAGTACTAGTGCCGCCCTCAACTTGAATCCCACACCAAGTCCCACCACATCTACTACCACTGGCTTTATCGTCCCCCAGACCCCTAACCGTAATTTCACCACCATGCGCACTCCAGACACAGGCTTACTGGCCAGTGCAAATTCAAGTCAGGGTATGGATCCGGAATCCATCTCACCATCTGTCCCATCCACCTATCTTTCTCACTCTGCTGGCTCCTCAGTGGGAGCATGGACAAGTGTCAGCGATACTAGTGGAGCAAAGCGCAAATATAGCGCACTCTCTCCTGAAAGCGCTGCAGGCTCCAGTCACTCGAAACGGAGTCGTCCTCCATCTGCAACGCTGAAAGTTCAGCAGGAAGGCGCGGAAAGTATGAAGGATCTTGTCACTGTAGTTCGTGAGATGCAGAAGAACATGGGGCTGTCAGCCCCCCAGCAGTTACCATCACCACCCCAGCAAGTTTCAATGGCCGGGCTCGTGCAGGCTATCGCCCTCCTCAACCAATATGCTAACAGCGATCTTTTTGAAAGTGTTGAAGAGCAGCTGGCTATCGCTAACTATTTAGCGGATCATGAGAGCCAGGCGGTCCTTTTCTGCTCATTAAATGAGCAGACAAGACGTGCCTGGTTGGAGCAGAAGCGGCGCCAGCTGTGTGGATATGCATGATACATTCATTGTCGTTTACCAAATTACATGATAGACTGTTGTGTACTACGTACTAGTACTTTGAACTTCGATCCCTATGAAAACTGTATAGCAGGCTATTCTACAGTTACAGCAGCCCCCGACGTGCGCGCTCCGCAAGATAATCGGTCCACATCGCTGCAGCGATTCCATCTCGACGGTTGTCTGCCTCCCTTCTCTCCCCAGCATCTGGCTGTCCTTCTGAAAGTGTGCCCAATACCGCACCATGAGTAAATAATCTGAGGGGTCAGTGAATCGCTCTGTAGAATCGATAAATTGTGGTAGTGTGCATAGGCAAGTGAAAGATTGACATACCGTGAAGAATGTTGGATATAAATCAATAGTGAGATGGAGAGAAGAAACAACAATAAAGCTACCACGTCCGACCCGTCAGTGGAAAAAAAGGAACAATAATCACAATATGGGCTTACCTCGCAAAGTAAACCACGTGAGTTTTCATCAACACCGTGAAACAGTCCTCGATAATCCCTCCTGCCGAATGTTGTCGTAGTTCACGGAAGTGTTTTACCACAATCCAGACTGCGAGACAGAGCACGAAGACCTCCCATACAGTGCTGAGCATCCAAGCCATAGACGTAAGAAGTGGGATATATTCCGAATAGTTAAACTGGCACAGATAAGTGCCAGAGAGAATGAGTTCTTCTGGTAACCATCAATGAGCCAAATGCACGTTTGTTCATTCACAATTGAACCCACCCCCTGAATTATGCATCGTTGTCATTATGGGAGACACTGCATCGAAAGCGTTGATAGCCAGGAAGGTAACAATGAGAAATATCAGGATCTTTCTGGATCCTTGGTACATCGCATGCAACCGAGCGATGATGATGACTTGCAGCATGTTTCAGTCAAGTCAATATCACTGAGGTTTCGCAAGTGCAAAGCTCACCCCACAACATCGCAAATACCACAACACCAATCCAATTCCATACGGTGGACATACTCCAGCCTGACAAATCCGGTCAGTGATCGGTCTCGGGTAGCACACTCCAAACAGACTCACATCTGTGGCAGTATAGCAGTCATTAGTAAACCAAGAATTTAGCAAAGAACCACACCCACTGCTACAGAGCACCACGGTTAATTGGACGGGAATAGCAAGCATCTGTGCAGAAGACTCACCGTATCTGTCAATGAGATAGTCGGGACATTCACTATATGTCGTTGGTCAGAATAAGCACAGACAGCGAATGTACTAAAGAGACATACCCAGCATGTACAGGCTGGTTATGAGAGATGGACAATTAGCACAACATCGAGTGTGTAGCGTTCTGGACATACGCAACGTGTAAGATTCCAAGGTAACGCACCTAGGATACTTTCCAGTCAGCAAACATGGCGACTGCGACCAACAAGCTACATACGCCGAGATACATGGCTGTCATTACGGACCATCGTTGTCTCTGGAATCAAGCGTATTTTCATGCGTGTTCCTCTGACACCAGACTCTACTCACCCAGATCAATTCCACCTATAAAACCATTCTCAGCGAGATGGCTGCTCCGGTTATAGCATCAACATACCTCTTGTCCGAATGTAAGTGCTGAAAATAATCGTAAGACGTCAGCTGTCTTTTAATGTCATCATGCTCACCCCAATCATACATCACTGCAACAAAGGTGGCGACTGCGAAACCACAGCCAATGTTAGATTGTGTCAGCTTCAACATCCGACTGCTCTCCACGAACCTACAAAATAGCTGTCCAAACGATATGCATTGATGCCCGACCATCAAGTGGGATCATTTGAGACGTAGGTCATATTGGTAGAGAATAGGCGTGGGTGAGAGGCGAACTTGGTGGACGTATGACGATGGCATTCATGCTAGTTATACTACCATCCGGTAAGTAGATCAGCGAAACGAGATCGGGAGATGATGACTGTTCCTGCTTTGATTGGTCGAAGTGGATATTTTTTTGCATGAGGAAAGATAAATTAATCCAGGGGATCATCGTAGATGTTGGTCGTAAAACATCTGAACGAGCAAAACATTTGAACTCCACAAAAGGTCGAACAACATCAAGAACTGTTCGTGATCTTGTCGCCTTGTTTCCGATGCTATTCTCGAGATGTTTTTGCTACACGTGCATCAGCAACCAAGTATTACTTCATCTGTTTGATACATACTGATCACGGTACGACCATCGGAAAGCCCGTCATCTCATCTCTCTTCGCCTCTCTAGCACAGGCCCGGAGAGCATAACAGCTCATCCAAGGTCACTCAGCAAATGCACATTGCGTCGGCATGACACCGGACCAGAAAAGTCAGCCGTCAAAAATAGGGAGATTCGCATGACGAAATAAATTCTCGTCCTACTCTGACTACCAATACCTCTCAGCGAGCATACGTCTCAATATCTCATCCCACCCTTAGGTCATCTGTCGCTTCATGCGCACCCTCTCGCTCTCTGCCTCGAAAATTGGGTTATCGTATCATCTGGATGCCAGAAATGGTAAGCCCAGAATGTTTGATTTGTATCCTGGAGTTGGTGCGGTGATGAGAGGTTCACCAGAGACGTGAGGTTCCGTGATTGATGTATGATGAAGATGCAACATTCAAGAGAGCGTTGAGAGGAGATAAGAGAAAATAATGCTCAGATGTACAGTGGCTGAAGGCGATAACATTCCATTGGCACACCGTCAGAAAGTTGGCGATTTGAAGAAGTTGAGGGAATAACTCACCGGGTCATACAGCTACCAAAGCACACCATCAACGCTCATCCAAATGAAAACCGATTCAAACCGTGCCACACTGAATCCATCATGCAGTTGATGCCCTCCTGTTGACTCACATTCGTAGGGTAGCCTGAGTGGGAACGTGGATTGGAAACGCCGTCTATATTTCGCATGAACCGGCTACCATAACGACGCCCGAGACTACACCGACACCTCAGGACTCCGACTGTTGAACGATCAAAATCCGAGAACGCCGAGAATGCGCGGTGAGCGGATCTCAGAATGCACAGGTTGTGCAGAGGGGTGATGCAGTTCGATGGGAAGATAGATAGTGGACATCTCGTTTCGGGGGGCGTGCAGGATGATAAATTAATGCAAATACAGTAGAGCACTGGGAGAAAACAAAGTCTGACGCACCGCAGGAAGCCCAACTTTTGTTCTGACGCTCATTGTGTAGTCGATGGCAAACTGATGCCCATATAATTCAGAAATGAATATCAGCAGCGTCTCTGCCTCGCTTCCATCCTCTGAGGGCTTGAGTCTGGGAGCATAGCAAATGCGAGAATATGGTAAGGGCCTAGGGCGACTGATGAGAACTGATGCAAACTTAACATACCAGTGAACGTTTTCAATGGGTGGGAGGAGCGGTATAGCCTAGGAAAGTGCTTGCCTATAATATAATCCCATGAACGAGTATGATTCGGAGTCGATGTCCTCATTTATATCACTGTTAAAGTTTTGTACTTGAGAAATGAAACAAGTGAAATGGCACAACTTACTTCCCTGGACTCCGGACGGTCAACGTACCATACACCTCAACGCTTCGCCTTCCTCCCATGTCGCAAGTCCTCTGCCCAGGACTCCAGGGATCAGTCGCCGAGTGATCACCGATGTGCACTTGCTTGCTCTCCTTTGTCGGTGAAACCCCGATAGAAATGAATGCAAAATGTACCACACTAAATCCTTCACAGTTGGTGCCATATCCAAACCAACCCGAGACAATCTAACGGTAGCATTCGACTGTGGCTGCGTGCAGCCTGTTGTATTTTCCAGTCTGTTCAACTTGCCCTGAAGTCAAAAATAGGCGCTCCTGACAAGCACTGAGACTTTCAATTGTGTATCAGAGACTCAGAATGATCAAAGTCGTGAAAATAAGTTCGAGGAACAAGGCAAGAACGTGTGAACACATTTTGTGATAGTCAGGGCAGACACTCCTGGTCGGATGTAGGCTACGGTCTAGATCTATGATACCAGGACAACAAAGTTTCCTAATTGCAACATCGCAGCCTCAGGTAAGTAGCTCCAATTACAAATGTTGTGCGGTCAGTGTTGAAATATTCAGCAAACAATTGACTTCAAGATTGGCCACAAACATTTCAGCAGCGTACAGACTCGTACTTTGTCAATTCGGCTATCAGGCTACCACATTTACAGGCTGCCATCTCGTTCTCGGTACGCGATCAATCGTGATGCAGAAAAGAAAATACTGACAATGAATATTTGAATGCTTGGCTGCAGCTTCCTCACGACTGAAGCTGGTCATTAATCATGTCTGACACAGGGTCTACGATCCAAAAGACTTCACTCTGAAGTAATATATATCTAAATAGCTCCAATTTAATTGTACTACATATACAGTGCGTGAGGGGTAAACAGGGCGACTGGAGAAAGCAATGATTAATGAACTGTCGTACTACTACTAATCAGAAGTGATATGACTGCGTCATCCCTGTCGGGGCCGGCAGCACGACCCGACACAAAGAACAAACGCAAGCAAGTTCCGCTAAACAATGTACAGGAATTCACACATCCTGAAGGTTACGGTTGAGTGTTTGCGGCACTATCTCCATATATCTCCATATCTAATGCCATACACGGACTGAATAAAATTTGCCGCGACCAATATCGATCGTGTATCGTGATGACCGAACAAAGGAATGGTCCTTGAAGTCCTTGAAGTTGGCCCCTATGATCTGGCCAAGATGATAAGCGGTCCACGACCTCATTTTCAGAGAGGCCATTGAACAGGAAGAGGTAGTCTCGAAGAGGTCGAACCGATTCTTCGTGCTTATCAAGAGCTAGCTCGACCACGAGCCGTTTCTGATCTTCCGGATATTCACACTGTGCAGCGGCGACCAATCTCAGAATATTGTCCCACTTGCGCTTCTTATGGGTCACTTCTAGAGCGGCTAGCAGACGCAGACTACGTTTCATGCGGTGCGGTGTCGATGACCCTGGGTACATTGTCAGTGGAAACAATGCGTATATCTATCGAGAAGACTTACCGACAGCTGCCTTTAAAAAATTACAGCTCAGCCTATGGTGACTGTGCCAGGAATCACGCTGGCATCGCTTTGAGCAATACCGCACAACTTGACATCCCGCACATTGCCTGAAGCGAATGTCTTCTGCAGTACCACCGCAGTGACACTGGTAGTGTTAAGTCGACGAATCAGCAGGGATGAAGCAATGAAGTCTGTGACTGACTTGTAGAACCCAGCCCTTTTCACTCGGTGATGGCCACCATATCGTTTCTGCCTTGAACCTAAGTGTCCCATATACTCGAAGGGTCTGCTCTACACTGGACCAGATATCCAAGAGGTATTTCTCTTGTCTCACGGTTGGTCCGAGATTATTAGACCAAGCGTCCACATGTTTACAGACGTAGGATAAGATTTTGTCGTCAAGACTGTATTTGAATAAGATCCTAAAAAACGCCTCGTTGATCCTACGAGGATCCGTCTCCACTAGCTTTGGCACCTCCAGGGGTCCGGAAGGACTTATATGTACCATTGTTTCGAAGGCACGTGCGCAAAGGGCTTGATGGAGTGCTGAGGCAGGGTCGTCGGCATGTTTAAGGAGAAAGTCGAGGTACGTAAAACTTGGAGCAAGGGCTTGCGCCATGCTCTCTTTGCCCAGAGAAAGAGACTGAAGAACACGGAGAGCCCCAAAAATTTCTTTGACGGACTGCCGGAGGACGTATGCTTCCCGTATCGCCGCATCGAGCGTGCTCGTCGTTGCGATAATTCTAACACAGTGCGAAAACACTAGTACAAGCAGCTCGAGCTTGAAATTATCGGAAGCTATACGGGCCTTAGCCATCGATCGTAAGCTCTTGACATATTTCAGAGCTGCAGAAGTGACTGCGTCAATACCACCTGACACTTCGAGTAGTATGGTGACAAAGGATTCGTCCTGAATGCATGATGAAACCAACAATGAGCCGAAAACTCGAAAAGAAGTGATTTGAGCGGGGCCGGGCGACGACGACAAGCACACTACATATTTGTCTTTGGTTTTCAGGGCTAACAGCCACAACTCTGCGATCGGGCGATAAAGAGCAGGAGTGGTAAGCAATGTGGTTCCGCCGCGCTTGCCACTAACGATTACAACGTGCAGTAGTAAGCTAGCAACAACCCTGATGGCAGCCATCTTGTCGACGGGTCGATAGTTGGCTCTGCACATGATGAATTGGTCATGAAAGAAGATAAGCCAGGGAGCGACACGGTTCCAGGCGGAAATAAGATATTGCTTTTCCGAACCCGCCGAGCCAATACCAGAACCATCGATATAACCCAAAGTTGCAACAATCACGAGAAGTGATCTGTAGACGAGCTCTATATCAGTGGCAGCGGCTGGAGTTGACTTTGCAGGAATGCGGTCTGGATCGAGATGCATGTAGAGCACTGGCTGCAGTATACATAGTTCGGATGCGGAGCAATCTGGAAGTCGATTGCACAACTTCTCAAAGTCTGCAACCGAACGATTCATGTACACTCTCCGAACCAGTTTCTGAGTGACACATCTGCATCAGTTATGGCGACAACAAATTAAGGATCGATCGCAAAACACTCACCCGCACATCCTGGGGCAGCTGCGACAGTTGCGTCGCTGGGATCATTCTCAGTCACGGTGGTTTATGATCGATCTGATCACTAGTACCCGGCGCTGACTCAGACCGTTGGAACTTGAAGCTTGAAAGACCATATATAGAAAGTTCGATCGTTCTCTGACATTCAGAAAAAATACGGACGCCCTACTCGAGGTTAACGCGAAGTCAAGTTAATACATTTTTACATCCTATGATACCAATTGACAACAAAGCTTCCCAATTGCAACCATGCAGGTAAGTAGCTCCAATTGCAAATGTTGTGTGGTCAGTTTTCAAATAAGTATGTGCACTATGAGAGAACAATGGATGTACCACTAACAATTATTTTGGATGATCAGTATGTGCTACGACTGCATCGTCCCTATCGGGGATCGACCGGTCCCTTCAGCCCAGATCCACCTGACGCAATACTAGGGAAGATCAATGAACAAGCACAAGCAACACCGGAGCAGCAGAAATTCACGCACATTACTAACGCTTACGGCCCAACTTCATCTCCATGTTTAATGCAGTACGCGGGCTGAACAAAATCTGTCGTGAATAATATTGATCGTTTATTGCGATTACCGAACACAAGAATGATCGATGGCCCCTTGGTTCTTTCAAGTTCCAGGACGATAAGCTTTCCACGATGTCGTTTTCAGAGAGCCCATTGAACAGGAAGAGGTAGTGTCGAAGAGGCCGAACTGATACATCAAGCTTATCTACACCGAGCTCGACCACCAGCCGTTCCTGGTCTGTCGGATATTGTTGTTGCGCAGCGGCGACTAACTTCGGAATGTCGTCGTCCCCTTGGCATGACATCTGTCTGTCTTCTAGGGCAGCTAGAAGACGGAGACTACGCTTAACGTAGTGCGGTGTCGACGAGCCTGGATAGATTGTGAGTGGAATGATGTCTCTGAAACATCGGAAAGACTCACCGACAGCTGCCTTGAGAAATTTGCAGCTCAACCTATGGTGACTATACCAGGAATCACGCTGGCATTGCTTTGAGCAGTACCGCACAACTTGACATCCCGCGCATTGCCTCAGCTGAATGTCTTTTGTAATGCCACTACAATAACACTATTTTGAGAGGCGAGTTGAATGGTCAGCAGGAACGAAACAACGAAGTTTGCGACCTACTTTTAGAAACCAGCCCTTTTCATTGGACAATGGCCGCCTTATCATTTCCTCCTTGGACCTGAGACTGACATATGATCGTATCGTCCGCTCCATTGCGGACCAATCCTTCCAGAGGTTTTCGTCTTGTCTCGCGATCGGTCCGAGAGTATTAGACCAGGTGTTCACATGTTTGCAGGTGTAGGTCAAGATTTTGTCGTGAACAAGATAATGGTATAATATCTCGAAAAAATCTGCGCTGATATTATGAAGATTCGCTTCCATCTTCGCGGGTTCGAAGGGAGCCATACGAACCGCTATTTCAAGGGCATGTGCGCGGAGAGCTTCGTGGAACACTGAGACAGGGACGTCGGCACGTTCAAGGAGAAAGAAGAGGTACTGGAAACTCGAGGCGAGGGCTTTCTCGGTGCTCCCTCTGCCAGGGATAAGAGGCTGGAGAATACGGAGAGTTGAGAAAATATGTCTGATGGAGTGTCGGACGATGAATCCTTCCCGTATCGCAGCACTTTGCATGCTTGTACCTGTGATAAATCCAACACAGGTCGAAAACATTGTTACGACTTGAATCAACTCGATCCGGACGGCCTCGGAGGTTACATCAGGGTCCTTCAAGTTGGTCACTGATGCTATGGCCTTGACATACTTCAGAGCTGCAGAAGTGAAGGGGCCAATGCCACCTGCCACTTCCACTAGTGTGTTCACAAAGGATTCGCTGCGCATGCATTCGCCAACCAAGAAGATGGTGACAAGTCGAAGAGAAGTGATGCGACCGAGGTCATGCAATGGCATTTGAATGTTCAACACATCTTCATCTTTTGTTTCAATCGCTAACATCCACAACTCTGCGATCGGGCGGAAAAGGATGGGTGTAGTAGCGAGTTTTGAGTTCCCGTCAGAGTCGCGGCCAGCAATCAAGCCGTGAAAGAGCATGCTGGCAACAAGCTTGATGGCAGGCGTCCTGTCAACAGGTCTATAGTTGGCCCCGCACATAATGAACTGGTTATGAAAGAAGAGGAGCCAGGGAGCAATACAGTTCCAGGCGGAAAGGAGACATCGTTTCTCCGCATGAACATCGATGTTGCTCAAAGTTGTGACGATCCCGACAAGGGACCACCGGGCGAGCTCAATATCGGTGGTAACGGCTGGAGTTGACTGTGAAGGAACGTGATCTGTGTCGAGGTGCATGTAAAATACTGGCTGCAGTACCCATAAATCAGTTACAGAGCAATCTGCAATTCGATCGCAGAGCTGCTGAAAGTCTGTAACTGAACGGTCCAACACACCCCGGGCCAATGTCTGAGCAACATACCAGTAAGCGGCGATAACAAATCAAAAGTCGATCTCAAAACACTCACAAGTACATCCTGGGGCAGCTGTAATAAAAGTGACTCTGCTGAGATCATCGTCACTTAAAACGGGTGATCACTGCGCACTGTAAGAGTTGTGGTCTAGTCTCATGTAGGAAATAGAAGAAAGATGGTCGTTTCTTCTTATTCAGACCATAACGCGCTTATCATGATATCGATAGGGCCTAGATCTTATCAAGCTTCATCCTGAGAAACATTTGAAGCCGAGTCGTAAGCCAAATGAAGTTCAATTACTTTATAAGATGAATGTTTATGACTCAATATCTTTCAAGCTTGGAGGTGACCATCGACGACACCATGAACTTCTCGCACCTGCAACGTCGAGAGCAAACTGCAACATTAGACAAGTAAGTAAGTATAAGTGTATTGTGCGTGCAGTGCAGAGGTGTGCGTGGGGGTAAACGGAACGAAGGCATGGTCAATGAACATAGCAACGATAGATAATCACTACGTGCTATTACTGCACCGTCCCCGTCTGGGGATGAACAGTCTGAAGGGCCCCGCCATGCGGGTAATGATGCGATTCTGGACTATGCAAATGGTATGATGATGTTCCAATCATGATACCCAGGATGATGCCATTAGCAGTCCCGTTGAGCGCGGGAAAGTTGGTAACCCATTGCCAGCGAATGTGGGTAGGAGATAGTGGGATGAAGCCGCTTGACGTGGATGACAGCTGCGTCCGTCAAGATAGGAGAGTAGCATGGAATACTGATTAGGCATTTGCAAGAGTCGAAAGCCTCATGCACCCTGTGGCGTGGGCTGCTGCATCGGCATTTCTCTTGCCTGACCTTGAATGTCCTGCAAGAAGCGCATGAGATCATAATTCTCTTCTATATGAAAACCACGATCATGGCAGCCTCATGGGCGCACAATCAAGAAATCGAGATCAGCCAAATTAGAGACTCACCATCCTTGGCCTTTTAACGGGTCTTGGACGGACACCATTCGACCCCGCACGGACACCAGCCACGCCTATCGACATGCTCGCACCATTTACGCTCGGGTTGGGTGATAACGCAGGGCTATCATCGAGTTCACGCTTCTTGCCTCGCATGCCGCCGAGGGCGGACGTATCTATCCGTTGCGACGCGGCACTGCTCTGCACAGCTGATCGCGGTGCAGCGCTTGTCGGTGTAGTTATCCGAGTTGATGCTGTAGGAGGCGGTATGGTTACAGCAGGAGCATGAGGCTTTGAATGAATGGGTTGCACTTGTGATGCTGCAGGCGGTTGTTGTGCGGATGGTTGATTTGGATTTGATGGCGCTACTTGTGGCGGGGGGAGTGTACCGGGTGCGCCGGGTATGCCTCCCGGTACAAGACCTTGGGCTTGAGCACGCGCGAGTTTTTTGAGCTCTTTCTGGGAGCAGCAAAAACATGATATCTGAATATCAAAGCCCGTAGAGATGAGAAAGCCGCACGCACACGTTTTCTCCTGTCTTCCTTTGCCTGTGCAGACTCCACGACCAATGTGCCCGCATTCCACTAGTGCAATATCATCAAAATACGAGTATGGTGTAGAAAAAGAAGAGCGTACCCCTTTCAGACCTTCTGCACTGACAGTGAACGCTTCCCTTTGTGTCCGTTCATCGAACTCTGTGATTGGTATGCGTTGCTTCGGTGGAACCTGCATCATCGTAGTAAGGTAGTCGTCTTTCTTCATCGAGTGCTTCCCCGGGACGCTCTTTATGAGGAATCGGTAAGAATTCTTTTTCATTTTGTCATCACTGTCTGGAAGCAGGGCGGCCGGTGTAAGTGGTGGTACAGAAGCGTGTGACAATGGCATCTGGGAGGGAATGGATGGGCGGACGTGCTTGTCATAAGCGGGATAAAGATTAAAGCGACCAAGAATGTCCTGTGTGCTTGCGAGGAATGTTCGTGGAGGGGGATGTGCTGTAATTTGTGAGATTAGTCGGGTGTGAAAAGTAGTAATCAAACGCTATAAGAATGAAAACAACTAGTGATGCCCGTACCAGCTGGTGGTGGTAGAAATACGAAGTTATAGTCTTGAGTTATCGTAGACGGGCCTGCCACGGCGTTCTGATTTACGTCGTCCTCGACGTCCATGTCGAATAGCGAGGTGAACGAGCGGAGATCAGAATCACACTCTGAAAGCGCGTAAGTCGTAGGCTGCCTAAGTTATCCGAGGCAGCGCCACAGATCAGAAAAGCAGCTTGCTCGCGGATGTCGCCGTAATTACCGACGATGAGCAAAGACTGTTGGTCGCCGTCGTCGTCGATGGCAGGGACAAGGGGATCCGACAAGTTTAAGAGAATATGAATCGGCAAAGATTAGTCAGCAACACGTGGTCACGGTGTTGGCGGGAACGAAGTTTTGAATCGATATTATCACCTTGGGGGCAGCAACGTCTATATCTAAGACTAAGTAGAATTCTCGTGGGCCTTGTGGACTGCGACCTTTGTGGACTAAGGTAAGCCTTATTGTTGTCATGGATACTAACTTTCGCAGTAGATTATTAATGATGACCGAGCTAAACGATACACAGAAATCGGGAGGGCTAAAGATATGTGCTTGGAACAATGGAACCGCGCATGAACTGTCATGAAAAACTTGGTGGATACGAGATGGGAGGCGTCCAATACGATGCAATGTGCCGCAGCCTCGATAATGTCACGGTCGGGTGCAAGACCATGCGATTCAACGTGTACTCCTGATGTGACACTAGTACAGATTTATATCATAAGTGCTGAATACTATCGGTAACTAAACAAGCTTGCAGTTGGAGATAATATGACTGATGTTCTGATGGAAGGTCCCGGAGGAGTTGTTTGTCAAGGACCTTGAGCGCAGATGACAGTGCAGGGACGAGACATCGACATCGATCAACCGGCAAGCACCATTCCACCAAAGCGCTTGAGCCAGGCGTCCAGTCTCTCGGTCTCAAAATACGCAAAAACCCAATCCTCATCTGCTAAAGTCTCTGCTTCCCCCTTCCACACGTATGTGGATGCATCCAACTTGCCTCCATCGGCCATATCCACCACAACTGGGTTCGTTCGTACGAACTACCCTCGTAATTATCCAATTTCTTCCACTCCGAGGGGCTGGTGGGAAAGATTACATATCCATCAACAGTGCGAGTGTCATTGCTACGGATGAGCGCAGGATAATCACGGCGATGGACGCGGCGCCTTTCGAAACCGGTTATTGTCCCAGGTTTACGCTGAGAGTGGACGTCTCCCGCTTTCGACGAGTCGCCCTTTATTGCCCAGGCCAGGAGAGGGGCGGCCATTAACGTCCCATAGACAAATATTGGTGCAACGGGGCTGTCGGACGCAGTAGTAGGGCCCATCGTCTTGTGAAGAGTGATAGGTGATAGGGATCTAACGATTTCACCTTCCGCCGTAATACGTTACGGGCGTGGCTAGTAATGCAACATCAATATCAAGTCCACCTACAAATCAGAAAATCATTACCTGTGATAGTGTAAAAGAACAAATTGAATAGTCAGCCCCTTAAGTTTCTGGGCCTGTAGTGATAGTCACATGATGACCGCAATTCTAGCGCAGAGCTGGAGTGTCCTAGTTGTACAGGGGTCAATTAGCCAAAATCAGCGATTCCCACACCTTGACTAGTCTTATGACCATCGGCCGCATTGCTCTTACTAGAGATTACTGACTATTCAGTGAAAGATACCATGCGTAGTATATGGACCTGGATGAGGTCAGGCCCAATTCAATCTGCTATGGTGTTTTCTTTTAATACTTACCACACGAAACTTCAGTAGGTTGCGGGAACCTCGACACTGTGGAGAGACAGAGCCTCGTTCAAACCAGGCCGAATTCACTGTGCGTGGTGCATATTACGAGAGGTCCTTTGTGTATCTACATACCGTCTTCAACAGTTTCAAGCAGTCGCTATAGGCTTGCTAATAGGCTGCTTGCTGTGCTTTACGAACTTGTACTTTGGATTGCAGACAGGATGGATTAGCATGTGAGTGTCGCCAAGTAACCGACACGACAAAATAACTGATACTTTACTCACGAAGGATGTCACTTCAGTCCGCCTTGATTGGTTTCTTGCTGTCCAAGATGCTCCCGACCCCACTTTCTCCACAAGAGATCATTGTAGTGCAGACGACTGCGGTTGCTACCGGCACGGTGGGCCGTATTCCAATCTCCTTCATATTCAGCTAACCACTTCCTTTACAGATGCCATTAGCAGCGGGGTTTGTTGGCATTTTACCTGCGTTAGGTCTACTCGAGGAGGAAAAGGATGGAAGCCCACCAATTCGTCTCTCTTGGCTTGCTGCTGTAGGATGGTCATTCTCAGTCGCATTTTTCGGAGTATTCTTGTCACCTCCCATAAGAAAGCAAGTTGTGCGTATTGTAACTCTTCTTCATTGAAGGCCAGTCTGACGCTGAAAAGATCATCAAAGAGCAACTGGCATTTCCATCTGGCACAGCGACCGCTCAACTAATTTCTGTCCTACATCGAATGCCGCCTCCAGATACTACCTTGCGACGCCGTTCCGGCTATAGGGCGATTGATACAGAAGACTTGGCACAAACCGCGAGCACGGACGAACCTGGGAATCATCAGGAAGCCTCCGCAGAAGATGACTTTGACGAAAGAGGGGTTGTTCAGCGAGAAGGCTGGGAAGATCTGTTAATGAGCTTTCTTGCTTCCGGGGCAATGACTGTATGCAGTGCCTTTTGCTCGCTATATTCAACTCATGTCCATCTTCAAAGCTTGCCGCGTACTTTTTCCCGATTGTCTTCGCGATTCCGCTATTCGGGAAGTACCTAGCCCGAGAATGGCTTTGGTCTTTTACTCCTAGTTTATCATATGTCGGTCAAGGTGTGTGTGTCTTTGTCTAGTCAAGAGTTTACTAAGGCTTCATGAAGGCATTATCATGGGTTTCCCAACTACCTTGAGCATGAATCTGGTAAGTCTGATTCTCCACTTACGTAGCTACCGTTTATCATTTACGTCAGGGCATGCTTGTGGGTTGGGGTATCTTATCACCCCTGTCCAAGTACTCTGGGTGGGCTCCTGGTCCAGTCGGCGACATGTCTACGGGTGCGCGCGGTTGGATCCTCTGGGTATCTCTGGCCATTATGTGTGCCGACTCCTTCATTTCTCTCCTTCCGGTTGTCTACGAGTATTGTATCAAACTAGTGGCTTGGTATAGACCAACAAAGCCTGGTGACGATACAGAAACGCATGAAGATCTTGAAGTAGAAACTGCTGACCGACTTGTACCAACGAAGTGGGTGATGTACGGTCTTATAGGCAGCATATGTGTTGGGACGATTTTGGTTTGGATCGTATTCGGAAACGATGGTATCAAACCATGGGCAACCCTGATCGGTTTCATGATGGGTGGATTACTCAGTATCCTGGGGTACGTTTTTCGACCCGACGGTATTCTCCTGCTGATTATTCCACTAGGGTGCGGGCACTGGGAGAGACTGATTTGAATCCTGTAAGCGGACTGGGGAAGATCTCGCAACTTCTCTTTGCTTGGATACAACCTGGCAACGTGGTTGCAAACATCATTGCCGGAGGTGTCGCAGAAGCTGGCGCTCAACAGTACGGTTCTCCTTCACTATGTTAAATATGCGCTGAAGAGTAACCGCAGAGCTGGAGACCTTATGCAGGACCTCAAGACTGGTCATCTGATACGTGCTTCCCCGAGAGCCCAATTCTATGGCCAACTTATCGGATCATCATTATCAATCATTGTTTCAGCGACTGCCTACACCCTGTACCAACGAGCATATACAATACCCGGACCTTCTTTTCCTGCACCAACTGCGTACGTCTGGCTTAGCCTGGCTCGCCTCCTCCGTGAGAATTCATCATTGCTAGCTGGTTCGGGCTGTTGATATATTAATTGTGGCAGGAAACGGGCGACTTCCTCAAAATAGCGCCTCCTATATGGTGCTATTTGCAATAATCTTCGGTGTCATCGCAGGTGTCAAAGTCATGGCCGCACAACGCAACCACCCATATACAAAGTGGATCCCTTCCGGCATTGCATTTGCCATTGGCTTTCTCAACACACCTTCTTTTTCTTTGGCACGTCTGATCGGTGGGATCATCGAATTCATGTATCACAAGCGCGTTGCAAAATCCGGAGGCGGCGCGGATATCAGGTTGATCGTGATCGCAAGTGGCTTTGTGTTGGGCGAAGGAGTGATCAGCGTGATTTCGCTGGTGCTGAAGACATATGGAGTGGGCGTGGTGAGTTGTTGGGGCTGTTCTGGAGGCGTCTGCGCTGGCTGCCCTGCGTAGGATTTAGACTAGGCGCGGATGAGCGCACGGGCGGGCAGTTGTTTTTCTGTAGCTTCCGTATCACTTTGCGACGCTTGACATGCATTGTTTTCCGAACCTAATTCTACCTCAGTGCACCAAAAAAACATATGCAATGTTGCGAGTACTAGACTACGATTGACGACGCTTCGAACCAGGATACAGAACTGGCGGATGACACATGTACACGCTCCTGGAAGTCAACTGAAGCTATTCCCGGTTCCTGCATGGCAGTCAGCTATCGCAAGAGCCTAACGTAAAATTCTCGAACGCGGATGATTAAGCACAGTCCCAGTGACACAATACTAGATTCCGCCTAAGAAAATAAACTCTTTACAATATTTATGTATACAGACATTTTCCGATATTAATTAGCAATCTGTTAGTGTACGGTTCTTACGGCGGCATTATATCATCCCAGAGTACAATCATACCTCATAGCGGCGCACCCGGAGGGGTACACTGCATCCAGCCTCAGTGCTTCCAACCACGCTCGGTCTTGGTAAAAGCCCCAAACTCTTCACGATCTGCACCTCAGCCCCATCTGCCATCTCAAACATGAAGTGTCGCACAAGGATGAACAGCACAGTCTGGAAGGAAATGACACCCAGTTAAAACGAATCAGGACCAATACCCTTGCGCAGCTGCTTGCTTACCTTGAACTGTGTCAGAGCAAACAGTCTTCCCGGGCACATCCGCGCGCCATTGCCGAAGGTCATCAGATGGCGATAGCCATGCGGCATATCTCCAGTCCCATGTGTGCCTTCGTCCTCTTTGAACCACCGGGAAGGTTTGAATACCTTTGCGTCAGGCCCCCACATGCTAACCGAGCGATTGAGCGCGGCGAGCGGGATTACGACCTCTGTCCCTTTCGCAATGTATATATTGTCGGTAAATTTACCGTCAGCTGTATACAGGGGCTCGCTGAGCGGAATGACGTCGTCTTCCGTAACCTGTCATAGGTTAGTTCGAATGTCTGTATTAATTTCTGTCGAATACGAACCGCTCGAGGGACTTCTACAACTGGTGAGTGGAGGCGAAGAACTTCATTCACTACAGCGTTCAAGTAGGGAAGCTTATTCGTGAGGTCGTCGTATGAGGGGGTTGACCCGAACTCTAGACACTCGTCACGAAGTTTCGTTTGGATGTCTGGATTCCGCCCGAGTTCTATAAAAGCCCACTGTGGAATTTAGAAATACGGTTGGAGCAATAAATGGTTCAAAATTACTGTAAGGCTGACTGATAAAATGTAAGGAATGGTGAGTATACGGGTCTTTTGGTAAACAAATACATATTACCTGCTGTGGTCTCAAAGGCGCCAAGAAGTAGAATCCGTGCCTGACGGAGATGGAGATTAGTGTCGTATCGTTCAGAAGAACTCAATGATCTGTATACCTCGTCTAGTACTTCTCGCTGAGTCAGTCCTACGGTCTCACCAGATTCTTCCGCTTTCACTACAAAACAATTGTAGCGTTCGCAATTTTGGAGACAAAGAACAAACTCACGGAGCAAACCCAAACATGATTTATCTCTCTCGTCAGTGCCGCCAGTCTCTTTTTCTTTGCGCCTCCGCGATAGCATCTCCTGGCATATTTGGCCGACGGTCAGGTGCAACTTCTGGGAGAACTTTGTGCGAGGCCATGGTAGCTTCATGATGGAAGGAAAAGTTTGTCCGAGGATAAACAAGCTGTTGGAAGGGTCGACGGATGCGCTAAACGCATTCAGGACGTGCTCGACGTCTGAGCCATTTCCATCGAGTGCGCCGAAGTCATGGGACAGAATGCCTATGCCTGCATTGTCGAGTCTACGTGGTGGGTGTTGGATTAGACGGCAGCCTGGAGAGGAAGGGATATACATACGAGATGTGATTCATCCTACATAATGCCTGAGTGGGCGCACAATAAAATTTGGAGAAGACAAATACCATTGTTGGACATCAATTACAGCGCAATCATCTCCTCTGTTTGATTCTATCTCAGCGTCCCAAGCGATCACTGCCTGTGCCCTATTACGAGTGCAGCGACGAGTGAACTACGAATGCCTCACCTTGTGGGCGACATCTTGGAAGATAGAAGACAAGCTGCGAACAGCAGCTGCGTTAAAAGTAGGGTTGATGTTCTTGCGTTGCCTTATAAAAGAGATGTATTTAGTTCGGCACGACCTGAAGGTCAGATTAAACTCTTACCTTCTGTGACTTTCACCATCAGCCCCCATCACTCCTCTCCCTATCTGTCAGTCGCAGAAGCGAATTATTATCTTGGAGCTATGACAGAGGGCAAAGGGACATACTGCAATTGGAAGGATGATCTTGTTAAACGGAGTATGGTGATATAATGATGTGTCTCTGGCATAGAAGTGAGAGATTGCTTTTTGGTCCCATAGCATGAGCCTATATTTTCCCAAGGCGTGCGGGATCTTGTACACTGGTCCGTACTCCTTGGCCCAGGGTTCGTACAGTTCATTGGTAATGTTGGAATCTACCACTGTCTTGGCGAGGCCAAAGATCAAACTTGTACCTTGAGGTCCTCGTATGCGTGTCGTTCGTTGTGTTTGGCGACACGCTCGCAGAAGATAGAGTGTCGCCAGTATAAGGACAAAGATGCATGTTGTTAAGACTGACAGGGGCCGTGCGAGGCAGATGTCCTTGAAGGCAAGCCAAATGACCATGCCGCAATAGTTAGTTTGCGACAAAGCCATAGTTGTGAACGGGGATCAGTAACCGCTTAAATACTTTTTGTGCAGTGACTTATGTTGCCACTATGCAGTCCTGAACCGAATTTCGGACGCGAATTTTTGTAAAGGGGCTGCTCGACATATGATGTAAGACCTGGATTGGCCGCCGGCCAGTATGGCGCTCCAAAAAAAAACAGATCAATCTATCAAATCGTGGCAATGGTCAAAGAATATCCTTGCGACGGGGTACGTAAAACATCCATGGTTCTTATTTGTGAAGAATCCATGTTGTTGTACTGACAAGCATTGAAGGGTGGGTCGTATAAGTATTTGAAAGCACCAGCCAGTGACCACACCGTGCCATAAAATGGCACTGTTGCAGCCTGAGGACTAACTTTGAATTTGACTCATTGATGACCCTCGGATCTACAGCGCCCTAGCGAGATGAGAATTACGCCACTATGATGAAATCTCCTACACCGGGACTTGAAGCAAGAAGATGCAGAGCCTGAGAGCGGCAGCGGCGATTGTGCCACCCCAAGTGAGAGGCACAAAGAAGATCCTACGGCCAAGCTATTCCTCATACTAGAAGACTAGAAAATATACTCGGTTAGTGGTCATTGAGGTATTACTACTTACTCGTCCTGCTAACCGGAAGAATCGCATTATTGTTGTTGGGTAGGCTGTGGTTTTCGGTGTCAGGGCATCCGGAGAGTGAGTATGTTGCCCACTTTGAACGGTCCGGGAACTATTTCTGGGCCCGTCTCCCCCACACGCATACCGTTTTGTCCCCATGATCGTAAATGAAAGGACCGAGTGCGTCCACCGTACCTACCGGCATTCGCAGGCGACGGGTGCGGAGATTGTTCATGTACGCTCGGGCACATACCATTATGGATGTGTACTATGAGCTTGAAATTCGTGTGGTGAACGATCATCGCACATTTCGGAAATGAACATTCCGAAGCAATGGGACCCCGTAAGCGAGGTCTGGGTCCCTGGGAGGCCACCAAACTACAATTCTAACTAGCTATACTTACCACTGGTGTAGTACTAGCTAGTCCTTTACGTAGTACCCACCTATTCTTCAAATCATGTTTCAGGATAAGCTTATTCACTATGTACTACTATTTACTAGCACCGTTCTAAAATTCCCTTTTACGGTACTTACTTGGCACCTCGCCGGCCCATCAGCCCGAGGCTCTTCCAGACGTCCGATGAAAAATCTCAAGAAAAGTCTCTGTCCTTAATTAATATCGGAGCTCGTCGTAAATTTCAATATACTTGTCTCCCCTTTCGAACTCTTTATCACCCTTACAATAGATAGATATGCTTTGCCACCTGTTGAAACATTCGATGACAAGACAAGGAGGTAAAGTCTACAAGGTCAATGAAGTCAATTACGAAGTACTAAGAAACGGGCGTAGCTATTTTGACGCGGTCCTGCCGCGCCTGCCGCGGTCGTGACGCGGCCGTGACGCGGCGTGACGCGCATGTGACGCGGCACTGACGAGCCTTGAAAGCTTGACGCGGCACTAACCAGCCTTTGACGCGGCCACTGACACGCCATTCCTATATTCTATATTCCACTTCCAGATCAAGTTGGATGAGTTTACGACCATTCCTTTGTTACTTTATTTGCCTCAGAGCCATGTACAACTAGGTATACATAAGCCAATGACTATTTTCTTTTCCTTCCTCTCTGGACCCTTCGAGCCTGTGGAGCACATCGACGTTTAACGGGCAGACATTCTTCGGCCGGCAGAGAAGGAACTACAGTTTCGGATAGCTCGTCTGCAGACTCCAAAGATGTAGCATCAGAGTTATCACTGAATAAGGGGCCGCGCTGTCAATCACATAGTAAGTTAGATATCTATCGAACGGAGCAGGTAATGTCTTCCTCACTTGAAGTTCACTCTCGCTATAATCTCTTACAGAAACCCATTCATCAGGAATTCCGAGATACACATTCCATCGCCTGTGATAATAAGGGTTTCTTCTCGTCGAAGTTCTCGAGCCCAGAGGAGACAAAACGAAAGAATGCTTAGTAAAACAAATTTATTACTGCCTATGGACAATTACAGTGTACGACGTCTAATTCTGTCAGGATGAAAAGGAACACTGTTAGAATATCAATTATTATGACAGATCTAAAATAAAATATACCTAAGTTATACGGACAGTGTGACAGTTGAGGTGGTGAGGTCTGACGCGGCATGAATGAAGTTTGACGCGGCACTGACGCGGCATGGAGGAGGTTTGACGCGGCACTGACGCGCATGTGACGCGGCAACTGACGCGGTATGTGCTATGGTTGACACGGCACTGTAGTAGGCCTTGACGCGGCATAGAGTGTGGATGTTGATATTAGTACAGAGACTTGCGAAGATATTTGGGAGAACTTGTCATGGTGTGAGTAGTGCTTGACGCAGCCTAAACGAGGCTTCTGACATGCCATGGTTGGGGCTTGACGTGGTGGTGCAGGGTATAGAGAGTGGATCAAACTTGGCAGGGTGAGGTCGAGGCTTGACGCAGTGAGACAACATTTGACACTGCATCTGAAAACCAACATAGATGAACGAATTAGAGGTAATGCAACAATATAGGACTGACGCGCAAGATGCATACTAGTAGTATGAACGCAGAGGACAAGCACTGTAAATTTGGTGAGAGGTGAATACAGCACTATAGAGGCTGTACGCAGGCAGACACTCATATGTTGATCATTAACGATGATTCAAAGTGTTTGGAATGTGATATGAAGTTGTGTAAACATGATCTGTACGTTGGAATTTGTTACAGTGCCGCGTCACATATGCTGCGTCAGTGCCGCGTCACAGGCGCGTCACGACCGCGGCAGGCGCGGCAGGGCCGCGTCAATTTCACCTGGCCCCTAAGAAACCGAGTAAGCTCCGACTGGTACTAAGCTGTAAATGAAGACAAATATTGTTCCACGTACGTTAGCCCTTAGGCCTAATCGACGATTCATTGTCCTTTCACTAACAGCTTCATAGTCGATATAATTGGTTACCTCTACCAGCCTCTTCTACCCTGTAATCGGATCAAGTATAATGTAAACGATATGGTAACATTGGCCAGTCTAAACTTGCTTAGAAATGACTTCGGAAATGTAGTTTTAGAAACGTACTATAGCCATACAAGTATGCATATATCTCGCGTGTGAACCACACCCCAGAATCAAACCAACACCCCAGAACTCCTCACGATCCCTCTCCAGCTCTTCCAAACATAACTCGCAAACAAAGCCGTCTCGTCCAAAGCCTTTCCCGCATGCTCAGCATTCTCCAGGAGCGAATCCAAGAACTCTGGTGCTGTCTTTGGGGAAGTCAGTTGGTGAAGTTCGGCGGCGAGGTAGATGGCGGAGATGGTTGCTCGGCGGGTGTACCAAGATGACTGGTGGGTGTGGAATTGGTTATAGATTAGTTAAACACACGTGAAAAAAAAGTGTCAAACCTCTCGCACATCGCTATGAGCGATCCAACACGCCTGGTTAGATACTTGAGCAGCGTGTCTGATTATCGGCGCAGGGTCCACCGGGAGCAGAGGTAGAGGTAATAAGGGAGAGGAAGCGAGGAGAGCAAATGCCTAAAGCACCAGGCATAAGTGACAGCAAAAAACAACCATCAACTAGATAATCTTTAACGAATAAAATTACCTCTGGAAGGTGCTCCAGCACTGGTTCGTTGCTCTTCAGCCTTGCCTTCAACACATCTCCCATTCCCATCTTTTCTATCGCTTCTTCCTTCATCCTACGTCTCGCATCATCAAGCCACGCATGCACAAGCGTCCTACATGCATCGTCTCCTGGGCCAAACAGCGCAGTCACGCTCGCGTCTGGGAGAGGATTAGCTAGTGGCGTGGGTAGGGATAACGCCGACAAGGACAGCGTTTCTCGGGTGAATCCATGGTTTTTGATGAGCGGAAGTGCGAGCTTTAAGAGTTTGGCACTAGAATGTATCTGTGTTAGAGCTTTAGCGTTTAGCTACAAAGTTCTCGACCAAACCTGGTGGTGGTCATCTCATAAGAATATCAAGCACGTGACTGCAGCTGCAGGGATGAACGTTGCATATTCACAGAGGTAAACTAAGGTAGCGGTCCGTACGCAGTCGATGGCAATACGAAAGCAAAGCGATGGGGTATATCCGCAAACTCAACAATCCAGCCTCAATCAACCAATCCCTTTGTCCTCAAGTACTCTCTATGTTCAGCGCGATGTGCAAGCACTTGCTTGTCAACTGAACGTCTCCAAATTGGTATGCCAACCTACAGCCAAGCGTTAATCACGAGTTCGAATATCATGATAAGATAGGGACATACAAAAGCAACCAAATCCAACACGAAATCGAGAGCAGCGTTGCTTCTAGGCGCACAACCACGCGTTGAAGCTCGGAACAAGCTCGTAATGAGATCAGCGGTGATGTGTGCATGACCTTTCTCGACACCTAACCAGGCCAAAGGTTGGGTTAAAGTTGTGGCTGTAGTCGGATGAGACGACGTACCTGAAAGTAGTCCCGTAGCAGCCTGCTCCGCTGTCAAACCTTCATCCGCCGACTCAATCGTTCTAGTAATAGCCGGCTTCGTCTTGTTTTCTTCTTCAAATCCAGGGGTATACATTGTCGGAGGGAAAAAGATATGAGTATCGATACCATACAGCATTAGTTCTGAATGCAATGAATCAGCCAGTCCTATCAAGCCGTGTCATCAGCATCACCCCATAGTAAAGTAGACAGCCATTACTTACCACGCAGAGCGTGCTTTGCAGGCGAATACGAAGAATATCCAATCAAAGACATATATCCAAGCGTCGAAGACACCAGCACGATCTTCCCCTTCTTATTCTCGCGCACCATTTGTTTAGCAGCAGCCTGTTCGTTGTTCACTAAACGTCATGTTCTTGTCCGTGATCTGAAATAGAGTTGAACGATCGACTCACGAATGCAGTCCACGCCTGTATCCAGTACCCATTCGTCATTCCACTTGAGAGGTCCTCTGGCTGCATTTCGAGGAGGTACATAGGTTTCGCAGCACCTGCGCATGCGAAAACGGCATCTGGGACTTGGCCGCTGTGGGCATCGCTAGCAGCTTGAAGAGCGGCGGCAGATTCCTCTGCGGTGTCGAGGGAGAAGGAAAAGGCTTTGAATACTTGGTCTGGGCTTTGACGATTGGCCTGTGCATGACATTCAGAACGAACAGAGGGTTTCATCCCGGACACGAACCTCGAGCTCTTTTAAAGCATCGTCGAGTTTGCTTTGGGTTCTTGCTACTATAGAGACGTGGGCACCTTTCCGCACGACAAGTTTGGCGAGTGCAAGTCCGAGACCTTGACTACCGCCTGTGATATAGACGTGCTGAGGCCATGCGCGTGAATCACTAAATCATCGAGGAAGACTTGTTGACTCACCAACCCTTTCGGACTCCATTTTTTCGACGAAAACATGAAAGATGACGAGTAAACAAGTATGAGGAGCAATAAAGCCTTGGAAGCCAATGAGGTCCAGTCAAACATGTATGTATCTTGAGTGCTTTCGGTTGAATCGTCCGAGTCCTCGTCGACAAGTTGTATCACGTGATCACGCGAACTAGTATTCATGAAGTCCGTGTATGTTTTGCAAGTTACCATCGACATGCTGGATTGCAAGACACGGATCACCTTGGTGCACAGACCATTCTTACTATATTAATTTTTTTTTTCATTTCTCCCGCCCTGGCCAACACGCCTCTTGGAAGCGACTTGGACCAGAAACCATTAAGCTGTGAGGGCACGCCTCTTGGAGACGAACATGAGCGTTCCGATGAGTCATGCTTGACGGCTTTGTTAAGTCCAACTGTACCGCCCAGGTGAACACTAAACGAGGTCTCCCGGAATATCTTGCGCGGGAAACTTGACAAGAACTTTCCTCTTGTACGCAACCTCTGCGCCGTCTGCGGCATGCCACTAAACCGTCCTGATTAAATCGACACTGCCCTACGCTGTACCGGACATCTTGATCTTTTCCCATCTTCTCAACGTCAAACATGCATCGAATCTTCCGCACACTATACACCATCTCCAGTATTTTGGATGATGGCTCGCAATGGAAAAAAGCTAACCATATAACATTCTTTGACCTGAGTCCTTTCCACCAATTTGGATTGCGTTTGTAACGTACAACGCAATCTGTTCTTAATCTCGGTCACATCAGTAAGGGGCGACTACCCGAGTTTTCACCCATTCACTGCAAATACGACGTGCCTCGATCAATTCTTTGACATCGCTCCTGCATGAAGTTGCGTAGGAGCGCGGAATTAGAGAACAATACTACGTGGGACCTCGTCAAAGATATTGAGGTCCTTCGGCAGAAACTGGGTGTCATGAAATGGCACGTATTTGGTGGTAGCTGGGTCTGTGTTAGTGCGTTTTGTTCTAGACTTCATCACTGATGGAGATGTACAGGGCTCTACGCTCTCCCTTGCATACGCCCAGGTCTGTGATCGGATTCCTTCCATACAATATCTTGTCTGAGCAGTCAATTCGTTACACAGACACATCCAGACAGAGTCAAGTCCCTCGTACTCCGGTGAGCCTCGATGATGTTGATTACATATCAGGCAGTTCTAAACAACCAATTCTTTTCAAAGTGGAATCTTCACGCTAAGACAAAGGTATGCGTTACTTGACAAGCTAAAGTAGAGCATGCTAACCACTTCCTACCTCTTTCAGCGAACTGCGATTCTTCTATCAGGATGGTGCTTCCCATCTTTTCCCCGAACAATGATAATTTAACACAGTAACGACGGACCTTCGTTGTCGGGTGACCCAGTTGTATAGGGAAGGATACATTGCCCCAATTCCAGAGTCTGAACGGCACGACATGATGAAGGCGTATCACAGCCGCTTGAACTCTCCAGACGCAAATACCAGACTGGCCGCTGCAAAGGCGTGGGCGAAGTGGGAGTAAGTAGAATACCCTCCACTCCGTTGGTACTATGCTCGTCGCTGACATCATGTTACAAGGATGGCTACATCAAGGTTGATCGTAAGTGAGGATACTGTCGCCCAAGCGGAGAAAGATGACTTCGCAAAGTACGTGGACCCAGCGGCGAGTACTATTTTCTGCTGAATTAACATTTAGCGCATTTGCTCGGATCGAAAACCATTATTTCGTCAATGAGGTTTGTCTGTTACAGAATTGGCTCGATTGCGATTTATAGTGGCGACTGTGCAGGGCTTCATGCGTAATGGTCAATTGCTTGAGAAGCAAGAAATCGATAAGATGTACGTGTGTTCTACGCGCGTCCTCGATCCCTTCTCACTGTTCCTAGCCGTCACATCCCAACTATCGTGGTTCAAGGAAGATATGCCCCGTATGCAGATTTTTCATGTTTTCAGAGACGCCCTTACTAAACACGCTTGGACCAGGCGACTACTGCTTGGGCTCTGAAACGGACCTGGCCAGAAATTACTCTGCACATCATCCTAGATGCAGGACACTCTTCGCGCGAGCCTGGCATCGAGAAGAAGCTTGTAGAGGCAGCTGATATCATGGCTTCCAAGGGTTTGTAGTAACACGAGGTCTATGATCAGAAGAAAGATTTTGAGATGATTTATGTAAGATACTCAACATACGGAGCTTTAAGTTGTACATGCATTACACGTTGTTTGGAATACAGAGCAATAAGTATACAAGTGCGTGCAGGAAACCGTCGACGATCGTCTATTATTGTGGCCATCATCGTTGTGTGAGTTGTCGCCGTGTCATCGTGGCCGATGGTGGATGACGGAGTTAAGGTTACCGAGGGAATAGTTTCATACAAAGCCGAACAGCCACCGATCGGTTTGAAATTTCGAACCGGTACTCATATCATCGTCATCCCACGTTTCACCTCCACGTCGTGTATGTGCCGCACGAGGCTTTAAAACTCGTGCTTGTATTTTGAGCGGACAAGGCTCATTCAAATGTCCCGCATCGCTTTGGAGAGCATCCCTGGTCTCACATTCTACAAAAACGCGCTTACAGCTGCGCGGCGCACCAGTCCTATTGCTCAACTGGTATGCATTGGGAAAGCGTGCGGGTTGTATCAGCCGGATGTCGTGCGCTGCAGTAATATTGGAGGGTCGGGTACGGATGTTGATTGGAAGGTGAGTGTTCACTGTTAACTTAATAATTTGGATTTGAGAGACTGCTAGACTCTACTACGTAGTAAGCTCTTGTACAGTGAGTTTGACACAACATTTGCAGTGCGAGGCGGACCTACCGTCCTCTTTACGTTTTGGTCGAGTCGAGGTCTCTTGCGAGGGATGGAATGGCCCTGGTGATCCATACGTCATGAAAGGTCTGATTCTGATCCACTCGAAATACGAAGCCTCATAATAATCACACAGGATCCTGTTCCCTCGAATACAACCTCGTTCAACTCCCCGACGCCCTCCGCGCCGACTCTGACTCAAGCTGGTCCCACTTCTACACCCGACCACAGTGGTTCAGCAGTAAGTCTTGAGCACGCACGTCTACTAACACTTACTTATTCCCTGCGTACCCAGACCTCGATTACTCCGGTATCTTCTTCATGTTCGTATGGATCGCAGTCCTGGGCGTTATAATCTACAGCTTTATCCAACCCTGCTTGCGTCGCAATACGTCAGATGCCAACCACACCAGCCCTCCCTCATATCCCGGCGACAGGCAAGGCAGGTCAGGACCAGGAGGATTCCCCGGCTCTTATTACACTAGCCCACCCCCACCATACACCAAAGATGCCGGTTCGGGCAACAGCTCGCAGTGGCAACCAGGGTTTTGGAGTGGCGCTGCACTAGGGGCGCTGGGAAATCACCTTTTGAATCGTCCGTCGGGGTCACGGGAGTATGACTGGGAGCGGGAGAGGCGACTGCAGGGTAGTATCTCGAGGAGCAGACCTGTGCCTGGGTATGATAGCCAGGATAGAGGAGAGGGGTCGTCTGGTTTGGGTGCGATGAGGACAAGTACGGGGTATGGTGGGTCGAGCAGTAGATGAGTAAAGGCCGCAATATTTGTACAGATTAATTGTACAAAAAATAATTTATGATTTGACGAGACCGAGCGGCCCACCAATGGCTAATTATGATTGGGCCCCGCACGTCGTCGTTATGTAAGTCAGCCCCCTTTCTTTTCAACCACCAACTACCTCAACATGGCACCAAGTCCCCTGGCGGAATCCCTGAAATCCATCATCCTACTGTTCTTTCTGCTTCTCCCCTATGCAGTGACGCTTCTGCCATCAATTCTGAAATCAAGCTCTCACACCATCGATCTTCTTTTCAATCTCGCCGGATTAATAACCATCATCGTGATAGCGAACCTATATTACCTCATGTCCCATCAGGGAATCGGCGAGAACTAGGTTTTTGTAGCTATAAATGGTAAGTTCGGACCAAAAATCTACTGTATTATATCCGATGGCAAACAAATATATACACAAAGCATAGTGCTATCCAAGGACAAGCAAGTACAATACAGGCTTAACTCTGACGAACTAATATATGTTTCATAATGCCTCATAATTGTGAGGCCTGATAGATAAACTTTTTCAAGAAGTCCTGCATCTCGCTGACCCTGTGATCATCTGTTGCATAGTGTTGACTTTGTTATGGCCGTTTGCAATTTCAACGACATGGCAATCATGAATTACAAGACCAGTGTAACCCTGATGAACTAATATATGTTTCATAATGCCTCATAATTGTGAGGCCTGATAGATAAACTTTTGCAAGAAGTCCTGCATCTCGCTGACCCTGTGATCATCTGTTGCATAATGTTGACTTTGTTATGGCCGTTTGCAATTTCAACGACATGGCAATCATGAATTACAAGACCAGTGTAATACTGATCCAGAGTGGTCATTACTCATAGTTGTGAGGGTTCCAGGGCAATGTCTTGTCACGCGCTAGCAGTTTTCTATTGCAACGGTCATCCACTGCCTATGCGGAACTTTGTGATGGTTCTTTGCGCTGAGAGCCCGTTAGTAATCACAAGTTGCAAAACTGACGTCACGTTGACACTAAACGATCTTTCCTCGTAGTTGTGATATCTCTATAGTAATGTCTTAGAAATACACTGGCTGTTATCAACGACAATGATCTTCGGTCACCCGCGTGTGTGGTACAGCAAGCATAAACATTTCAGATCTTACGGGCGCGTGTTCTCGCGCGTCAGTAACAAAAAAAGTAAGCCTGCCGCTCAGTGTCAACTTTGCTGACACAAAAGATTGACATTATACTTGCATTATACCACATATATTCTCAAAAACTCGCAAATTAACAGTAGATTGAAGCAGAGCTGAAATTTATATCATAACATAAGAACAGAGGCAATAATCAGATCCGTGTACTTTATTATGGCTATGTATCACTTCATATGTTTTGCAGGTTCCACCAGACACAACTGATCGAAACCCACATTTATGGTAACAGTCGCACTAATCCTAAGGTCAACAGCCTTTTTCTTGGTCCAACAATTCACAATAGTCCCTAGAGCTCCACGATGAACCCCACCCAGAACAAGACACTGTTGATTTTTTTTCCGTGGATGAGCCGGGCTCAGATCGCTGGCGGGGATGTGATAATGTTCGATTGCAGCGCCTGCGCTATTGGATGTGCAGAATACGGCGACGTGACCCTCAGGTGCGGGTCCATTCTCACCGCAGAATGGGTCGGGACAAGCCGTCGATACAAACCGTTTGTATAGCCTACCGTGGAGGAAGTTTGGCGACACCTTCAACAGTACATGGTGTGTGAAGAATTTCGATGAAAATTCTTTCGACATCAACCACGGCAGTGGGCCTGGGATGAAATAAATAGACATTGTGAATGGTGAGGTTGAGGACTTACCACTGTCCGGGGAGTTCTCCGCTTCGGTGTCCTGGGCATCGACGGCCCAGGGGTCATGTGTTGACGAGGTGGGATTGACACTCGACGTAGAGTCATATATCTTATCAACCTCAGAGCTCGCGGACCAGTTAGACCATTCATTGGATGGTGATGGACTGGGACCTGCGAGAGAGACCAACGAGCTGGAAGGATTTTTTTCTTGTTCGACGGGTGGGGTAGTGGATCGAGGCGGCGGTGCCAAGTATGATCGCCTCCTCATTTCACAGAATGAGGCTAACTCTGGGCCTTCGAGCATCGCACCGTTGAGTCTCATTCCATACCTTAATATCGTGAGCTTCAGAACAACTCAAAATAAGCGTGTCACTCACCTGGTGGCGACTTCATTAAGTTTGAGTTTAATCCGCTGCTGCCCATGCACAGCAACGGTGCAGGTCTCAAAGGAAAGAGAGTAAAGCGTGGCTCGATAGCCTTTCCGATTGCCGCTAATAACGAAAACTTCATGGCCGATATCATTCCGGAACAAATCCAAGAAGGCGTTGCGTATCTTGGTCACAAATCTGATTGGGACGCAGAGCTGTTGCATGCGTTAGACGTGTTCGAGACGAGGTGAATTGTACTTACAAGCGATTGGTCACCACTACATAGTATGGTCAAACTAGCGTTTGGAATATCAACGCTGTGCACAACCCCTTTCGCCTGATACTCCGGTCCACGGGCAACAGTCACAACGTCTCCAGGCCTCACATCATAACCCTTGTCCTTTGTGTACTGAATAGTGTGGGTGAGGCTCATTCGTTGAACCGTTGTTACTGGAACTGAAATAATGCCGAGTCCGGAGCTGGACTCTCTGCTATCTTCCGTGAGGATATCCCGGAACCACAGATTAGTCGATCCCTTGCAATACCAGTCCACAACGCCGCGTTTCCCCATGTGCTTGCCATTCAGCACTTCTATGTGGTCCCCAATCTCGATGGAGTCGGACTCGGGGGGAGGCTCGAGATATTGATGCATTGGTAGCTGCGGGTGCATGATGTGATCCAAGGGACGCCGATCCAAGTAGTACTTAGAAACTTCCACCTATATTCAAATGTCAGACAATTTCGCAGTTTTGTGATTGTGCGAGACTCACCTGCTCGTTGGTGATATTTTGACAGATGTCAACTGTTTCCTCCCGCATTTGAATGATGTGCCCTTCTAATCCCAAATACGGACCAGCTACAACTTTGACGGTGTCGCCGACCCGAAATACTCGTTCGATGCCTTCGAAACGAACCTCTATTTGTTCTGGACATCCATCAAACGCAAAATCCAGGCTCGCGGAACCAACTGTATGGTCCATCGAGATAACCTGACCTGACTCTCCACGGAGAGGGCCTTCAATGACCCTGGCCCAGTCGCCCATGCGCAAAAATTGCATCGAAAACAAGACCACGGTGTTCTTCAGAAACGGTTTGTCCCATCCGGATTCGAGATGGAGTCGAATGTCGTCGATGTGAGGGGAGGCAAGAAGTTCGAGGTTATCGCGGTGGAAGTCTTTCAGTAAGAGACCCATGTAGTAGCTTTGTTCTTCGTATATCCATCCTACTACTTTGCCATCACGAATGATGTCAGAAACAGCCTTATTGGTCGGAAGACGAGATCGATCGAGCAGCGCTCGAGTTCCCCGAGGCATTGAATAGGGGAAGCGCAATGGAGGAACCAAGACCTTGACGGAACTCTCTGTCTGGCACTCTACTTTGCCTATGTAGCCCCTGTGTGGGCCGTGCCTGATCCTCACCCAAGCAGGGGCAAGAGATCGGAACAGTGAACCTTCGACGGCTTCATGTTCTGCCTCCGTGATGCGAAGACATTGCTTCACGGCGAGACTGTGTGAGGTAGGCAGTGCTTCACAGATCATTTTGGGGCTATCTGCGACTACATAAAGTTGCCCTGCTACCCAAGTCGATAAGGTAACGGAAAACTTTTGGCTCCGAAGGTGTTCGGCAATGTATTCTGTAGCAGTTCCTGTGATACAATGAGCGGTATGCTAAGTGATGCAAAATAAACATACTTTGAATGTCAAGCAAATACATCTTGTTTTCGGGTGCCAAAACGTTAGTTAAGGATGATGGGATCGAGGCCGCTTTGGAAGTGAGAGCACGGCGACCTTGCGACGAGTGACTAGAATTCTCTTCGAACTTACTGGCCAAGTCATCGAATCTTTTGGCCAACCTCTCTTTCGCCGATGGTCCTGATACGTGTATAGCTATCTGCGACCGTTCAAAGTCACCACCTTCGTCATCCTCGTCCTCGTCTTCAGAAGCTTCGATGACGATATATGGATTGTGAATAGACTGTGTTTCCTCTTTAGTATATACCATTCTCAGCAATGGTATTTCACTTACTTTAGGCACACGGGATCGCTTTCTGCGTGAACTTGACAAGCAGCCGTCTGTCCTCGATGTAGACATGGATACGGAAGTGTCATTTGATGTAGGAGAGGGGGGATCAGGGGGCACGTGCATGGCCATAAGTCGGTCGAGGTTGGCCAAGGATTCGGCGTCGTCTCCTTCACCAGAGAACAACACACGTCGGGGTTCCACCCAGTCGTCGGCGAAGTATCTATCGCCCAGGTACGATGTGAGGGCATCATCCATTTCAGGCATCGTCATATCTGTGGTGAGGAATTGCCGAAGGACTCCCCATGCATATTTATCGCATAGTGCCGGTGATGTCTGATTGCCTGTAACATATCCTTGATCAAACAACGATACTGACAACATTGTATCATCGCTTACCTTCTTCGATCCTGAGTCGCTTCGAGGCAGATTCGTCATCATTGCATCGGGCGCGTTTGGTCATGTATTACTATGTCTATGGTGTATATGTTAACCTAGGAGATCATAGTACAGCAGCGAACTTGAAACCTCACATGTCACGTTCAATTGTCAGTTGGATAGTTTATGTTCTCTGAAGCTATCAATGCACTGTCACGGTATCGAGGTAATGGTAGGAAAAAGAGAAACTGTTAATGCGCGAAGTCAGTATTTGTAGTGAATCACTATTCTGGATTAGCTAATACTCACTGGTAGTGTAGATTGTGGACAATATTGATTGTCATGCCAGATATAGCGGTGCGCATAGTGGGCATTGCGGATTTCAAGTTGTGGACTGTGTCAAGTACATCGTCCTCTCGTCCGCCCACAACAAAGGCGATAATTGATATAAGCGATTGAACTTCATATTGCTTGCCCGCCCCATGGACTTGTAACTTGAAGTAATGATGTATCTACTACATAAATGTTTGCACTACGCCCAAGCTGCTGCCAGGCCTACTACTAGGTTATTGTAAGACTAACGCTCGTAGTACTGTTCGACGAGTTGACCTTCACACTAAATATAGAGAACCACATTATGTAATGTAAATCTACTTATGTCGAAACATATGTTACCCGTAGCCGTTGTATACTGTATACGAGGGGGGGGGGAATCGGAAAAGAGACTGATACCAAAAGACATGTGGTTGATATACTGAATGATTAGTGCACCATTCAGACCCAGCCGGCAATGCCCGACGTGAAGCTCGCTGAAGTCCGGCTGAGTTTCAATATATAGGCATTCACTTATCAATGCGCCCTTCCCATCTGCTGAACCTTTTGGTTTCTGTTATCTTTACGTCCCCTTATTGGTTAGAATCCTTCGGGTTTCTGTCAACACTTGACCAGGTGGAGGGTGATATTAATTTTGATGGCCAGCCAGATCTATCGACCCGCCAGCCAGATCTTTTGATGGCCAGCCGTCAAAATGTATTATTAAAGTTCTTCCGGCATTCCCCGCCTTGGAATTCTATACAAACTCGCTTAAGATGACCCACAAGACTAATTGACCCATCTTATTCTAACTGCCATGCCGGCCCCCTCCTGTCTTCCACCATTCGACAGCTTAGCTGCTCAAACTGGCATGTTTGAGCTCTCTAACATTCTAACTCATGTTAGATGGCTCGAATTCTTCATAAGGCTCATACCGATGGAGAAGGTTAGTGCAAATTTTTTACAATGATGTTGATATATCCTGATATTTTATGTAGCTCCGTACTGAGTTGTATCTTTTGCACTTCGTACTTAAAGGTAGAGTCTATTTGGGTGATATTTGGCAAATAGTCGGAGGACGTATGTTGGAAGCGCAGAGGGAGGAATCACTGCGAAGTACTGTTGAGGATCACTCAAACCGCTGGAGTATAGAGCGAGATTTCATGGAAGAGAAGAGAGATCGTTGCCAGCTGGAAGTGTCTCTGTGCAGCCAGGCCATCGATCATGTAGAGCAACGCTGGGCCATGCGTAAGAGATTGACTTGTGTACTGCGAACGTGATCTGACTTAATGACTCAGCGATGCGTCCTATTGCGGTGGCAGTCAACAACGCTTCCTATTTCTCAGCGACTTCACGACGCGTTATCGAACCTGTCGCTACTTATTCGGTAGCTGCGCGGACCAAGTGTGAAACTTGGTTAAGGAGGCAAACAACCGACCCCATTCCACCCAAAAGCATCACGTTAATCGAAACTAGCTTGCCCCTGTTCAGCTCGCCTTCGGCTATTGGTCAATTTGCCCTTGCGCATCTTGAACAACGAATGCAGGTCACCGTTAATGTCAGTGTTATCGCCAATCTGCGTGATTATTCTTACGATCTATGCAGTCCGATGACCCTTCGTTCAGTCTGCGGAGTACCTGGGTTACCAGGTGCCTCCAAGAAGCCTTCCAAAAGGCACGCCAAGTAGAATTGTCCACACAGACGGGACTGATGTCCTCGTACCTTGATGTTGGAGGATACCATATGCATCATCGCAGTACTCAATCGGAGCTAATTTTCCTGCGGGCAACGATGCGCCGTGCCCAAGCTGAGGCAGCTGTTTATACACTGGCCCTTGAAAATTCCCCTGCGTCAACCTATTCTGACAGCGGTAAGCGTAAACTGGTCGCAGTGTTTTCTTAAATCGCTGATGGGTCATTACAGATTCAGATTCATCACCTCGCCCAACTCTCCCACAGCATCTACCAGAAGAAGTGCGTCGCTACATGGACTACATTGATACCGTGTCGATTAATTCTCACACTGACACTGACTTATTGTAAGCGTGTTGTACTTATTTCAGTCCGCATTTTGATCATGATGTGATGCGTCCGTACATCTGACTGCGGGGGCTGAGGTGTAGGAATACCGAAGAGATGTAAGCAGACAGGGTTCGCCGTCGTATTATTAACGCTACTGCATAAGCCATCGCGGTGATATGAGGCGCACATATCTTTATATTCCTTTATGTATTACCAATATGTAGCACAAACCTTGTAAATTTCGTACGAATATTTATCGGGTTCGACTGTGCTTATATCAATACAAGCAATCCTATCACCTTCGGAAATTACCATGAATTAGAGTCTGCACAGTACAAACTACACTAGATTCTATTTATTTGAGTATAGAAAGGTAATTGTATCCTATAATACTATGAGTTTAGGACTTAAAACCAATAGTCTCTCGAGCCTCCGTCTCTCATAGTGTATTCTTACCGAGTCCTCGTTTGTCTCGCTTCTTGTATTCCGCGACTTCGCTTGCAATAAAAATGTGACCGAGTCCCCCGAGTACAAAACTGGGGGACTCCGCTTGCCTACAAAGTTGAGACCTCCCTACTGAGTGTAGACTGATTCAAGCTATCAAACAGCTATAAACGAAACCTCTCTCAGAGAGTGCCAAAGTTATGTAGAATAGTCGAGCTGGAAATCAATGACGACATTTGTGACATCAAGATGCTTCGGATACTGCCAGCTGAGTTTAAATTTCTCAAAATCAGTCACTATAAATTCTACCCCACTTCCTATTGAAAACCTTTCCCATTTCTATCATCGGATCCGTATGCAACTTCGATTTGGTCACGATATTATACTGTACCTATGATGCTCTACTTACGTGTACTTAAGATTGAACAGTAGCAGTTGAAGATACTATGTACAAAAAATGTGATCCGCTTGCGCTACGAAGTCAAAAATGAGCACAAAACGTGTTAGCCTGTGGTAGCAGGTTGGTGATGGTGAGATATCATCCGATCTGTATTGTTGCCTCAGACCGGTCGATCAATACTTGCAGGTTGGCAAAATCAATTGTCAATTCATCCTAGCAGCACCTTGCCTATCATAGGAAACGGTGCGTTATCAAGATATATATCGGAAAAGATGCTTATATTCACCATTACTAGCAGCTCTCGTATCATAACACTTCACACCCGACATTAGGAATATGTCAAAGTCATTATAGCCAATCGCCTCATTGCCTCCCTGTACCGATTTCTAGTCTCACGGTGGCAGTGCGTCGGGCATTTGACGATTTCCTAGAATTGATTGATATTAGGGGGGGTGCGCGCGAGTAAAAACCGACATACCGTCGTCGAGGATAATATGCCGCAGGTACGTAGGTTCTACTACATAGTTTCTCGATATTCACTAAATTGAATTTTAGCTTATACAACGCATCTATAGGTGTGAATCGACTCACCCATATAGCCGCATGCGCCTGTCGCGCATTCAGCGACGTACTCTCCTTGGCTCACCCCTTCAGCGCGCCGAAATATCGATACTTCAACATAATTGTCCCTCGTCGCGCAAAAGCAGCACGGATAGCGAAATATGTGCGACTTGCGGTAAGCGCTGAACAACGAAGGCTGTATTTTCCGCCCATATCTGTCGGCGGGCCTGAAGAGGTTAACTTAGTGAAGAACCTCCTTTCCACGAAACAAATCTGACCATTGAAACGTTGTCAGTTCCCGCGTTTGCGCGTGATAATGAAGTATGCCATGCTGGCACATGATAACACTCACTATCATCTTCACGATCTTGTGATCAACTGCGAACACGTCGGAGCGCTCAGAAAGTGGAGAAGAAGGTGCGGACATTCCAGGCTATGAAAACAGTGACCTGAACTATGTGTTTATATAACTGTAATTTTTAACATTATATTTGGTCATGATTGTGTTCCGCCAGCCTGGTTGCGGAATTGGTCTAGCCGCGACAAAGTGCGCCAGCCCCCTATCAAGTAGGCTGCCAGGGTATTTGACCCATGGGAATATGGCGGAAATTACGCTGGCAGGCTTCGTTCCTGCATCAGCCCTAATTCGTTCAATGACAAATTGTAAGTCCCATTGCGTTGTGCTATCATTTGCTGCTGGCTCATACATGTTCATCTCCACAGTAAATCCATGGTCAATCCATCGGAGACACTATTCAAATGCACTTGCACGCGCGTGTTTACTCAAGCGAATGCTTATACAAAGCATCAGCATTCATGCACAAGAGGCAAGAAACACTTATTTTCTGCTTTATCGAAAGCAAAAGATCTGTTGGGTGCTGTTAAACGGTCCCGGCTGTCTGCCAACGCCGTCAGGCAGGATGCACGCGCCAGCACGGCGTCTTCGAGTACGCAGTTCCACCGCTCGAACACCCCCTCCTTATCATCCGACCAGCCGTTTACCGCAGAGGTTTTACCCACTCCGCCAGCCATCGTCCCTGGGGAGGTGTCGTGCACGGCTGAAACTTCGTTTACGGAAGTAGACGATGATTTGTCATTGGCGCAGCGTAGAAGCCGCCGTGTCAATGTTCCTCTGCCCCTCCGCTTTAGACAATATGAGGATGTGCTCCCTCAGCCTCCTCCTAGCGTCCCTAGCCATATCCCGCGACAACCAGAGACTGGCCTACCCGCAAATTCTGTGCCTATGAGAGCTTCCTCTCCGGTGCAAGCTGCTCCTTTCCGCACATCTAGGAATATTTTTGGTCTAGTACGCCAGTTTTTCTCCTCAGCACCGCCAAGTCATGACCCAGAAGAGGCTATAACGCTTCAAGACATTAGTTTTATCCCCACTCTTACTCCAGAAGACCCAGATACTGTTGCAGTGCCTCACGACAGCTCCTTTGATCCGTACCCCAACGAAGCTTCCTTCAAGCTTGGTCATTGGTATTGGAATGGCAGCGTACAAAAATCACAGCAGAGTTTCAAGGAATTGATCGACATTGTTGGACGTCCAGACTATGATCCAAATGATGTGCGACATACGAACTGGGACAAGATCAACTCCCAACTAGGCGCGAGTGTTGGCGATGAGGGAGAAGAATGGGAAGATGAGGATGCTGGATGGCAAAAAACTCAAGTGACCATCGACGTTCCCTTTTCTCGAACAACAGCTCATCCAGATATTCGACCTTACGTTGCGGCAGACCTCTACCATCGGTCTCTCGTGTCTGTCATCCGGGAAAAGCTCGCAAATGCTCATGACAATGAATACTTTCATTATGAGCCATATCAACTACGATGGAGCCCGCCTCATCTCCCACATGAAGTAGATATTCAAGGCGAATTGTACACGTCACCTGCCTTCATAGAGGCCCACCGCGAACTCAAGGAATTACCTGGAGAGCCAGGATGCGAACTTCCCCGTGTGGTCGCTGCACTAATGTTCTGGTCAGACGCTACGCAACTTATGACGTTCGGTAATGCGAAGCTGTGGCCGGTGTATATGTACTTCGGCAATGAATCAAAGTACCGCCGATGTAGACCATCATGTAATCTGGGCAATCATGTGGCTTATTTTCAGAAGGTATGACGATCATTATGAAGTAGTCTTCATCCGGACTCACGTACTTTACAGCTTCCGGATGTGTTCAAAGATTTCGCGGGAATTTACACGGAAGGGAAGGGAGTCGGCCGCGAATGCACAACCCATTGTCATCGCGAAATGTTTCAAGTGCAATGGAAAATTTTACTTGATGACGAGTTCCTAGAAGCGTATGAACACGGGATCGTGATTCTGTGCTGCGACGGCGTCAAACGCCGGTTTTATCCTCGAATATTCACATATTCTGCGGATTATCCTGAAAAGTGAGTCGTGAATATTCATCCGTAGAAATCAAAGTTCACCTAGGTTAGGGTCCTTATTGCCACTATCAGGCAGCTGGGAGGTTGCCCATGCTCACGGTGTCTCATACCAACAAACAGGCTCCACTGTTTGGGCATGGCTTGTGATAGAGCACAACGTCGGACTCTTGCGCGGTCCGACATTACGAGGAGTCAGCTTGTTGTTGCTGCACGTCGCCAAATCTACGAGAAGAATTACGGCGTAGACAGCACAGTAGTTGAGGCACTTCTTAAGCCTCAGTCGTGGGTTCCGACCTCTGTGAGCATGATTTACCACTGGATTCCTCGCCTTTACTGACCCTTGAGCAGAACGTATTGTTGGACCGCCTGGGTCCCTTTGGATTTAACGTTTTTATCGCGCTGGTTGTCGATCTTCTACACGAGTTTGAGCTTGGAGTCTGGCGTATGCTTTTAGTGCATTTACTCAGAATTCTTACCTCTTTGAACAAGGATTTGGTACACGAACTTGATAAGAGGTTTGTCAAATATCTACTCGATGTTGACTTGCGAGGGCCAACACTCAACTTCGACAGGTATAGACTGGTCCCTCCCTTTGGGCCAGCGACCATCAGACGATTCTCCTCCAATACATCCGATATGTCGAACATGGCTGCTCGAAACTTCGAAGATATCTTACAAGTATGATTATGGAACTAGTCTCATCCGTATTCGTGAACTGACATTTTCCTAGTGTTCTATTCCGGTTTTTGATGGCCTTCTCCCCGACGATGATCATAACAAAATTGTCATTGATCTTCTGTTCATCATGTCGCATTGGCACGGACTTGCGAAGCTTCGCATGCATTCCGATTTGACCTTGGATATTCTTGACCAAATGACGACAGATCTTGGAGTACAATTTCGTTTATTCAAGAATGAAGTATGCCCATCATATAAAACACAGGAGCTCGATCGTGAAGTTGGTGCACGATCCCGCCGGCAGGCAAAGGAAGCGGGCAAACGGGCCGAGACTGTCTCGGCGAATCTTTCGGGGAGAGCTCGTCAGGGTACCAGTGATAAAGGGAAAGAAAAATCGACTCAAGGGGATGCACTTGAACCAAAGCAACCGCGAAGGAAGAAGTCATTCAACTTCAACACTTACAAGTTTCATGTGCTTGGGGATTACGTCGCCTCTATCCGTCATTTTGGCACGACAGATTCATACAGCACTGAACCAGTAAGTTTCCGCCTACTTCTCCATCCATTCCAACTCAAATTTTCCAGGGAGAGTTAGAGCATCGTACGTCGAAAGGCAGATACCGCCGAACTGATCGTAAGGAATTTGTTCGTCAACTCACTCGGATCGAGCGCCGTCAGGCGCGCTTGCGCCGCATCAAACAACGTCAGCGACAACAAGCTCCTCATAGAGACCCGTCTGAAATGGCGAGTGATCCCCAAGTACACTATCACATTGGCCAAAGCGAGAAGATCTTCGACGAGTTTGGTCAATATCTCCGCAACCATGCAGGAGATCCCGCTATGAAGGTAAATACAATTGTTGCGACTTCTTCCATCATTCTGAAATGTTGTTTAGGACTTTCTCCCTCGATTGAAAGAACATATAGTTCGTCGCCTTGGATCGGAAACCACTGAATCGCCCATGGAAAATCCCTCCGAACAGCACAACTCCATTTACTTCAAACGCAACAGGATTTATCATCACAATCTCGCTAGGTTTAACTATACCACTTACGATGTCCGCAGGGCTCAAGATGTCATCAATCCTAGGACTCCTCACTGCAATATTATGTTGCTCAATCACGATCGCATTGATGGCGAGGACGGAGATGACTATCGTTATGCCAAAGTCATTGGCGTACATCACGTTAACGTCGTACGCTCTGCAAACGTGCATGAATCTTGTCGGATAGACTTTCTTTTCGTTAGGTGGTACGAATCTGTGCGAAGTCATGCATGGGACATGCGCAGATTGGGCCGCGTTCATTTTCGGCCTCTGGAAGATCAAAAGGCTTTCGGGATCATAGACCCCAGAGTTGTTTTGAGGGGATGTCACATTATACCAGCCTTTGCTAGCGGACAGCGCAATCCAGGTGCACGCGGAATTTCCCCTCTTGCACGCGACAAGCATGATTGGCGCGAATACTATATCAACAGGTAAACTCAATGAGATAGCATCATTTCAATCTTCTTAATGTTATTCCATTAGCTTCGTCGATCGTGATACCATTATGCGCTTTCATTACGGCCTCGGGGTGGGGCACGTATACTCTCATCAGGCAAATATTTTGTTGACACAAGGAACTCCCCGCCCCATTACACAGACGCCGGAGGAGACAGAACATGTGTACCTGGCCAGCGGAGAAAGGCATCAAGAAGCTGCTGATGAAGAGGAGGATGAAGATGATCATGTTGGCGCGGAAGAAATTGACTTCTTTGATCAGGGGCTCAATGCTAGCACAGCGTCGCTCTCACTGGCACTGGATGATATGTTCCCTGTTGACCACACTTTTGACTACGAGAATTAATGTGCTTCGGTCTTGCTGGTAATTCGTGCCAGCCTGCGATTGTCTTTCGCGTGATTACGCTTTCGCTTCACTCTCGCTTCGTACTCGCTTCCCCTGTTTGTTTTAGCATTTAGCAATTCGCCAATGCCTCCTCTGGCGTGCCGTAAATATTATTACTTCTCGCTGGCGCGGCTGTATTTGTGCTGGCGTGTCGTATTCGCCGTCGCTTTTTCTGGCCTTGCCATTCATTTGCGCTCTGCCTCGTTGTAAATGGCTGCCATGCCCTGGCTAAACCCTGACTCGCCATCGGCAAGGGCTGGCGCACTGTATTTGGTTCTGGAACGCCATTATTATTTGAAAGTAGTAAATCCGGGCGGACACATTTGCATGTCTGGATACTTTAAAAGGGTCTCATTCCTTTTATTTCATACATCAAGATGCAACAGTCGAATTCACTTTTAGCTGTTCCGGCTGCTGACGCTCCAATCTATGTCTATGTGCACAGTGAAACTACGCGCAACCG